CATTAATTTCAGCCTATTGTTGGCAGGCTCGTGGGCCGAGGTGTTGGATGGCTTCAATGAAGCACGCGCTGTCAGCTGGTGAGCGCTCGTGGGTCCCCACCGTGTCCCCGAGGACCTGACTCGAGAGGGAACACACTTTTCTCAACTAAAGAAAAGAGCTACACACACAAACACACACGCAGGGACGTCAGTGAGCTACACCCCTCCTCTCATTTCTTCTTGCTCCTTTCTTTCTGCCTCGTTCTCTTTATATCAAGTCAAACAAACACTTGCTGTGGCTGTGACGCATGTATCACGCACACTCACATAGACTCTGACTGTGTGACTCTGCAGAAAATATCTGTTTCTTTTTCTCAAACTTTGCCTGATGTCTTAAAGTTTTTTTCTGCATGGTGAAAAACATCAAAATACTTAGAAATAATTCATGAAAGTGCTTGAACTACCTGTTTACTACCTGTTACTCCCGCCCACTGTTTTTATCCAATCACAGCCGCTGCCCCTCCGCTAGCCTCTCTGGACGGGGGAATAAAGGGAAATATAATGAGCATGCTGCGATAAATTATTAACACAATTTATGCAAGCAGAAATGTAGACTGCCATGTGCAGGGAGTTCGTGTTGCGGTGAGATGAGATCATGTTTCAGTAAACACCGACGAGATGCTGCCTAATATGATGGCACAAACAGGCCACTGATGTCAACAGCGAAGTGTAAGGGATATAATCGTGATTTTAAAAATAGACTCCCTTGAAAATGATACTGAAATGTCTCCAGGGACAGAGAAACTTCACTGACACTTTGTTTAATACCTCCATCTTGACGTTTTATTCAATTAAACTAAATAATAAAACTGCTATGATCGAGAGGAGCTTTCATTTGAGTGCCAGAGTGGAGTTAAGTTCAACACGTAAATATGACCACTTTAAAAATGCATCCTAAAAATTATTTAGCATATTAAAAAAGTGTGCTTGTATCGTTTTATAATTCTTGTTCTGTTTTAGAAATCTAAGACTGTATTGAATTGATCTACTTCTCTCCAAGTTCGTTTATTTTCCCCATTATTACGCCCAAACTATTCACACAACGAACCATTAAAAGCAACAGAAAACACCTTAAAACCTACATAGGGATTTATTGTAACAAAAGACAAAAAATTCAAAAATTCACAAAGAATGCAAATGCAAGAGCAAATCAAGAACCAAAACACAAGGATCCCCTCCAGTGCCTCTCCCTGCTCTTGGTGTTTTACACACTCCAGGTTTAGGACCAGGTGAAGCTGGTTGTCAGTGACTTCACCTGGGCAGAGCTAGGGAAGACAAAAAAAAGACCGTCAGTAAACTGTCAGCCGTAACACCCATGAGTAGTGAAAGCTTGAAAAAAAAAACATCTGCAACAGGTGGGATGCTGGTCAGGCAAAGGTTTCACTATTTCACGCACATTAATTATTTACGCACAGACGTTATGACAAAAACAACAGCGTGGCTGTTACAGAGAACCCGAGATGCGCTGACGCGTGTCTGTGCTGTTGATCCGAGAAAAAAAGAGAAGATGAAGACAGAAAGCACTTTTTTACACACTGTCTTATCTCTCGCACTTTGTAAAGAAAGTTGTTGTCCTGTTTCGTTTACAATACCCTTTATGCACACTGACCTGCTTTGTATGAACAAATGGTCATATAATCACGTTATAAACAACAAAGAAAATGTTCAGTGGCACCTAACAATTGCAAGGAATTTGTATTTTACAAAATGCTGATCCAAATTGTATGAAAATTAAATGCATTGAGCAGAAAAAAGACAAATGTATAACCTAAAACTGTTCTGAAATCATGCAAAGTAAACTGTTCAAATCCAGTTAGGAGCAAAAGAAATACATTGATATTTCAAGGTTCTGCAGTCATACTCATTTCAATAAGTATATTCAGAATATGTGCATTCCGCTGCTTCCTCTTTTTTTTTTCTCTCGATGAAAAGAAAAGGCGCTTGCATTTTGTATGAGATATGGGGAGCCGAGCTGTGTGCTGTCCAAAAAGCCACGGCCCTCTCTGGGGACCCAGAACAAAAGGCAGAACTGGGCCATAGTCTCCATCTGCTGTCCCAGGGAGGGAGAGAGAGGGAGAGGGAGAGAGAGGGGAAAAGGTGGAGAGAGAGAAAGAGAGAGAGAGAGGACACCATGGGATGATGGCAACAGAATAAGTTAAAGAGAGGGACAGGAGAGCAACAGAGGATACAAGATAGACAGACAGATACTTTTTAAATCGACCGTATCGCATCTTAATTCGTCTTTTCCCCCTGAAGCTCTCACCGCTCATTAGCCCCTTAGACCTGTACGATCATGTACTGTAGGGTAACCTCTAGTGATCACTCAAATACACAATTCAGCTGCAATGGAACAAACACCTGTTGCATGTCAGGCTTCACTTGAGCAATGCTATCAATTGTTAATGAGTTTACTTGGTATAGTGCTCACAATTTGCTGAAATTGCAGCATTAAGTGATCTGTGGTGTGATGTTGTCACAGTAAAGCTACTTGGAAATCCTTAGAGCCTTCATGAACAACCCCAGCTCCATAAAAGCTGGGATGCTGAGCTTCAAATAAGTAAAGATGGGAATGAGTTCACCAGTCTGTGAGGGACTGCGTAAGCTAATGGTTCAACAATTACAAAATAAGGTTCCTTAGCATCAAATTGCAAAGCGTTTTAAGTTTTACTTCTCTACAGTAAAACTTAGCGTTACAAAATTTCAGAGAAGCTTGAGAAAGTTTTGCACAATGAACAAGGTCTTAAAAAAACAGTTCTGGATGGCTTTGATCTTCGAGCCTCAGATGGTATGGCACAAACATGACTGTAGTTGAAATCACTGCATATGCTCAAAATCACCTCCAAAACCAAGTCAGTGAGCACACTTTTTCACTGCATCTGCAAAACTGTACCATGCACAGAGGTTAACATAAAAGTGACTGCATTTTAGATGGGCTGAGATTAACAAGAAATGTGTGCTGAGGTCGAAGAAATCCTTTTTTTTTTTTTAAATCACGGACACCACATCCTTTACTGTAAGAGCACAAATACTACTCAGCTTGATATCAGCACACAGCTCAAAAATTAGCATCCCTAATGGTATGAGGTTGCATTTAAGTCTCTGGGTAGTTTACACATCTGGGAAGGCGACCGAAATGCTGAATGATTCCAACAAGTCTTGGTGAAACAGACGCTGCCATCCATGGGGGAACCTTGTATATTTCTGCAATACTATGTCAAACCACAATTTGCAGTGTAACAATAGCATGGCGCCGTTGTAGAAGAGTTCCGGTGCTAAGTTTGCCTTCCTGCAGTCCAAACTTGTCACCAGTTAGAAACAGTAAAAAAAAACAAAAAGTAGAACCTGAACTCTTGAGCAGCTAGAATCCTAAAGAAGTAAAAGTGGAATATTTCCTTCACATAACTCTAGTAAAAGTCTATCTAATTCCCAAACATTTACGGGGTATCGTAAAAAAGAGGTAATACAACACAATGGTAATCATACCTTTGTCCCAACTTCTGTGAAATCTGTTAATGGCATCAACTTTGAAAAGAGCATATAGTCTTTATTAAACAACAAAAAACATTTGGCATGCTGCATTTGCAGTATTTTCAATTAAACATTAGACTAAAAGGATTTGAGAGCCATCAAATTCTGTCCCTATCAATATTTTACACAGCTTCCCAACCTTTGTGAAATTGAGTTTGTTCTAAATTATTTTCTCGACTATCCGTCTGTCGGCTTTGTTTGTCCTCAGCCAAAAACTCTTTTGTTTCAAATCACTTTGGCCTGTACATGAAATGTGATTTGCACAAAGAGGTTTGAATGAACTGAAATTAAGAGTGCCATGGAAGTAATGCTCAAACTTCACCGCTGTCATTCAGGAAGAAGTTCTGCAAGGGAGTCGTTGTAAAACTTACTCAAAGGGGCTGTTGATTATAAGCTGAGAGCATACTGAGAAAGGCTAAAATATACTCTACATATGTGACGTTATTTCGACAAAATCATGCCAGACAGGAATGGCATGAATCAGATATTCCTATTATTTTGACAGCTCACCAAACAGGGCTCTACATCATCTGAAGATGAGGTGTTCAAACTATTTTGACAAAACCCATCCTGTGGTTTCTGTGATGACAGGCAGCCCGTCCTTAAAAGCATGTCTGCCCGCACATACACATATTGACACTGTCACACACAGTATACCCACACACCATTACAAGAGAGAAGATCATTTATCTCTTTGCTCTTCTCCATGAAAGACGTCTCTGGGTGAAGCAGGGTCTCTGAGGGCTTTGTTGTGGGCAGGGTTCAGCTTTTTGTGTTCGCCACCTTCAAAGCAAACGTACATGAACACGAACATGAGGCTTCTTGGGTAACTGGTCCATTGAAGAGCAGCACAATGGTGCTCCCAATTATCCACAGTGCTCAGTGCTGCTGTGGAATCGGTTACACGGCTTTGTGTGTTCCTCTTGTGTGTGTGGGCGTGTTCGCTGGATTTGCATGTTGGAGGATAAGCATATCTATTTGTAAATTTCATATCTGACCCCGAAACACGTGTCCTAATGTTTTGATGATATTCATTAACTTCTTTTTGTATTATGTAACATGTAAAAAAATCTAATACTGTAAATCCTTCAATGTTATGTTCTAGTTTTTGCTTTTGGCTCAATTTGATTTACTTTTTTGGGGGGGTGAAAAAAAAAAGCAACTCCAAGGGTGTGTGTGTGTGTGTGTGTGTGTGTGTGTGTGTGTGTGTGTGTGTGTGTGTGTGCGCATTGCTTGTGTGTGTGTGTGCGCATTGCTTTTGTGTGCATGTAGCAGTAATACTTCCAGATAGGAAACATCACAACTGCAGAGCTTTTTACTCCTTTGACACTGTGTGACTTCCAGCAGGATCAGGTTACGGAGAGCGTGCGGCCGGCCCTCAGCTGGAGGAGAGACCTTCACTGTGAGTTTCCCCGCACACATTAAAAGAACCTGCGAGCTGCGGAAGTGATTTGGCTGCAGGTGATTTTCCATCTTTTTCACACCTTGGAACATGAGAGTTGTGTGAGAGAGTGGGAGGGGGCAAAGAGGTGGGATGTTCATCTATCTGCAGGAGTGTGATCATGTGTGTCCTCTGACACATGTGTCAACTTAACCACACATAACCTTTGTTGGCAGCCCGCCAAATTCACGTGTACAGTAGGATTGCATGTATGTAAAGAACATACAGAGTTCAGGAGGGTTCAGTGTCAGGTCTATTAGCTTTAAGTGTTAAGGTTTCAGTGTCAGGTATCTGCGCGAAAAGGTGTGGTTGATCAGAAGATAATGATAAAAAAGATTTTAAAAAGCTTAAATATTCATCAGTTTTACATGTTTTAGTTGTAAAAAAATATATATGTTTTGACTTACCAGATGTACACACTGCACTATTCCTCTGCCCATTTCACACGTTTTTTTTATTTTTATTTTTTAAATTTATTTATTTCATTTTTTTTTAATCTCTTATCATTTTGGAAAAGATGTTGTTTCAGGAGAAACAACTGGAAAAACGCTGGAAACCACCCCACTTAAAATGGAAATGCCTTAAAGAAAAATCTGAAGTGTGTGGTATGATTAAACTGTTGTAGGAAGGCAAACGTGGAGGTACAGCAACCTGGTTGTTAAGAATAACAGTATATGAACACAATAGTTCAGAATAACTTTTTTTATTTCACTTTTTTTGAAGAATAGCGCTTTACTCTGACAGCTATTTAGGTCAAAAACGTGAAAGTATGGGTCTCTGCTCAGTTTTTTCTGAAAGTGGGAGTCTGGCCGAAAATTGACCTGATGTGTATCTGCTTAAAGTTTCAGTTTGATATGAAAATAAAGGGCTAAAGGAATGGGTAAAAGTCTGCATGGCTAATTTACAAAAGTACAAATATTGATGGTGAACACACTCTGGTGGCCTGCCTCAAAGTAGAAAAAGGTAGAATGCTAGCAAAAACAAGGAGAGAAAAAAGACAAATGTAATGCAAGAACTTTATGTATCACCAAAGGGAAATTCATTCAATAATTCATCCAATAAAAAAAGGACAAAGTTGAATATTAAGTCTTTGTGCCAGTTCAAAAAACTTGAACTGAAATTTGTTGCAGGTAGCTGTAAATTGTTGTCTTTTGCACTCAGCCTTGTTATTTCTGCCCCCACTCCTCTGTTAAATTAACTATATCCCTCCTCTCCCCCTCTCTTGTCCTCTCAGGGCCCATTGTACAGTCGCCCCCATGGATCTGCTTTCAGCTAGCTGCCCTACTCAGGTGAGGGATACAGTACATTGAAGGAGATTTTGCTTGTATTTGATTCCGCTCCTTTTCATAGTGGCTGAAAGCCTGGCCTCCATGCAACCAGCCCCCCCTTCCCCCTCCTCCTCCCTGTCCTGTCCAGTTCCCAGGGGACCCCCACTCTTTCCCGGGCTGCCCAGGGTGGAGCAGCCTCAGAGTGGGGCAAGAAGGGAACAGACAAGGGTATCGTTTACAGCCTCCCTCCTGCACTCACACAGCACTCAGAGAGCACAGAGACAACCTCCACCTCCACCTTACCTGCCTCCCTCTCTCCTCCGCACACAGATACACAGTGATGTTGCACATCTCTTTCTTCATCTTTCCAATTAGAGATACATGTCCTATCGTTTTCAGCCATTCAGCCACCCATCCAAGAAAGAGGCAGGCCACAGTGGAGTTGTGGCAGGCAGTAGCGAGGCGCTGAAAAGAAAATCAGATTTGGTGACTGGTAGAGGTACAGGTGGTTAAATAGAGTGGCACAAGTACATTTACGAGGAAAAAAAGACATATATATGGATGGACATTGAACAATGCATCTGCAATGATTTTAGTGTGAAGTGCACATTTCAATATAATGAAAGTGAAAACTTGAAACTGTTATCATCCAACTAGAAATCAGCCTCACACTCCTTGTTCCAAGGCTTACCCGTGAGATTATGTTCAGTTATGTGCTGCTCGTGGATGAGTACCACCAGCAGCCCACCCAACTAACATCATCCACTTGACAGAGGAGCAGTACTATCATGTCGGTCTCGAGTGGTCTCTTTACACCCAACAATAGCTGCAGGGCGCACTCGCAAACAGCAAGCCCCCTGCTGCATTCAAACAGCACACTGCTCCCCACAGTTAAGGAATTGGATTAACATGGATCTTTGCTCCTAGAAAGGAAAAGGAACAGTGGAACTGTGAACCTAAACCCGTGCAAAAATACCTTAAATACCAGCGCTTGTTTGTTATTTTTTAATTAAGAACTACTTTTGTAATCTACGATGACGGTAAAATACCCTTAACCTTTTTTCTCTAAAATAATACAGCTAAAATAATGTATACAGTGATTCAGATGTGAAAACAACCTTAAGATGGTCTTAACTGGATCCATTTTAAGTGTATTTGTTGTCTGTTGCTTGAGGATGCCCACAGGGCATCTTTAGGAGCAAAGGACTCCCATTGAAATACAAGATCCCAGCAGGATAACACGCCTAATATAGCTAGACATTTCCTACCGCTGTAACGGATTAGTCAGCCTCTCTGCAGGGTAACACAAACACACAAACAGTGCTGGTTTAACTGACTGCCAGACCAGGCTCATGTTGCAGCTGTTTAACTCCACTTTTCTCTGCATTAAGATGTTTAATGTTTGATATTTTGATTAAAAGCGAGTTTTGCTCCACAATAGCATTAATCTTTACTTTAGTGTAATTTAGTGCATAAATAAAACGCTGATTTTATTTTGGTGAAAATTAGTTTGCGGATCTTTATGACTAATGTGCCTCTGTCCTCCCTCCAACACTAGTTAATACTATAAAACAAAAATAAAATAAATTCTGCTCAAGGGGCTGCAAACGCGAGAAACTTCTGGGCTCATTGACTCTATTTGTTTATAGCTTATTTGGCTGTCCTTATCTTCCTCCTCCTTCCAGATTAGTGCTGCAGTCTGCTTGTTTTCACACCATTAAAGCCAATCCACATCCTCCTCATTGGCGATGAAGGGGTGGGGGTCTCCCTTGGAGATCAGTGACGCCTCACTGACCACATCAATCAATCATTCTCCCTCTGACTACCTCTCTCCTGCTCCCTTTTGTGTCTCTCTGTATGTCTCTGTCTCCATATCTCTGTGTCTCGCCTACTCGACTTTAATATCAGTCTCATCCCTCTTTCCCACACAAGACAGGGGGACTACTTATCATAAAAACACAGAAATGTTGTTGTTGTTGTCAGGAGAAAGTCATTGTTTGAGCTGTCTTGGATGTTCATCAACTTATGAATTATAATCATAACGCTTTTTAATGGGTAGTTCATGATATATGATTTATTGAAAAGGGGCGTCATTAATTTTATCCACCAAAAAATGAACTTCAAAATCTTCCATATTCGTTGTTTATTTGCCTATTTTTTCTCAGACAGAAGTTTCTTTTTGCGCCACGTGTCTATCTAAGGCACCCACACATTTCTCTTCAGTCTTTTAGAAAAACTCGATACTTGTCAATATAATGGGGATGACTTGACAAAATGTGTAAATGAAGTTAGCTGACAATAGCGATCAGTTGAACTTGGCCTCCCTTTGCAGCAAAAGGATTTTTGTTCCTGTATTGCCCTCCTGGGAGGTCATGTACTGTTACGCAAAATGCAGGCCACATATGTGCATCTCATGTGTTGTGATAATAATACGGGCCTTTCCAGTTTCAGTGCAATCCTAGACTTTGGACATTCAAAACAAGGAAAAAAGAAAGTTGGTGGTGATGAGTTGTTGATGGCCTTGTAACTAAACTTTTAAACTTTTGCTTCTTGCACTAAATAATAGGGCCAGTGAGGTTTTAATTACATGAAATTGAGTCTAAAGGTATAAGTGAACAAATTAAGGTCATGTACACAAACTGGATTGAGTAATTCTCCAAATCTAAACTTCCAATTTTCAAATTCATAGTTTATTTGTTACTCCAGAAGTAAGACACTCTGAAGACCAGCACCATACTTGTTCTTCAGACACATCACTTGGCTGGGGCTGTGCCAATACGCAGGTAGTCAGCAGTGGCCAGAAACTGTTAGACAGGCATCTATATATGTAGCAAAATGTGGGTTTCTTAAGCCAGGATAAGGGCTTTTCGTGGTTCCTGAAGTTGGGATGAGATGTTGATATGGTCAAATACAAAAAACAGGATACTTTAAAAAACAACAACCAGAACTTGGATACCCAAGTCGACATAAATGGACACAGTGTTCCTTCTTAACTCTCAGTCTGTATGTCTGCCAGCTAAAGGTCAGTGCTAAGTGGGCTGAGCGTAAACAATGCCCTCAGTACGCAGGACAGGCACAGCCAGTGTCCCAGAGTAAACGTCCAACAACCACCGCATGTGATGTGCATCAAGCCCTCCTTATTCACCTCCACTCTTCACCTCCTCCTCACTCTCGATTTCTTTGGTTTGAGTTTTGCCGCCTTTTTACTGTTTCATTTTTTGGCAACTTTTCAGTCCACTCTACTTTCTCTTCCCCCTGCCCTCCATCTCCATGTCATTCCCTTCCCCTCTTTCCTCTCCGCTCCTCTCCCCATCAGTCCCCATCAGGAGGAACCTAATAGGAAATCAAAGTTTCTGGTGGAAGAATGGACTGGGGCTTAGCGTTACCGTCCCCTGGGTCCTCCCTGCTGAAAGAGGAGTGCAGAAAAGACTCTATACTGGCACTGTGAAGGGGAAGGTTAATGCAGCAGATAGTCTTTCCAGTCGCTCTTTTTACGTGTCTCTTCATTCATTCTTTTTCTCTCAGACACACTCACTCTATTTCTGTTTTTTCTTTTTTTTTCTTTTCAGCTCTTTTACCTTCTTGCTGCCTTTTAGCCTCATTCAAAGCCCACAACACACTCACAAACACACACACACGTACTCAGCGCACATGCACTCTTTGTTTTTTTTCTTCTTGGGTGAATAGCATTGCAGGTGAACTCAGCTGCCCCTGGCCTGATGGTGTTTGGCAAGGTAGGGTTTGCAGCCCGCCACTGCACCATCCGTCCTTGGGGATGTGGTGTGTTTGATTGTAGAACGGATCATGTGTGTGTGGGTGTGTGTGTGTGCCACCCGCGGCCCGGCTCGGCACGCACCCCTGCCCTTCAAAGCACTGCCTATGTGTAGCAATTGACTCCATGGCCCCTGTGAGCTCAGGTACTGCCGCCTTGTCAAGCATGTCAAGAGGCATTTACAAAGGCTGTCAGTGTGCACTGCTACATGTGCGGTGATGGGATCCATTTTAATAATTAACAAATCGACAGCAAATCCTCACGACATGGTCGAAGCCCTAAAAAAAGACGCTGAAGTTTTTGCTCTTTCGCTTTCGAACTCATCTTAAACTCAAGTGATGGTGGAGATACTTTCTAAGTTAACCATGCTCTAGAAAAGCTCAGTGGAGAATGTGTCACTGCTCTGAATCTGTTGCTACAAGTTATCTTATATTATTATCATTCTATATTTATTCAATCGTATCATTTTGTAGACTTCATAAATAGATATATTTTCACAACATTAAACGTAGAGAGTTCAGAATGTATGAAAATGTACACAGTTTAAGTTGAATGTTGGCAAAAGACAGAAGACACTAGGGATGAGAATCGATAACCGCTCCCAGTGATTCGATTTCTAAAAATTCCTTCTCTGCCTCCTCAATAGTTCTGCTAATCAATTCCTCTTACGTCTCTAGGCGTGATGACGTAGTACGCAAGAAGTGTGTTTTGGTTCAGAACTTTCAAGCATGGCGTTGAGGCAAAAGCAATCCAGAGTTTGGCTGTATTTCACGTGAAAAGATGATACCAGGGCTACTTGCAACACTTGCAAAGCTTTAAATTCGTCGAAGGGGGGAAAAAGCAGGAGCAGAGTTAACATCTCGGCGTCATCTGCTTTAAATTCTGAAGGTAACGCTTAACTCCTCCAGGTCTTGTCTGTTGTGTAGACGTTAGCACCATGTTAACCCCCTTTCACTTTATAAATATTCTCCAGCTCTCTATGCTTTCACGCGCAAACTGCAAACAAAAAGCCACTCGCGGCCACAAGTAATGCTCATGCTAGGGCTGTTCTGAGCATTATTTGTGGCTATGAGTGGCTTTTTGGTTGCGGTTTGCGTGTGGAGACATAGACCGATGTGTATTGCTATCGTGCGGTCTTTGCCAAAGTTGGTGTAACTAGAGAAGCAAGTGGTCAGCAAAATTCATTTCTCGGGGGGGTCGTCTAACCCGGTGTTACGGTGTGTTTGACCATGGCTTTAACTTCGGAATATCCCTTTGATACTAAAGACAAGCCATTGCAGTGGTACGAAATTCTACGTAGTCTTGAACTAGCAATATGAAAACGGTTCAAGAGATACTTGAGAGACGCACTTCTGGAGACGTAGCTTGACCTGGGACATGTGTTTTAGGAGTAGTTCCTCTCCAAATAGCTACCACTCAATATTCTTTTTTTTTTTTTTTGCTAAAACTGACAAGACTTCCTTGGAGCAAAGGGGCTTAAAATTGTGTTGGCTCACATTTGTGTTGGAGCACTCGAGCATTAGAAGCATTCCTGCACATCTCCACGCTTGTAAGGCGTCACATGCCTCAGCAGACTGGCAGGAAGTGTTATGTAAAAGTAAAGGCTAAGCCTAGACTTAGTCCTGTATTACCTGTCAAGCATCAGCCTCTCCTGGGCTGAGCGGTGCAGATCCTGCTGTGTTAAGCTGCTTAAACACTCGGAGGTGGATTGGATTTAACAGTGTGAACGCCTCAGGGGGCTTTGAGGGAGTGCTGGAGGAGAAGGCAGGGGAGAGGGGGTCTACGAAACAGGGTGGAGTGCAGGAGTCAGGGCAGGGGGGAGTGGGGGAGGCAGAAGATAAAACGTGTGACATTTATTTTAGGACAGAAAAGCTTGGAAAAATGGAGATGTGTGAGAGAAGAGAGAGATTAGGCTAAAAATGAATCTAGAACCTCCAAAAAGCAAATACTAACCCCCAAATTTCCACTCTGAAGCTACCTCTTCCCCCTCCATTCCCCTCACGCCCAAACACCACCCACCTGCCCTCTCTGCTCCCCCACAGAAGAGTTCGGATTCTTGGAAGGTGTTGGGTGTCTACAGTGTCACAACTAAACAAAACCATTTGAAAACAAAGTGGGCCGGTGAATGTCCCGGCGCAATCCGAGCCCTCTCCCTTTGTGGCCGCAGAGAAAAACGGCCTCTCAGAATCAAGGGGATCGAGGGCGGGTGGCAGGGAGGGGGGAGGCACACCATTTCAATCCACAGGTTATCCCCCCTTATCCACCCACCCAGACCCGCTTTTACTGCCTCCTCTCCACCCCACACACACCCACACTTTTAAGTGCACCCTTCAAAGGTGAACATGCTATCTGAAACAGAGCGGTCTGTGTTACAGTACCTGCAAGCGCAAGATACTCCCTCTGTTTTATTTCCTCCTGGCTCTATTGAGACATTATTCCCACTTTCCCTTATAATATGGTAATCCTATAATACCTAAATGAGCAATCAAAGGTGACTATAGCAGACTTGTAATTCAAGTATGTGTAGAATTAGAGATATCAAATGTGACAGGTTAACAATAAAAAATCAAAAGGATGATTAGGATAGAAATAAATGCTTTAAAGTCAAGATTATGAGTAACCACACGTGACATTTGTTGAACAGGGCGATGACAGGGCATTGAGTCATTCTTTTGCTTTCTATGTAACATGAGACCTTTGAGGATCAACTCACAAAAGACAAAAACTGACAGTGATTACTCATAGTCATGTGCCGAAACAAAGTGGGGTTTGTTTGATTACATAAATGTCAGTAATGTTCAGTGTGAAAGCTGTTCCTTTCTTTTTTTTTACTCCAATCTAAACATGTTTGGAAAATAAATTACGGATTTAAGTCAATCAAATTCTGACAAAATTTCTCACCCAGGTTTCTACTGCTGTCAAACTGTAAGATATCATGACTTTACAGTTAAGCCCTTTGATTTATATCTCAAATACTCTGTTATTTCTTTATTTCAATCTGCACACAAAGAAAAACACAGGTCATCTGTCACGTCTACACTGCTGATTATGGGAAAACGATGCCCCCTGTTAATGTTTCTGGTTTGTGTGTGCCTCTGTGTGTCAGTGTGATGAACTGTCTGTCAATCACAGTAAGAGTTAATTATTTTGTCGCCCCGCTGGGTGTGAGCGTGTGTCAGGAACTCTGACCCAGAGACCCAGGGTTGGGTCACCGACACATACATTCTTCCCCCAGAGAGAGAGTCCACCAAGGATGGTCCATTGGCCACCTGACAAACCACTTTGCTGACCAAAATGATGACAGTGTATCTGTGCATGTGTGGTTTCGTTACTGGGCCCACTTTGCTGACAAAAAACTGACAATTTAGTGTCACCAAATATGACAAAACTGAGGGGGAAACGGTCTTTTTTTAAGTTGCTCTTCCAGGCCTGTGTGTGTGTGTGTGTGTGTGTGTGTGTGTGTGTGTGTGTGTGTGTGTGTGTGTGTGTGTGTGTGTGTGTGTGTGTGTGTGTGTGTGTGTGGTGGGGGCGCAGTGCAACAAGCGGAGACGGAGAGCGGCAGGACCACTGAGAGATCAAGTAATCCCACAGGCAGCACAATGGACACCTCTGGCTAAGGTCCTGTCTGTCAGACCAGTGGATGCAGGGGACAGAGACGAACTCAGTGGTTGGTTAAGTCAGCCTGTTTGTTTGTCTCCTGTTAGTGCGTCTGCTGTCTCTGAATCATTCAACAGTCACTACTCCCTACAACTCATGGAGAGTTTAGTGAAGAGGACTGCAAAGAGACAAAAACATTTACAACACTGAAATATTCATTTTCTGTGCGGTACCAACACTATTTTACTCCCAGTACAGTGCATAAGATGGTTTTTCATTACTTTACAGGATGTATTATCAGATCCTTTGAGACCACTTCATAGGCTGTAATAAGTTTTATTTATCATTCAGACTTTTCCAGCTTGTATTATTGCAGGGAACAATTGAAGGAAGTGATTTAGATTGGATCATTCATGAATACAAGTGCCGTCATTTTGCTTTGAATGTTCTCTTATCTTCACTCGATTTTCTAAGATGAAATCTTTCACATAGATGATGTAGAAGATGATATATTTGAATAAGTGAAGATAGGTAGGGTAGGACCATAGGCAGTGTATACTATGGACAACTTGGTTCCGCCTTCCGCCAGTATACAAATTTGAAGCTGAAAAGCTTAAGGTAATTCCGCGTTTTTCTCCACTTCCTGAAAACAACATTGTGCAGTAGCGTTGTACGCACTCCACCACTTGCGCAGTAGCATTGCACGCATTCGGCGGGAGAGTCGCTGTGATGACACTCGGCTCAAATAGCGTATCCCCTGGGTGAGCTATGCAATCTTCGTACGCCCACAGGCTGTATCAAGTGTTAATCATAGAAAACATGAACCCCCTAATAACTTTTAAAAACTGAGCTGTACAGAAAAAAGAGGAGTACAAACCAGTCTTACAATAACTTCTTGTCTACATCGCAACCAGGGGGGAGAAAAATTTATATTCTGTGTAATAAATTTCTAAAGTTTGTCCACAGCTCCATAGTGATTGCTGGAGGAGGAGGCAGGATTTATGACCTATACTGCAGCCCGTCACCAGAGGGTGCTGTTCTCACGGTGGCTTTACCCAGCGAGGAGGCAGACGGTGTCCATTCTATGTACAGTCTATGGGTAGGACACATGAAAAGGTATTGTTACTTCAAGTCAGTCATCAATGCTTTGATTTGCTAGCACTGATAAAATTGTCCTTAAATATCCCTCAAGGTCATTGATCAGCCCTCTTAAAAACATGTGTTGTACCACAACCTAACATCAGTTATCAAAGCCACATCAAAACACCATCCTTTAAAAAAGTCCCTCCAGTTTGATCCAATAGACACTGCCTACGTGAATAAACAATAACAAAAAGCTCTCACTTTAATCCTATCTAAACCTAAAACCCTGCTCTTCATTTTCCCACAGGAGAGAAATAAAAGCTTGTACAATAAACTGGCACCTACATGTGTCTCGCTCCATAAACTCCAGCGCACACCGTGAGCCAAATTGATGGAGAGTAAACCGAGAATGAAAATTAAAACACTGTCACCTTGTTTTTGGAGATGAAAGATGCTGGGTAAAAGAAAAGTGAGCGAGGCGTTATTGGATTAGCAGCCGGCACAATCTCATCTGTGCAGATTTGCCTCTGTGCAGTAAATGTGATTGTGGGCAATAACACGTCAATTAAGGGGCCATGGCTGGACTATTGGCGGCTTTGTGTGAGGCTGCAGAGGAGGTGATTAGATTGGTGCAGGCCGGAGTGGGAGGACTGAGGGAGACGGAGTGAATACAGATGAGAAGATCCAGAACTAACCACTACCAAACACTCTCATGCAACGTTGGTTTGGTTTTACCGATAAGGTCCATGTTTTTTGTCACTTTCACGTGACTGTTGTTTTGCGTAATTAAAAGCAGAGGGATGATTGAGTGTGTTTGGAGATGATGACAGACTTCCTTCTTTCCTACTGCTTTACTTAAGTTCCACGAGACAAGAGATCCTAATCACTGATAATGATGAAACTTTGCTCCGATGCTGCCGTTTCTTTTCTCTCTTTGCAACTTCATGCCCACAGAATGAAAAAGGGTTTTTTTTTAAACATTGCAGCACCTTTAGAAGAAGAAATGTTTGAGCTTGATTTAGTATGAGTTTTAATGATATTATTTAAGTATTAGTAGCAGTATTAGTAATTTTATTTGTAGAACATCAACAATCTACAATGTCATTTGCCCTTTATCTCTTCAATGGCAAAGCCTGGCTACAGGTGAACCATTAATACTTCAACTCAGTAATTGTTTTTTTTTTTTTTTAAATCTACCTTTCTCTCTCCATGATAATATTTGATAATACTTTACCAAACGCCTATCTCTATAACGCATTATAAATATAAGTACAATGTGTTATAATCACATTATAGCACTGTAAATCTCTAGTTATAAACACTCATAAATGATCATAATGCTTTATAGCAATAATCACAACACATTATAAAGCATTTTATTATGACTTACAAGGTCAGCTATTATAATGTGTTATAACTGTTAACAACTCACTGACAATGCCCACATAGATAATGCATTATAAGTATATTTATGATGTGTTATAATTTGCTCATAAACGTGTATAACTATCATTATAAACACTCATAAATGATCATGATATCCTTATTGTTATAAAGCCGTATGATAATTATTGAGTATCTATAATGATAGTTACACAAGTTTATAAGCAAATTATAACACATCATAAATATATGTATAATGCATTATCTATGTGGGCATTGTCAGTGAGTTGTTAACAGTTATAACACATTATAATTGCTGACCTTGTAAGTCATGATAAAATGCTTTATAATGTGTTATGATTATTGCTATAAAGCATTATGATCATTTATGAGTGTTTGTAACTAGAGTTTTACAGTGCTATAACATGATGATAACGCATTATACATATATTTATAATGCATTAAAGAGATAGGCGTCAAGTAAAGTTACCATTTTCATTTTACATCTCATCACTTCTTACCTGCCCCCTCTTTTTGATCTCCATCCCCCATCTGTATGTCCCAAACAAGCAAGAAAAGACCTCTCTGATTTCACCCCCACAAACTGTCTTATCAGCCAGCGAGCCGATTGGGCTGGATGAAAACATGACCTTTCTCATGAGGGGTCCCTCACAGAGAACTCCAGGTACATTGATCAGGACGGATAAAAGCTGAAGGAAGAGGATACTGCACGCTCACACTGAGACTTATCTCCACGTACACTGATCAGAGATGATAAAGCCCTGCAAGGATAAGGGAAAGCAGTGGAGTGGCAAACAAGCACCATTAGGGTTATTCTATTCATACTAAGGGAGACAGAGAGTAGGGGAGGCAGTTAAGTGGCTAACTAGAGCCATTAGTACTACTCAGACTTTCAGAGTGATGGCTGGCAGGCAGGCGGGCGGGCAGACTGACTGATTGACTGACTTCCTGATTGACAGGAGCTGACGGGGGCCAAAGGGGCCGAGGTGGGAAAAAAGGAAAGACTACAAGATGGAGTAAGAGAGAAAATAACTTAACACGATGACAGATAAAATGAATAATACGCAACATGGTTTGTTTTAATGATCCTTTTGAGAGTGTAGTTGAAGATCAGACCACATATCAGTTCTTAGTTTCACCCTTTTGGCAGATATTTCTCTTACAAGCTTGTATATGTGGCTCTTAAACCGGACAAAGTTAAATCTAATCCATCTGGAGCCCAAGAGGAGTTAGTGATCAAGAGTTTTGTCAAAGACATAAAGCAGATGTCAGCGTCTAGAAGTAAGAGGAAGAGCACAGTGCATGGGGATGCAGTGCAAAAGTCTTGGTAAACTTTCAGATCTGTCCTTTTGTCCTGTGTTAAAAGCATCAGCGTGCAAAGGGGGGTGTGCTACGTGCACAGTCCTTCTGTAAACTGAGAGAGGTTAAATATAGAGGAGCAAGAAAAGTTAGAAAAAAGTCAAGGCGAGAGGATGTGACTGACGCTAAAGATGAGTGGAAACAAAAAGTTTGATGAAGGGAGGAGACGGGGTTGAGGGTAAAACAAGCTAGGGTGTGCATTAAAATTAAAAAAAAGGCCCCTCCTTTTCTCTTTACCACACGCTTGGCTGCTTCAGGATGGAGAGAGAAGGAGAAAAAGAGAGAGGGGACAGAGAAGAATAGAGGGTCACACGAGACAGTGGGGGCTTTGTGGGCACTTATCAGACACTGATGGCCGAGCAGTGGGCCCAGAAAGGGATGAAGGTGTATATGTGTGTGTGTTTGTGTGTGTGTAGATTGTAGAGGATGAATTTAGGGTAGTATATAGAAGAGTGGGATGATGCATATTTGAAAGATATGAAGAGCGAAAAAGAGAAACAAGACAATGCCAAGTAGTATAAGTCGCCGGCATGTAGATCACTTTACCGACCTGAAAGCACCTTCTGGAGAGCGTGAGGAGGAGAGGAAAGGAGGGATCTTAAGGATACCAACAAAGAGCGAGAAGGTCAAGGGGAGGTATGTGATATAGAGGGAGAGAAAATGGAAGGCGGAGGTAGGAAGAAGGAGAGTAGATTGGGTTTCACAGCAGGGAGAAGTCCAGTGTCACGTCCATCAGGATGTTGTTTCACAGGGAGAGTGGCTCAAAGGAGAATTCTGGATTTTGAGGACACTGAAGGAAAACTTCTGTGTTTGTTGTTGTTTCTCACTTTTTACCTCCATCCCTCTCTTTCCCACTGTTATACACACGCAGACACACAAACACCCCCTGTCAGCGGCAGCTCCCAGCTCCCTGCTGTGCACCCACTGAGAGGGGTCATGTCAGACATCAACTCCCGTCGCGTCAGCTCTTTTTCTCCCACAATTCAACACAGCTGAGGCTGTCACCACACTAACCTCCCTGCACCCCCCAAAAACAGGCCCAGACACTGGCCTCTGACACTTACGAAGGCACGCACGTATTTCTAATGTACTCACAAAAACTGAAGCACACACTCACACTTAATGCCTTACCAAACACATACATTTAGATGCAGCGGCGTCCCAGAAGAGACAGACCCCCAACTGAGTTCCACCAGCAGGGTGTCTGTGTCTGTTGTCTCTACCTCCCGGTCAGTTTTTACAGAATAGTGGGAACTGGCTGAACACGCACACACACAAAAAAAATCACAGCTGTCTCAGCAAGTCCACCAACAATATTTAAACTTGTTGAAAAGAACAATCATCCGTGAAAACAAATATTTAACATTTGTGGGAAACTGGTGGGAGTGGTAAAGTTTGATGCTTTTAAGAATGACTTTGGCAAATCGACCTGTAAAAACTGATCCAAACCAAATCTTGCTGTTATTCCTTTATTTTGAATAATTGTTGGATCTTTAACTTCATTTAAAACATAGATAAAGTGCCAAAGCCAAAGATAAAAAGTACTAGGGTGACATTTTACAATAACCATAACTTAGAAATGGTAAATAGACCATTTATAAACGGTATGCAGATAGTTTAGTGATGTTTAATCATCATTTATAAACAGAATATAGACCATTAATAAATTGTAAATTTTACAATATTAAATACCTAACCCTAACCCTCACCCTATCTTTACAATAACCATCTAAGTAATGTTTATAGATGGTTTAAAAACCAAATATTAACCTTTAACAAAGTGCTGCTGACACACATTTTAATCTAGATGTTTAACAACCAATATTTAAACCCTATATAAACCTTTAATAAATAATCCATTAATAATCAATGAAAATTATAAATCATAATTTAATTGCTTGTTAATGGTAAAGAAACTATTAACATACATTAATGAAACATCTATTTGCCATTTATAATTGGTCTTTATGCTGTTTTTAAATGATGATTAAACATTAATAAACTATCTATTTACCATTTATAAATTGTGGTTATTGCAAAGTGTTTCCAGTACTAGTTTGCCAAAAAGGTTTGAAATGTTTCTGAGTGGACATTTTGACTCTATATATTGAGTCTAATGGCACTAAGCAAACAAGACAGTTCATCCACTGCTTGGCAAAGCTAGCTTATTGTTTTTAGATGTTTTTATTCCCTGGCAGGGAGGAATGATAAATCAATGATCATTGTATCGTAGGTCTAGATGACAGAGACGTAATTGGCAGCATCATTTGATCCAAACAATTGCAGACAGGGGGACAATGCAAAGGCATGCAGAGCCAACAAAGCTCTGGTTGAAGGAGCTTCTGTAAGGAAGCCTGGGGATCAGTCTTTGTCCACCTGTCTTTCTGCATGTCTCCTTCTGTTTAATTAAAACACTGTGATGATGTGACAGAGTCAACAATGATGATGGCACCCACTCACTGGTGCTGCCACAGAAAAGAGGGGACAATGAAGGGCAACTTTTGAATCATATTTCTTTCGAAGCAATGCAGTTGTTTTCTGCTGTGATTTTTATTCCTATAAATCCACAACTATAGAAACTGGTATGATGTTTTCATTTGACATAATTAAAGCATAAATATATCAGCAGAATGATGGCGACACATATAGAAACAGTGGCACAATGCAGGGGAATGCAGCGCTAACAAAGCTCAGTTTGATGTTCTGTACGACAGCCAGGACGGATCAGTCAATGTCTCTCTGTGATTGGTGGGTTGTCTCAGCCGCTCCTCAGTATCACCTCCAGCAACATGGGAATTCTCCCCCGCTGCTCTACACAGAAAGAGAGAGAGCATGGTAACTTGAGTGATGACTAAACAAAAGCTGAACAAGCAAAGTCAAATAAGTGTTTGATAAGTCATCGGACAGCTCATATTTCAGGCCGTTTTGGCATGTTTTGATGATACCAACAGGGATGCAAATGGTAGCGCTATCTAAAGGAAGCTGTGCTCTTTTGAGATGATGCATATTTTATTTCATGTTCCAGACTCCATCTATCAATTTTTTGTGCACCTTGGGATTATTGTATTATGGTTGAAGCACCCAGGGAAGTTTTGTGCACAGACCTGGTGTACAGCAAAGCCAAAAACAAATGAGTAATTTACTACTGCCCTGAGCTACCATTAAGCAGTTTGGGCCACTAGCTGACCTCTAGTTATGCTCGAAAATGCTGAAAGTTTGAGGGCTAAAAGAGAAAGCAATACTAACCAGCAAGGAATAGTAATGAGAGGTCATCAAACAGGTGATTTTCTGACTCAGTCCAGCCAACACAATTCACTTTCTTTTCCTAACTGCTTTACCGGAGCTTACCCGGACACTCCTGTGGGCCGACAACGTATCTGAGCAACCCCTTAAAAGCCTGCGCTTCACTGTGTCCAGGGTTTATCCTTCCTTTCTAACTGACCAATAAATGAAAACCCTCGGTGACCAACTAATTATTTTGTTAATAGTTTCAGGGTTGTCAGATAATTGAAGGAGATCTATGTCAAAATAAACAGTGACATCAAGTTTGTATGAGCACATTTACCATGCATGAGCTCCGCTGACTGAAGCTCTGTCTCAATGTTGTTTCCCGCAGTCTAGTACAGGCTACTATAATCCGATGGATGACCCAGTCTTAAAATCATCATTATATTTTATTCCAGCAAATATCTTTTTGGTTTTTGTGCGCGGGTTCATTAAAAAGCCAATTAGATCCTTCTGTCCGTCTGTTGATCTGCCAGAGCTGATGACCTCAACATTTTTCTACATGAAATGTCTTGTGTTGTTGGTATACCCCTTCATATGGAGTTGTGTGTATGCCTCTCTGCGTCTTTCTTTGGGGGAGATGGGGGGCTGGTTACATCCCAGACGTGTTACCACGGTGACAAGGTGCTCCCTGCCGCCGTCGGGTCTCGGCCAAGTTGGGCGCCATGGTGACTGGGTGGTGACAGACTGTGTGACTGGGACACCATAGTTGGGTCAAACTTTAAAAAAAAAAAAGTGTACGCAGCAACACATGCAATGTGTGCATTTACACATGTGCTCGACTCAGGCATTTGATATGAATGAATAAAGCACATATAACTACCATGCAGCAAGTGCAGTTGAAGCTTTCTACATATTACATCCATGCACAGCATGTATGGTTTACACATTCACCTCTATTGTGCTTCTGTGCGTTATCTGTGTGTGAGCCAGTTTTGATTGCGTGTGCTTGTATCGTATTAGACCATGAAAACAATTAAACAGAGATGAATGAGAGCAGTTATCGCCTCCAGCAAAAACATCCATTAAACTTCCACCACAATTGAGATGTTGTTATCACTGTGTGTGAGTGCATGTATGCATGTGTGTGTGTGTGTATGTGTGTGTGCGTTAAACACTTGCTGCATAGTGAGACAGCAGGGTGATTTATATTTCTGTGTTGTTGCATGTGCGCCTGCCTGTCTGTGTGGGTGGGTGTGTGAATTTTTAAACACTCAGACACAGACAAAGCAGACAGACAGGTACATTACAATCCTGGCAAACAAACATGCAAAAAAAAAAACTCATACCAATTCAGATATAAGGTGCAAAAACACACACTCGCTCTCTCTCTCTCACACATAGAAAAAAACCTTGACCAGGCAGGCAGGGAAGCAAGGAGCCACTGTGTGAGCCTCCTGCTGTGAGGGGTCATGACTCCTATCAGACTCTGTGTCAGTCTGCCTATTGTGCCCTGGATAAAACACAAACACACACATACATACACACATGCATCAACTTACATGGTCTCCGTGACGATGGTGGGGGCGACAGTAAGACGGCAGGATGGCGCTGTGGTGTTCTGATGAGGAAGACCTGACCTCATCGTCATAATATTTGTCACTGTATCTGATCTCAAGTACCAGGTGTAAGGAAGTCTTTTAGGGGCGGACACTTGGGAGACTCATTTGTAGTTTGACATATACTGTAAATGTTATAAAAAATAATAGAGTTTGTGTCTTAAATCAAGAACTTTGTAAATTAATTTTATACTTTCTATGTATCAGAAATAGATTGGACGTGTTTTGTATGTTTTTTCACATGAGGCCAAAAATGTTCTCTTCATTTTTATTTGAATGTTATGAACTAGCAATAAAATCGGGAAGTTAAGTGTTTGCTGTCAGACCTGCCTGTATGTGCATGTGCTTGTGTGTTAACCTGTGTGTTTCTCTGTGAGTGTGTGTGTGTATGTGTGTCACAAGGGAGGGGGCTGTCTATATTTGAGCATACAGGCCAAGCAAAGAAAGGACACGGTCAGACACAACCACTCAAACAGTTTTAAAGCAGACAGTTTTTTTTTATCACTTTATGGGACTCTCAGCGGGCACATACACAGATGGGGGCTCACAGCGCAACTATTAACCAAACCTGGTAAATTATTAGAACCACAGACAACAGCTGACATTTCTCTATGCTGATCAACCTGCTTCAAAACACCACAGCTTGATTTCTTCAATCTAAAACTCATCCAAAATAATTTTGGACTTTAACTTTATAAGCTACATGCCTTCAAATCAGTGACAACAGCTCCTAATTTAGTCACATATGGACTTCAAATTTTGTCATTATTGGCACAGCAGCCAGATATTTTTTCACAAATAGTTGATGTGCATAACAATTCTATTAGTATAAACTTGGACGTAGTATATGTAGTAAAGAAATATTGCTGAAACAGAGTTATGCTAATTTATTTAAATGATGTGCACATGTTTTATGCAGAATAAGTGTTTAAAAGAAGAGAAAATCTTATTCCTGACATTTGAGGGGACACAGCATTGAAAATAAATTGGTGTGCATGTGGGAATAGGGTTTATTGCTTTTTGCCTGGTGACAACCACATGTTTGGGTTTTAATTATTATCAGCTTTGATAGAGTAATTATTACACGTGAGCAGGCAAAACTATAGTCTAACTTTGCAACAGGATCTGGTGACTGTGTATATTACTGTAATTTTGTCAGGGCCGGTAATCAGTGTACACACATTGATCTCAGTATGGCCACACAAAGTATAAACAATTAGAGCACACCAAACATGCACACACAAACACAACTTTAAAAGTTACAAAGAGGCAGCCTTCAAAACCTGCAAGAGGAACCCATCCCACACTCTGATCTTCTGTTCAAATCTGTGTAGCTGCTGCCCCCCTTTGACCGGTCTCTGACTCACCGAGTGTGATTAGACAGATCTGAGTTTGGGCATGTCCCATGACAGAGGTGAATTAACAGAAGGTGAGCAGAGTCTGTAGCTAAGTGGGCTATGTTGACTATAAATGTAAATTATTAGCTTCATTTCATTTAAACATCCTACTTCTTAACATGTTAACTTTCTATAATCTGAATTTCAAAAGAGACATTGTGTGATTTCGGTTTTTGAGCTAATACTTGTGACTGCACCATCATCAGCTAGTCTTAAAACTCCTACTGCATCTTAAAGAGGAGTTGAGCAGAAGCTTTAAAATATTTTTTTTCTGTCTGTTCATCTTATTGTAAAATGATACAAATGTATGGGCAACCATTAAAAAACATATACATCATGTACATGACAACATCTAGAGATGAAAACATTGATCAAGTGTGCGTGTTATAGTAAGGAAAAAGAGGAGATGGAAAGTTTATGCGGATGGGGAAGGGGGAAAATCTGTTTCATGATTTTGTCATGATCTGTCTGGAGGACCCTCCAACAGACCTCCAATGTGAGGACCCACCTCCACTGAGCTGACCTGAAGTTAATTTGAAGCCTTTCAAAATACAAGCAAATGTACCAAAGACACAGTTGAGGTATGCTACAAAGGGTCCCAACCATAGACTGTATATAGTATATACCAGTGGTTCTCAAATGGTCTCACTCTGGGACCCACATTTTCCCATGGTCCGCTGCTGTGCATGCCTGTATGTGTTGCTGTGGGTGGGAAGGGACGGGTTTTATACTTATTTTATTGCATTATATTTGCCGTTGTTGGTTTTTATCTTTTTTGTAAAGCACCTTGTGTTGCAGCTTGTATGAAAGGTGCTATATAAATAAAGTTTGATTTGATATCTCATTTCTTGCTGTTTTGTTATAAGTCTTTGCGCCTCCCTAGTTTTGTTGATTTATTTATATGCCTGGTAATCTTTAAATGTCTTTGATTTTTCCAAATCACGCGGTTCATGAAACGTGTTTAGCTCTAAATTTAACCTTACGTCACCGGTTTCGTAAGAGATATAGGACTAAAAGTCAAGAGAGTTCCGCCCTCCACACTCTCGCCATCGGTAGGAAATATCGTTTAGCGCATTGTAGCATAATTATAGGGAGTTAACTGACAGTAATTAATTCTTTAAACACTAGAATACCCCTAGTGAACAACGGGACTCTTAAATGGGAGGAAACAATGCTGTGTTATCATTAATGAAGGCGAAATGTAAAGCTCCGCCAAGCACGGAAGTACTGTGCAGAGTGCTATCTTGACTCAGCCTCAGTTTCCGCCCCTCTGACCAATCAGCGCAGCAGGCTCACCTTCTCCCCGGGCTGCAGGAGTTAGCGGGAAATAGACGGAGGCTAATCTCAACCGGGTACCGGACTTTACAGCTATTTTTGGGCCTTTATCTGTCTTTCTTGGTCTTAATTTGCTAATGAAAACTGTCAAAGCTGAATCTCACAGAGTTACTCGGGTTAAATCTCAGTTGTTATCGTTCATTTGCTTCGCTTGCTCTGCTGACATCCGCTCAAGCGTTAGCTAACCGGAACGCCGTGCCTCATCCGACAGGACTGAAAAACACCAGAAAAACAAGACAAAGAGGCGACGCGTTCAAGCAAGAAAAGAGGGCTGCAGACATGAGTTTTTCCTTTCTAGACCGATTTCGTTTTGACAAGAAGGCAGCGAAGGTAGAGCCGGACAGAGACTCTACAAGTCCGGAGTCCGAGAAGGAGAACAAGCCAGGTAAGGAGTGAGGAGCTGTGGATCAATAGCATGTTATTTTTTTACTATCATGATGAGAATGACAGTGCCCTCAAGTCCAAAACATCCAAGGAGCCAGAAACAACCATTTTGAGCAAAACAGCTCGTAAAACAAATGACTCATCTTTTACATCAGTATAATAAATCTATATGCACCTGATTCTGCTGCTCAAAAGGGAGAAGTGTGGTGAGATGGTTCAATTACACGAGTAACACGTGACTAAGCTTCCATTATCCATCTTTATTGACATGACACATTTCCTACTAATGAGATGCATTTAGCAGCTGAAAACAAGAACAGGCAAAATAATGACAAGGCATGGGATATGTTGATTAAGAAGTAAATGAAATGTCAATAGGGATATACAAATGAACATCAACTGAAATAAAAAATAATGAAGATCACAAAAGGAGTAGAATTGAGTAATATTAAAATTTTAAGTAATGAGCCAGACTGAGTCGATTGGATTTTAGTGTAGGTAACAGCTGCAGTATCTCTGGCTCCTCTCAGGACCTCCAGCAGGCTGACCAAGCATCTCAGACTGTAGTGACTGACAGCATCATCTCTGGAGCAGGTTCAAGGTCCGAGTAGGGCTGGGCGATATGGGAAAAAGTTTATCACGATATTTTTTTTCATATCAGCCGATATCGATATATGTCACGATATAAAAAATGAAATTTTACAGTGTGGATTGGTAGCGTGTCTTTTGCAATACAATAAGCTACTGCACCTATGACGTCTTCATGTCTCTTCTACTACACGGTTGTTTGCTACTTGGTTCTAATTCAGCACATGATTGGTTCAGCGTGAAGTGGACCCAGAGCAACTCCCCTTTTCATTGACTATTAGTTTATGGCACAGGGAGGCCCCTTGGACCTAGGGCTGGGCGATAAAACAGTAACGATATATATTGAAAATAAATTGACCTCAATATCAACATAAAACACGATCAATATGCTTTTTGATAGTCAGCATTCGGAAATGTTTTGGTAGACTAAACAAAGACCATCTTGGTTATGTAGTATGGTGTGTGAGGTCCTCTTAAACTACTAAAGAAACTTAAAACTAATACGAAAACTGACAGTAGTCAGTGTTGAGAATTTTAAAGATGTGTTATGTTTACTCTTCTTCTGATCCTTGTCAGAACATGTGCTGCAGCATTATGAAGCTGTTTATTGTGATCTTTCGTGGGCCAGAGAGAAGGGCATTGCAGAAGCAGAAAAGGCCTGCATGAGTCTGTGTTGCTTTGAGAGAGGTCTCATTTTGTAAATGTTCTTTAATTCATGAAATGCTGTTCTGATTGTGGTGTCTTGGTGTTGGTTTCATACCTGTCAAACTTTACTCTTTTGTACTTTCAAATGTATTTTGTAATTTAAAGATTAAAGTTGTGTAGACTGCAAATACTAAGAAATCGTTATAAAAATTATGTGACCATTATTCTGATGCCACCTCTGCTTTCAGAAAACCACTTAAAACATGAGTAGTTCATCCATATGCCTTACCTGAGGGATGAAATATCCATATCATGATGAAGGCCATGACAGTTCAGCATTGTCTTCAATTAAAAAACGACCACACCACAATTAAATCATTCATTTTCTTGCTGTTCTTCTTTTTAGCTAAAAAGCCTCCTGCGAAAGTTCCTAAGTCCCATGACCGTCTTGCGGCTTTGGACGAAGTCATAGCTACTGATTCGGAAGAGGATGAAAAACCTCCAGGAACATCACATACTGCCAAATTCAAGTACGTGTCACCTCACTGACAAAAGTTGTCCTTTTTTTTCATATTGGTGCTTATTGTGGTAACATGAGTTTCATCTTCAGGATTCCTGTCGTAAAACTATCAAAACAAGGAGATTCTGATCATTCAGATGATGAAAAGCAAGACAAAATGAGCAAACTGCAGGAGATGTTTCCTTATCTCAATGAGAAGGAATTACTGGGAGTAAGTAGAAAGAAAGAAGAGAAATCAAATCTTTTTGTCCATGCCAACACAAGTTTGCCACGTTTCCTTTTAATATGTTGAGTATCCTGGTTCAAAACGCCAAATTCTGTTCTGGTTTCAGGCTATAGACTGCACCAGCACATTGGAAGGGGCTGTAGCTGTATGCAATTTCAATTACAGTCATAAAAAAAGTAAGTAATGTCATTTTTTAAGCACATTATTGAGGTTTATACACAATGCTACAAGAACAGGAGAGTGAAACATACTTTGCTGTGAGGCTGCAAGAAAATTTTGATTGTACAACATATATGTTTTTAAAGTTGGCAAACTGAAAGAAGTTATTCCTGCAATTTACATGCAACTGTGTTTGATGTTTATGATTATCCTATCAACTGTAAGTAGTTCAATTCTAAACTCATTTTGATGATTGTAACTTACAGCTAATGAAAACCCAACATTCAGCGTATCAGAAAATGAGATTACTTAAGACTGATAACAAACTGATTCTCAACACAGAAATGTTGGACTACTGAAAAGTATGAACATGTATAGCTCTCAGTACCTGGTTCCAGCAGCAATTATGCGCAGAGCAGGAAACAGGGTGAGAGAGTCGGGGAATGACATGCTGAAGAAGTAGGCACAGGCTGGAAGTGTTTATAACCTCTGTATACGGGGCACATGTGGACCATTCGGCCAGTGAAGCCCCACTTAATAAAAATATACAGGGTAATTGGAGGCATTTTACTCAGGCTCAGGTATAAGTGAAGTTAAAACCCAGTGAAAGAAGGTTGTTTAGTTCAGTTTGAGGGTGGTAACAAACAACTCATGCTGGAAAAAATCTCTCAGTTAAAAGAGTTCTTAGCAAAATGAATTATGCCTGTGTCTTATTTATATTCAGCCGATCAAATGGTAAACTATTTTGGGTTGGTTTGTCTTTTCAGAGCTATATCTAATCAGCAAAAGAAAGAGAAACAGTTCCAGCGATTCTGAAGACAGTGATGAAGGTCAACCCAGCAAGAGGACGAAGTCATTAGAGGTCAGATCTCCGATGACACAGTTCTTTCTTTCTCTCTCTCTTTTTTTCAGGTACAACTAGAGCTGTTTAGATTGACCCACAGTGGTCCTGATAGTGGCATTTTATGCTCAAACAGCTATTTGACAAAGTTGATTTTTTTTTACCATTGTGCTGTTAAATACAAGTTTCCCTATGTTTGTTGTGAATTTTAAAAGCAAAAATGGCTCCTTAAACATATTACACTGCATTTCCTGTGTTTGAAATATTCAAGGTTTCTGAAGAGAAGAAGGAAGCAAAGATCAGAAAACTGTCTAAAAAGTTTCCTCACCTGGACAAGAATGTGAGGACACACAAACACTTCATGTTGGCTTTTCATACCAACATGGACGTTCACTTTGAACCTCTCATTCTGATTAAACTCTTGACCACATGTGCTCCATGATGTTGAAGCAAACAGAGTATTTTTTTTCGTCACTGAATCGAAGGTTCAAATGTGTTGCTTTCGGTGCATTGCAGGAGCTGCGCATGGTGCTGCAGACACATGACTGGAATGATCGGGATGCTCTGCAGGCTCTTGAATTGTTTTCTGATGAAGGTACAAACAGCAACCATCACTGAAATCCATCCATCTATCTGCTGATTTTATTCTGACTCCAATTTCAGCTCATATTGTTTCTCTTTCTCTGTTTGTAAGGTGAGAAAGGCCCCAGCAAGGCACACAAAAAGGATTCCAGAGAATCAAAGAGCAAAGACAAGTCGAGCAGGGACCGCAGAAAGTTTAAACAGCCCAGGGGTGACGACAGTTCTGAAGATTCAGGAGCTACAGAGGATAGCCAAGATGAGTCAGATTCAGCCTCAGCGTCTTCATCCTGCCCAGTTAAGAAAACAACCACCTCTACCTCTAAGATGCTGTCCAGGTTTAGCAGTGGGACCAGTTTAGCCAAGAAGCAGGCGGCAGAGAGACAGAAGAAATCAAGTGCCTCAGGTGAATCCATCAGAAGGGACCGCAGAAGGTTTAAACAGCACAAGAGCAACGACAAATCTGATGATTCAGGAGCTACGGAAGATAGCCAAGATGAGTCAGACTCAGTCTCGAAGTCCTCAGCCTGCCCAGTTAAGAAAACAACCACCTCTACCTCTATGATGCTGTCCAGGTTTACCAGTGGGACCAGTTTAGCCAAGAAGCAGGCAGCAGAGAGAAAGAAGAAAGCACGTGCCTCAGGTGAATCCATCAGCTCAGAGGAGGAAAAAGACGACCCAGAGGACACAGTCAGTAGTGAGTTTGAGGAGTCGGACGAGGAGCTGGACACCCGAGGCGGCATGACGGACTTGAAGCGAGAGATGCTCACGTTCTTCCAGAGTGCAACAATAGATGAGCTGTCGCTTATCTCTGGCTGTTCCACTAAAAAGGCCCAGAGGATTGTGGAACTGAGACCTTTTTCAAGCTGGCATAGCCTGGTGAGATCATGTGCATTTTTTTCACAGCTGAGATAAGAAACATCACAGACATTGTGCAGGTGGTTCTTTGACGCCAAAAAATACTTAGACACAAAGGAGGCTAAACTCACTCTGCTGAACACCTGGAAGATGACTTTATGACCTGTCAAATTTCAGTCAGCGTATTTGCTCATCCGCAGAAACTAGACACTCCTGACAGTTGAATACCAGCACTCTGAACTCTCTATCTTATCTGTTTTCATGTGCTGTTATCAGATTGTCAGCCCTTTTTTTTAATCTTTCTAAACATGTATCTTTCAGCACAGAGTGGATGTGAACAAAAATACAATAAGATTACTGATAGCCATCATGCAGCTTCAAAAGAGCAGTGAAGAATCGTACAGTGACAGTTTAATCTCTTCATGCATTTTTGCTTTTATTAGAAAAGGCGGCTGAAGAAAGAGAGCCATTTTTGAGTGGAGCAAGGAGGATGACATGCACAGCAGTTACACACAATTTGATTTGGTTTTGTGGTCCATATCCACAGCCACTTTTGTCAGGGCTTGACACTAGGAGCACATGTGCTCCTAGTTGAAAAAGTAAGGAGCACACAAAGAACTTTAGGGGCGCAATGAAAATTGATCAAATAATATGTGTCTTATTGGACGACACAAGTACTATCATTTGAAATCAATTTTAGGTCTTTTGGTCACATGACATAGAAACTATTGAAGGAAAACAGCCTGTTTTTTAGAACATCAGCCGGTAATTTATTGATGGTCCCTTATTTAACACCCGACATTGACAGCGAGGGTGCAGAGTAGATTTAACCGCGCTGCTCTTGCTTGTCATGGAGAGTGAGAAGACAGTGAATGTCCGTCGGTTATCCAACCTAAAACTAACTCCACCACAGTATTGACATGAAAAAACATTTGTCAGTGTCAGTTGTTTCAGCACAAATACAGCTTTGTTTTCTCTCTTCAGGTTGACGTCTTCCACAAATACAATGGACTGTCTGACAACTTATTAGTGGGCTGCAAAGTCATCCTGAAAGAGCGAAAGGTTATCCAGGGGCTCATGTCAAAATGTGAGAGCATTTCCTCCAAAATGACGAAAAAGGTCACTTCCCTGATGGAGACGGGCTCAGGGGGCGTGGAACAACCCAGTGTGCTCAATGGCGAGTAAGTAAAGTGGACACAGTCTCAGACAGATCCGTTATTATAATCCCTGACATGTCTGTGGGTTTATTGTTTAGTTATTAAATTTTTAACAACTAAACACATAAAAGGCATTTCTTAGATCCATAAATCACGCATTAGGGCTTGCAGTATATGATAACAAATGTATAAATATCTTTTCAGGTTACAGCTAAAACCCTATCAGCTGATCGGTCTAAACTGGCTGCTGCTTCTGAACGAGCACAACCTGAGTGGTATCCTCGCAGATGAAATGGTAAGGTAACCAGCAGAGGATCTTTGTAAAGAGACATGTTGCATTGTCAATATTTGTGAGGTGGTGATTATTACCCTGAAGTAAAGAAACATAAACAAAGACCCTTCATGTAACTTGTGCAGGACAGCAGGGGCTTGTAGCTCATCCAGGTATTCTGTAAGTCTCGAACCTTTCATTGTGGTCTCGTAGCCGCTCTGCAGGTGAATAAACAATCAGCTGGTACAGTGCAGAAATAAAAGCAGGGACAGACGAGAGCTGGGATCTGTAAAGTCTGTAGAGTGTCAGCGCTGAACATTCAAAAGGCTGTTTGGGTTTTCTACCGCTAGTTTGTCAGTCACAGATGTTCAAATATCTTCTTTGTCTTTCCATCTGGCTCTTTTTTTGTCTTGATATCTGTCTTTTTCTCTTCCTTGTGTGTGTCATCTCTCACTCTTTCATTCACACCTTTTCTCAGGGTTTGGGGAAAACCATCCAAGCTATAGCGTTTTTATCCCAGCTTTATGAGAATGGAATAGAAGGCCCTCACCTCATCACTGTGCCATCCTCCACTCTAGGTAATACTCTCCACAAACCGTACTTTTGACACATTTTAAGATTAAATGTTGGGGCATGTTTATGAATATTCTCTCTTGTGCTGATTTGACTCTTTGTTTTGTAGATAACTGGGTCAGAGAGCTGCAGCTGTGGTGTCCAAAGCTTAAAGTAGTCGTCTATCACGGTAAAACTCTTAATTTGCTGAAACCTTAAGGTTGATCCAAGAGTAAAAGACACTGTTATTTTTTAAAAATGTTCTGCCTTTTACTGAAGAGCTTTTCCAGAGTTTCTCATTTTTAAAAACAAAAGCAGGTTGCTCACCCTGATGACACTCGATCTCTTTTTTGTTTGCCCCACTGAAACTGAATTGACATTAAGGATTTGTGACATTTCATGGCACAATAAACAAAAAATAACTGAACCAAAAATGTAAACATAGATGTTTTTCAATTTTATTCTTTATTGAAAAAATATCTTAAGACAAAGTACATACAAATATTGTGTTTATTTATTAATTATTAACAGCAGATAGAAAGACTGCAAAGTTTCCCGTCAAAAAATCCGTCTTGGTAATCAGATTGTTCCTGATTGGTGCCCTGAACAGGATCCACTGAAGAACGCCGCTACCTCAGACACGACATCCTCAGCGAGGCTGTTGAGTTCAGCGTCATCGTGACCACGTGAGCGAGCACACACACAATCTACGCCATTTTACAGACTGTTACAAATTGCAATTAAGTAGCTGGAGGGTTGAGGGAAAAACACCTGCGCCGATTTATTCCAATTGAGGCACAAAAACACAAAGGATGAGTGTGATTGTCTTGTTTGGTGTGTGTTACAGTTATAATTCGGCCATTGGAAACAGCAACGACCGCAGCTTCTTCAGAAAGCTGCGTCTGATCTATGCTGTGTTCGATGAGGGTCACATGCTTAAGAACATGAACACCCTGCGCTACCGCCACCTAATGGCCATCAATGTAAGTTCACTGACAGCCTTTTCTACCAATTGTAAATTTTGAACACCCTGAAGTATTGCACTAATATTGTGGTTTCATTTGGTCTTGCAGGCAGAGCACCGTTTGCTGCTGACAGGAACTCCTTTACAGAACAACCTCTTAGAGCTGATGTCCCTCCTCAACTTTATTATGCCTTCTGTGTTCTCCAGCTCGACGACACAGCTTTCCAAAATGTTTTCTGCGGTGAGTGTTTGTTGCACTGTGAGCATTTCTGGCTCGAGATCTTAATAACAGCATGCATGCCACTTAGACAGACAAGCCTGTCCTCCTCAGTGTTTAATGATGGGTATTCTGGTTTAAACACTTGGGTTGAAATCCTTGATTATGTCTCCCACCCTTCCCTTGTGCTTTACTGCCTCGGCATGACCACAAATCCCATACCGTGCAGAGATTTTATCATTATTTCTTTTTTTTATTCATGTGAACTTCGTGTTTGACTTTATGTTACGTGTCAGACTCCCCAAGAGGAGCAGAGCAGCTTTCAGAGGGACCGTATTTCTCAGGCCAAACTCATCATGAAACCTTTTATCCTCCGAAGAGTCAAGAGCGAGGTGAGTCGATTCTTGCTGGGTGCAAAGACTTAGTTATGGAAGTAGTTTGAGCATTAAAATGACCCCGACCTCCCAAATCAATTTCTTTTGTGGATAAATAAAGTTGTTATCTTTTCAAGCACCGTGTAAAGCCCTGGAATATGCTTTTTTTCCAGGTCCTGCAACAGCTGCCAGCCAAGGAGGAGAAAGTCGAGTTCTGCTCAATGACTGAGAAACAGCAAGTTCTTTATCAAAACCTCTTGAAAAAAATGAAAGGTTCCTCCTGTGGACAGAGTAAGACTGATTTTTTTGACACATCACATAATTTTTTACAGGAATGAAGGTGTGCTTAATTAACTCATGCACTGATCACACAGAGCGTGAGTTGTGTAACGCGGTGATGCAGTTGAGAAAGATGGCCAACCACCCTCTGCTTCACCGACAGCACTACACTACAGAAAAGCTGAAAGCCATGAGCAAACTCATGCTCAAGGTAAGTCCCTGTTTCCCAAGTAACCTAAATAAATTTTACTTGAATGAGGAGTGAAAAGTTTTCCTCCGTTCGTCTCTCTCCTTCAACAGGAGCCGACTCACTTTGACGCAGAGGCCTCCCTGATTCAGGAAGACATGGAAGTGATGTCAGACTTCGAGCTGCATAATCTGTGCAAACAGTACTCCTCCATCAGCTCGTACAAGCTGGACAAGAATCTGCTGCTTGATTCTGGGAAATTCCAACACCTCACAGAACTCCTGGCCTCTCTTAAAAAGAAGGTGACTGCACATGCACAGAGGGATGTCTCCATACGTGCAGGGTGAGCCATGCTTTCACACAGATTTAAGATCGTAAAAATTAAGTTTCCTTTACCCCACAGGGAGACCGGGTGGTGTTATTCAGTCAGTTCACCATGATGCTGGACATTGTGGAAGAGCTGCTGAAACATCTAGCGCACCGTTACGTCAGACTGGATGGATCCACGCCGATACCAGACAGGTTTGAGTTGTACAGTACATTGAAGTCAGCCTGAGCGTGATGGAAGAAAAGTAGTAACGATCTCTTTTTTTCTCAGGATTGTGCTGATCGACGAGTTCAACACGGATCCCGACATATTTGTGTTCTTGTTGTCGACACATGCTGGTGGCCTGGGCATCAACCTCACGACAGCTAATGTTGTCATTATACACGACATTGACTTCAACCCCTACAATGACAAGCAGGCAGAGGACAGATGTCACCGTGTAGGCCAGACGAGGTAAGAGCATCTGATAGATTGATGTTATCTATGTGTTCTTTTATTTCTCTTTCTTTCTAAGCATCGATGGGAAGTGTCTTTCATTGGCTCCATGGATTAACTCTTTGTCATCCATACCCCATCCAGCCTTTTGAGTCAGTATTTGACTGATACTGACACTAGGATCTGATAAGTGCACCTCTGGTAAAAATGCATCTGTGTATTTTCATGATCTCACCGCTTGACTCTCCCATCTTAGGAAGGTCCAGGTGATAAAGCTGATCAGCAAGGACACAGTAGAGTACTGCATGCTACAACTGAGCCAGAAGAAACTAAAGCTGGAGAAGGACATGACCGCTGCAGAAGAGGGTAAGGAAACACAAGAGATTGATTGGCTGCATTTACACAATTTGATTTCACCATCTAATAAAAAACAAAGGCAGTGAGGGTTTGCTTCCTCGTGGATCAGCTCCAGGAGTTTAATTTTGGTGAGACCTGAGTTAAGTCCCAGTCTTTCACTGTGGCTGCCTCAGTCCCATCATCAGAACCCTCTGTTCCACAAGGATCCATCTTTTGCTGAGCAAAGTCACGACATAGGTTACATCGTGATGTGAATAGGCATAATATACATAAATGCTAGAGCATAATCTAGCGTCACTGTCATAGTGAATGGGTCTCCTCACGCTAGGCTCGCACTTGAGCCAAATGAAGTCAACGGTGAATGAGCAACTATGCCCGTATTTTGTGTCCTTCACAGTTGCAAAAACCAAAACTTGTTAATGTAGGAAAACATTTCACAAGTAAGATTGGAAAATAATTTGTGTTATTTTTAATGTGTGACAGCGTCTCGTTTTGTAGCTACATCTCTGGTTTTTGTATCAAACCAAATCGTGTGAAAATTGGGTAAACATTTGGGGAGTGATGATCAATATAGTTGGGCATTCCTACCTTCCTCAATAGAAATGAATTCACCGGGGGCGCATGGGGGACCCTTTCAAGATGGTGGCTGCATTGATATATGAGCTCCAATAGGCAGCGTCAGTCTATGAAGGGTCTACATTATGTCAACGGTAATATGAGGTACAGGCGAACATGCAGGGGTGTGTCCAGGCTTTTTTAAGGAGGGTAGGATGTAATATGTAAATAGCATTTTGTGTAACATAAGCTGTATAATTTCACATTAATCCAGCTTCAGACAAGGCAAATAGCCAAATGGAATGATGTTCTATTTTTTTTTTTGTCTTGTCCCCCAGTCAAGTGTTCTACATTTGAAAAAAATAGAAACTAATAAAAGTTGTATCAAAGCTAAGCATGTACAAAAAATAAAATAAAAATTTATCAAAAACTAAAGAAAGCTTAGCTGAACATAAAAAGTAAAGGCCAAAACAAAGTAGAATTAAAAGTGATGAACTTTTCAGACTATTATACCTCTTATGCAGACTACACTCTGCAGATATATACGACCAGTTTAAAGAACCAGGTCTCAACTGCAGGCAGTGTTGCAAAAACTGAAGTAGGTTACAGATCGTATGTCCGGGTTGATAGTGAGCTTTCAGTATCTGTTGTCTTGTGTTTTTCCTCTTTTGTCTTTTGGTTTTCAAGTGTCAAGATTGCAAATTTGTCATTTAGGTGATGAGGGGACCATACCTGAAGATATGGCGTCTTTGCTCAAAGCTTCACTTGGACTGTGATTTACAATGGCACAAAACAAACACACACTTGTTTGTATTCCTGCATTTCTGGGCAGACTTGAGCATTTTGACTTGAACTACTCTGACGATGTGTCTTCATGAAACAAACTACTGAGAACCATATGCTGCCATGCAAAGAGGACCCAATGGTAAAAAACACTATCCACTGTCCAGCATGGTAGCTGTGTGCCTAAGACATTTTACACCGTTTTTATCTTTTCCCTCGAACAAGACCAGTATTTAAAAATGTTGCCTTTCATTATGCACTCCTCATGTGACACGAGTGTTAAAAGATACAGGAGCTCAAATGAATGTTGAAGTACAGACCAAACTGTTTTAATGCAGCATGTGTTGGGGTCCATCTTACTTGTCTTACTGAACACAAGTATTTCATAATATTTCAGAGAACTTCATGAATTATTAATGAATTTTCACAAACCAAAAAGTCACAGTACACTGACAAGAACACTGGTGCCTTCAGGCAGTCAGACATGAGCTGTTTTCTGATTCAGAGTCAGGAAATTGAGTTGGCATACCTGAAGAGTTAGTCAGATGAAATGACAGATTCTCCACCGCCCCCGATACCAAACAGAGACGCATCTTTCCAGCTCTCATACAGAGCAGGTTGTTACCTCAGGAGGTTTGGCTGCTGTGAGCAGAGGAAGCAGCTGTGGCATTTATGTACTGTATAAGTAGTTTGTGTTGTAGTTCTGTATAAGCTTTTATGGAGTCATTTGTATGTTTTTTGTTTCATGTGTAGAATAAATATTAAAATTTGGAATAAATGTTTTCGTGGTCAATGATTCAACCAGCTATTATGGAAATCATCTTCTACCGAGATTGATGGGACTGTTGAGAACAACAAGATCAGACTTGATGAAAGGTGTAAATAATGTGGAATGTGTGTGTTTTTTTTTTTTTGTGTTAATAATGCGTTGTGGTAATCTCAGATGCTTCTGTTTTGTGGTTTATGTCATCAGACAAGTAAGTCAGTCAATAGAAAAAAACATCAAATTATCACTGATATGTTTTATTCACCAAGGCTCAAAACCCTTTTAATCATGTACAATAGATGCACAAACACTCACCTTTTGTAAATTCGTACTAAAGACAACCGACAAGTACATTTTTCCTCTTGGATGAATCATAACTATATTCTAGTAAACATTTAAAAATATATAAAAGGAGACAATGCTTGTATGACATACTTAAAAGATCAACAAAACACTATCTCTACTTAAAGTCCCACTCCGATCGTATTTTTTTCGATTATCTAAAGTGTTCTCGTGGTCATTAAATTGTGATGTTATGAAGTTTTTTTTAGCCAAAATCATGTTACTTGTGTCATTTATTAAGTGCTTTCTTTCTGCTGAGCTCCAGTAGCTCATTAGCTATTCGCCTCTAAATTGTGGGCAGAGAGCTGCTCCGCACACTTCTCTTCATGCTAGCCTGTAGGCTCTCAAACACTGATGTCTTTGGGAGGGAGATTTAAGCTCATATCACAATTCGCTTTTTTATGCGCATTGCAATCCGCCAACGCATACACTTGTTCCGTGATCGTCCTTTCTATTTCTCGGAGTCTAGCCTGCAGAGCAGGACACAGGGGGCGGAGCTTGGATTTGTGACCTAGGAAATCCCACTGTTTGAACATCTGAACCTGCTGTTTGGGTCTGCCAGAGGTTCACAGCAATTTGAATGCAGAAATTCTCAGAAATGCAACTTTGCTCTGAGTTTTCTCATATGCCCTCTACCAAAAGAAAAATTGCCATATGAACATATGGACAACAAGAAAAACATGATTTTCATCAGAGTGGGTCTTTAAATTATTGCTGGATAGTCTACTCAGCGTTAGGAGAGTATCGTCCACACCTGAAGCCTGTCAAATGAGCATCGCATTTGACGGAATAGCTAAAATAAAGAACTCCTCTTTTCAGCTGGCAGCTCAGCGACCGACTTCCTCGCTCAGGGAAGACAACACATCTACCTGCCAAGTCATTGTAAAGCACATCTCTGTCCCAGACCTCAAACCTCATCTCCGGACCCAGTTCTACTGATCCAAAGTTGTATGTCGCATTCCACACAGGGTCGTTGTTATCCATCACTGTGTCCGTCTCCTCGTAGATGCCGTTGTAGAAGATCTTAATGTAGGCATCAGTCTTCGTGAAGGTGTCCGCTCTCAGTCCTGCAGCTCTGTGGATCTCCAGTTTAAGAGTCCCTCTGCCAGCTCTCAGAGGACAGCAATTATGATCCAGGTTGGGGGTTGGGGAGCAGTTCTTTAAACCAACCTGGTCCTCCTTCAGCTGGTTCTCTCTGATATAATCTGAGATAGAGCTTCTTAGATTTGCACTGACCTGTGAGTCCTCCACCAGATGATGCAGAGGGAAGATAGCATAAGAAACCACATCAGGGTTGTCGTGCAGGCTGTTCATCCAGCTGTGGTATGCTTCAGATGGGTCATGCTGGTAGAGGATGTCTGGGAAGTACCTTTCTCCTCCGATGACCTCAATCTTATGGGTCATGAAGCCTTGGTAAAAGCCCATGCTCATGTTTCCCTTTAGGAGGTTGTCACATTTGTTGGTAAAGGACGCATTTCCAGGGATGAAGCCTAGAGCCATCCGAAGTTCAATGTTCAGGCAGTTTTTTACCTCTCTTTCAGAGAACCCCCTTAGTGTGGCGAGACAGGTTCTGAAGGCAGTGATTCGCCTCACCTTACCACCAAGGTGAACCTGTGAGAGAGAGATGAACAAATGAAAAGTCTGGTTATACACTCTGACTTCAACCATTTATCCTCCTCTTAACCAGCTTCGACATCATTCCTAAATTGTCTTTACTTGTCTAACACCACAAAGTTTATTCCCAGTAGCCACACCTGGTGTATGTAGTGAGTTCCATAGGTGTCTATAAGCCGTCTGTACAGAGCTCTGTCCTGGCTTGTGTTGATACTCTGTGGAAGTCTGTTCAGATGTTTGGTGAACTCTGTACTCAGCGGGGGATGATCAGCCAGTCTGTAACTAAAAGAAACAAAAGGCATGCTGGGTTTAACAGCGAAGAATGATAACACATACTTGGCTCTTATGTTACAAACTGCCAACATATCTATCCACCAAACACAAGGTTGTCCTTTATGTTTCTCAAACCGATTATAAAGCTTTTATCTCATTCAGGCCAATTCTTCAAACATCAAAAACATCATTTTAGCTATCTTTCTTTGAAGCTGAGGACATTTTGTGGTAACACTGCATTTGCCGTCTTTAAAACAGAAGTTGGCCCAATGTTAATTTTAGTAAATTATGCCATATTTAAATATTTGAGATAAATGATACCTGTAGTAGGTGCAGCTGATTTCATGGATGGCAAACGTGGCTCTGTCCACACTGTGCTGGGAACGAGCGAACTTTGCCAAATCTGAGCGGCTGCCTCCCAGCACTCCATTCCCAATATCCTCCAGATTCAAACCCAGACCCCAGTTGTTGTTGACCAGAGAGTTTGAGCTGCGGAGCAGTGAGTCCACAGAATGGTGGAGGGCGCTAGAAAGCTGCTTACTGCAGCGGCTGAAGGGACGCCAGTCAAGCACAGCTGCTGGGAGCCTCTGAATCTGAGGAAGAGGAAAAAGGAAGGATGTAGAGGGGGATGCTGGTGAGAAGGAAAATATTTATCGAATGTGTAAAATCCAGAGGAGGAAAAACGGGACAGGGGAAAGCTTTGTTTGAACTGAGGAAAATTTAGACTAAACAGTGCGGTGGAGAAAAAGGAGAGTCAGTTTTTACCTGTCCATTTTGGAAACGGTTGGGACACAGTGTACAGGTCTGGTTGTCAATCAGAGATCCTTTGACATTGATGACATATGCTCCTGTTCGACGCATCCGCACCACATCAAAACCCTCTCCTGCCAGGTTATGGCCAGGGACAAAGGGGGCTTTCTCACACTCTGACCCTGAGCCAGCCCGACAGCCCTGGACTCTGCAGAATTCCAGCATGCCCAGTGCAGCCAACATAAACAGGACAAAGTTTCTCCATTGGTTTCTTCCGGCTTGCATGGTTACCTAAATGGAACCAAAAAATTGAGTGGAAAAGATAGTTGACAATTTCTATATTTAAATAACATCTTCATTCTTTGCTTTCCTTAACATGGAATGCATGATTTAGAAAAACCCACTGAAGGCTGTTGCATTGTTGATCTTATTATTTATGTACAGCACTTTGTTCAGCTGTGGTTGTTTTAAAGTGCTTTACAAATAAAGTTGAGTTGAGTTGTTAAAAGCAAAATTCTCCATGCAGTATGAAAGGTTGTTTCTGGAAGCCAACTGTCTAACAATATGTGACACTGTGAATGCAGATGATCTTCTAATCCCTCCTGCATTAGAAATGGGAGTAATCCTGCAACAGATTTTATAAAAACTCTGCAAACATGACTGACACACAACAAGACAATCTGGACTCTTACCTTGGACTTATGTTTCCTCCTTCAGTTTGTATCTTTGCTCCCCTCCTGTAGTTGCTGGGCTGTAGCTTCCTTTGCTGACTAAAATACTGAAATGCTTAAAATTTCAGCAGAGAAGAAAAGTACATTTGTTTACCTTCCCTTTTTTTGCTAACTCCATGGATGGCACAGCCCTCGAAACCCAGAACCACAAACTGACTAGAGTCCTGATCCTTCAGAAAACAAAATCACGGTCGAGCGAGCAGGTTTTGGCTTTACTGGCAGGCTGTGCTGAAAAGCCTGCTGGGTGCGCTCCTTTGTCTGTTGTCCGCCTTATGAAAATGTCCAAGAAGGGAGTCACCCTTTTTCAGGCACATGTATTTGTCTCTCTATCCCGCTCTCTCTCTCTCTCTTTTTTTTTTTTCTCTCTTTCTGTCCTCAGGGCATTGACAATTCCCTCAGCATGAGTGGGTTTGTTTTCATGTTCATGACCCAGCTTTATGAATCCCTCACAGCTGTGTGTGTTTGGCTGTGTGTGCACGTGCATATGTGGGGGAGGGAGATTGTTGTACAGTCACGAGATTAAAGATGCACTTTCCGGGAAATGCCTATGTGTATATGTCGGTGTGTGTATGTAAGTGCTCAATGCATGTGTGTTTCTTTAAGAGCGCCTGTGTGTGTTTTTGTTTAAATAACGTCTGAGCCAGCCTGTCTGTGTACTGATAACCTTACCAAGATCATGAGGTCAGCTTCACCATTGTCTATTTATGGAAGTGGGTGGAATGTTGGCGGTTTTGGGCAGGGAGGACGAAAGTACCTCTGCACTTACTGCAAGAGGTTTCATTCAGCACAGGACAGATGGAGACTTTTTTAAAACCTAGATTAGCCATGTTATTGTGTGTGCATTGGTGCCACGAAATGAAAAAACTGAATGTGTAAAGATGTGCCACAGCTCGAAGTTGTAATGTCATCTGTTGAGCTGGCTGGATTGAAGTTTGATGTAACTGCAGAGAATGATGTCAGAGAATATTAGACCCTCTTTGCGGTCGAGACTAACAGAGAAAGTGAATGAATGAATACCATTAAAACAAACTCACATAGATCTGTGGGATTGTCTTTCATACCTTTAATAATAAATCAAGTGCTGTTAACAAATGTGACATTTACAGAGATTTCAAAAAATGAGTACCAAAAGTCTATTTCCTTAAACTAAAGCTTATTTTTATGTATTGAAAAAAGATTAAAAATGCTTAACCCCTAAAAAAAAAAACCATACATATGCATATACACACATTCAAGCAAAGCATTGAGGGAAATAAAAAATAGTTAATGCATGACATTCTCATCCTTCGCCTCCTGAGGGCAGTGTTAGCTCACTGTTGGCATTTGGCAGTTACTCCCTTATTGTGTTGAGAAACGGCATTTAATGACATTTAAGAGCTAATATATAATTCATTATACATATTCCGCTTGTACTAAAAAAATTAAAGTGCATATCAAGCTATAAGAAAATTTCTTACTAAAACGTTGTTGTTACTTCCACATGAATTCACAGCTGTTTTTAGGATCTAAATAACTGGTTGGTTTAATTAGCATTTAAAAAACACTTAATGCAAAGTCAAACAGATTTAAACTCGGAATCCTTCAATGTGGGCACATATAATCTACAAGTTCAACCAACAAGGAATCACAGCTTAATTAACTTCTTATTGATTTCCAGTCGAATCAGACTCTTTTACTCAGGCCTCTTCTTGTTGAATCACTGTTTCTCCATCATCAGGATTAGCCTCGTCACGGATCTCCTCATAGCCTCTTGCTATCCCGGACAGCTTCTTCCTTCTCTTCAACAGGACAACACCAACCACTACCAGCACCATCATACCAATCACCCCAAAGGCTACCCCAGCCTTCTCTCCACTAGACATCTGCTCTGGGTTCATTTCCTGCACTATTTTCTGGATTTCCTCTGGTTTGGCCAGTTTCCACGCCTTGGTCTGCCCTACTCTGACCCAGCTCTGATCTCCCTCAGTCATCACCACTACTGTGTTTGTGGCCTGCATGCTGACAAGTGAGGGTTTACTGAAAGGAGGCAGGCGAATGGGGAGCAGTTCTCCACCTGTGAAGAGCCCTGACTGGACACAGTAAAGGATTTCACAGCCGTCACTCACTGAAGCAAGGTGTTGGCTGAACCTGGGAGGGCAGCGGTGTTTGGAACCTGATAGTGGGTTGCCTGATTGACAACTGAATAGGCCCCCAAATGGTACGGAGAACCTGGTGCCAGTCTCATAGTCCCTGCTCACACAGATTTGTTGTCCATCTGAGAGGAATTTTAGTGGGATGAAGTTTTGTGGACAGCTTCTTGAATTGGTTAGGGGGTTTAGAAGAGAGGGGCCGTAAATTCCTCCAAACAGATACCCTGAGTTGTCTGGGGCCTGTCCATTCACAGAGCACCAGTAGGTGTTGACACGGGCAGAGCGAACATGATTGTTGTCCTGACATACTCGACGATGGCAATGAAAAACACCCCAACACCGATACCTTTGGTCATAGCAGTCGTATGTAGTGTAACTCTGCTGTCTCATTTCTGATCTCAGTAAAGTGGGGTTGTACGGAGACCGGCAGGAGAAGTCACCTGTTTCAGGGTTTTTCTGTGCCAGAGTATCACACAGCGGACCTGCATCTGAGCTGAGCTGAACACATTCTTGGTAAACACCACCAAAGCTGAGGTTTGTCGCGGGGCCGTCACAGGATGAATCATCTATGTTGGCTTGGAAGTTAAAGTTCTGGGAGTTAACGTCAACACATCCAGGCCGGGAGTTTACTTTGTAGTATCGCTCGATGGCCTGACTCACTGAAAGAGCCAACTTGCCAGTGGTGGGCTGTGGCAGATCAGGAAAGGTCTTGGTGTTAATAAAATAATGCAGGGGGAACCCAGACCGGTCAATCGCTACCAAGTTGTTCCGCGTACTTTCCTGCCACTTCTGCAGAGTGATGCCGGGGTAGAAAGGTATGCCACCACCCTGGCTTTGGATAAGAGAGTACTGGATATTGGACTGATATCCTGTAAGGGTTGATGTCTGTTGGGTGCTTTGACTGCTTATGTCAAATTTAAGTTTGTCAAAGAAGTTTAACCCTGCCTGTGCTTTGATGGTAGAAGTGTCTGAAGAAGTGTCCGACACGTAGGACGAGCGGAGGTAGTCTTCCTGAACTAAAATGGCTCCAGCGTCAACACTAGTGATAACGTGGGTTCCATAGTCAAGCACCATCCTCTCCGACAGATAGCGCGCGTTTTTTGTTTGGTTGTTCTCAATGGCATCAGCTATCTCTTTAGCTTGTTGAACAAAGCGGGTGTCCAGAGTGAAGTCCGGGTAAGCCCTGACTGTGTAGATCAAGTTGCGAACCTTTGAAGGAAAAGATATCATTATGCAATTGTATGTTTTAACACTTGCAATAATCAATTCAAAACAAATTCCTTTGCCTAATATGTCTGTATTTTCCTTTTAAGATCTATTCAGGTCCAACAAAAACTAAAATGGAAACTTCTGACTCACAATGGGTCATTTAATGAACTTTAAATCCATCCTGCCTTAGTTAAAAGTCCCGTCAATGAAGAAATGTGATTAACAAAAACTTACTTGCACTCTGGCGGTTGTTGAAGAGTCTTTAACCTGATGGGTTTTCATCCTTTGGTTCTCTCTAGAAAACTTGCCATTCAGCAGCTTGAGGAATGATATGTCAGCATTTATGGAGTTAGATGTAGAGCTCTTCTGCTCCAGCCAGGAGCTGATTATCTCCGAGTTTGTCTCCAGGCCCGTCTCCTTACGAGGTATGACAAACACCTCGTCTGGGATGAGGTAGATCCCATCCTCAGTGGTCTGGCACTGGGAGTAGCTCAGGTTCATGACTCGACCCACATCAACGTTCCGGAGGTTGTCCCAGCCCCCACCGGGCAGCACCTCCAGTGCAGTGATAGAGATGTTTGAGGAGGCTCGACATTGTCTGAGCCAGTTGCCGGGGCGGCTGACAGGGACTGAGGAGCAGACCTGAAGGAGGGAGAGAGCCAGGAGAGCCACTCGTGTCTTCATGGTGTCTGAGTAAGAAAGGGCTGAGACAACTCAATAAGAGGTACGAAACAAGTTCCTCCTCTTATGAAGTTCATCATATGACAAAACTGGAACATCTTGTTTGAGAACTGATGGGAGGGGAAGTGGTTCTACTTTCATTTGCAGGTCTGCATTTGCACTAACCCCAAAATACATATTGTATGCAGCACAACACTTGTAGATTGAAAAATAGCTCATCCGGCCTCTACACTTGAATACTTTTCTTTGAGTGACACTTTGGTGTACAGAAAACTGAGTTCACAGTAGCATTTAGCCACATTTAAAGACAATATAATAGTGACATTTACTGTGGGCAACGTTAAGGGAAGTAACATAAACCTGTTTTATATACTCTGTAATTACTGTGATTTATGATATTTAGTTATTGATTTATTAGTGTGATCTCGGTCAGTGTATTTCCCTAATGATTACCGAACAATATTTGTATGTAGACACGCCTTAACATGTAAAAATATGATTAAATAAGAGACCCACAGTCATGACATATCAGAAAAATCTTTTTCATTGCTTCACTTCAGCAGGGTTGTACTACAGTATTTCAGCAGAGTCGCCAAGTTTGCACCAACAAGCAGGGTGCTTCAGTTTGAAGACAAAGTGACTGAGATAGAAAAAAACAAAGTGAGCTGGAGAGAACACTGAAGGAATTAAAGAAAAAGCTTTGACACAACATACTATGGCTGATAGCTATAATGTTATTTCAGTCAAAACTCATGTTCACTCTGAACTTTCACACCCTATTTCTAAGGTAAAGGTAAAAATGTTTACTGGCTTCTTCTTTTAAAGAGGAACAGAAAGCAGATATGAAAACCCAGTCTACTTTAAAAGGAGGAAGTCTCTTTGTTTTCACACACTATCACATGAGTGTACGTCAGTGGGAATGTCCCTGAGGTTTTCTGAAAAACTTACCACGCAAATTTAACCCTCAGGAGTCCAAACTTGAATTCCTTTCACTTAGACCTCAGAAAATGACGTAATAAAATAAATGTAAGAATAAATTGCAGCTACAGGATTAATCCATCTTTTAACTGAGAGTAGAATAAGGAACAAGCAAAATGTTTGATGTTTGTCCTAAAAGCAGGGTGAAAATTTTAATGTTCTTGATCGGCCTTATAAGTAGCTGTCTCTATTAATATCACGTCTACAGACTGTTGCTACAGATTTTCTAAACATTCATCAAGTAAAACAACTGACTTCATTGGTTGTTTTAACACCCCTCAATGATACACTAAATATGAGCACGATGAAACGTGACCTAAGGTGACCCCACTCTGTTAAGAGTCCTTCCTGGTTGTTTTTCTGTGGCCGAGTAACTGTTATAACTGCTTATGACCAATAGATGGCAACATCGAACCATGTCACGGATGAGCTGTAAAGAGGAGCGACTCCGCTCCCCACAGAATGTTGTTTCCAGTTAATGTTGTGTGCACCAGCTTGAAAGGAAAGGTCTGGCTTTGTGTTTGAAGAAGGACGAATCAGCCGCGCATTACCACCTCATCACCCGCGCTGAAACCATGCCATGCTTTACCCTCTGCTGGAGATAAGGGAAACTCCCAACGATCACAACCTGTCACACCCATCCAGCCGGTCGTCACTTGAGATCAGCTGAGCTTAACAGGCTGTTTGCGACTTTCATGGGCTGCTGTGTAATGACCAGTCCGGTCCAACCTAGAACTCTACCGAGTTGGACTGGATTGTAATCACACCACCAGTTTCAGACGGCTCATATTCAGTGCCATGCCATGGAATGGTGCGTTAAGCCTAAAGCGTACCATGGAGTGGTGCGTAAAGGCGCACCACTCCAAAACATTCCCGGGCTCTTTCACTGTCCATGCCACCATGAAAATGCCCCAAAACGTAATGCTTACTTGTGTACTTCATTTTGCGTCATGATGGAGACCCAGAAAAGGCAGATTTGAATCTACACGACATGAAACTTTTTTCCTGTTTACACTGGAGATACACCCATTTGTGCGCTAAAAGATTGGTTATGTTTAGAACTAAAACAATTATTTACATATTATAACACCAACTTAAGAATTGACAACAGTAAAGGCAGTCTCACCCAGAAATTTCCCGTTAAACATAGATTGGCTATGCATTTCACCAAAGTCGTTATTCAAAGGTATTTTAAAACACACGCCTTTTAAATGAAAATTGCTTTATTTTTTTTCCAACAATTGCATTCAAGTCTTTACATACCACAGCAGGTGGTTGCAGGAAGAAGAGTGCTTCTATAGCAGGTTCAGTGTTATCAAGAAGAAAAAAAGTAAAATAGCCCAAGCCTACTTAAGCTTTCAAAATGATTGTTAAGGTTTAGTCCACACATGTTTTGAATGCCACCAGAAATGCATTTGGTCAGCACTCAGTGTTCTTTAAGGAGAGTCCTCATTTTTTGGCAGCAGCTGCCCTGGTCCTAGTGGACTTGACCCTCTTAGGAGCCTTTTTGGGACTCTTCCTGGGACTCTTCTTAAGACTCTTCTTAGGACTCTTCTTTGGACTCTTCTTAGGGCTCTTCTTCTTAGGACTCTTTGCTTTCTTAGGTTTTTTGGCTGCAGCAGCTTTCTTGGGAGACTTGGCCTTCCTTTTTTTAGGTGACTTCTTGGCCGGAGATGCACTTCCAGCTGCTTTCTTCACTCCAGCCCTCTTGACCTTTTTGACCTTTGGCTTCGTCTTTTTCACCGCCTTCCTCTTGCGGGGTGTGGGGGGTTTCTTGTTCAGCCTGAAGGATCCGGAAGCCCCGCTGCCTTTTGTTTGGACCAGAGTTTTTTTCTTCACCAAGCGTTTGACACTAGCAAGAATTCTGGCGTTGTTCTTGTCCACATTATATCCTCCAGCCTTCAGAGCCTTCTTCAGTCCTACCAGAGAGAGACCGCCGCGCTCTGAGGAGTCGGCCACAGCCTTCTTGATCAGGGCTGACACTGTGGCTGATGACTTCTTCTTGGCTTTCTTTGGAGATTTTGGTGAAGCCCCAAGGGACCCGGAAGGCAGAGCAATAGCAGCAGAGGCCATTGTTGCAGTGCCAGTGTCAGAGTCAGCAGAATGAGGTTTTTGGAGGTCAAGGGTAGAGTGGTATCTCTGTTTGCCTTCTGGACAGTGACAGGCTTTATGACGCCCTGATGAGAACCGTGTAGAGTGAGCCTCTTCACCGGCGCGTCTCTTGTCTCCCCTTCAAACTTGATGAAGTTTGTGTTTTCTCCACTTGGATTATTCTGAAAAAATCACCCTGATATTCCTGAAAAATCACACAAGAATCACATCACAAGAATCAGCACATTCTAAACTATCTAAATCCTCATTTTGATAAAGGGAAATAAGTGGAATCTATAAAAATTGTTAGATCAGTGCAAACTAGAGGCTGTTGAGAGAAATATGAGGGGTGTATTTTGAACATTAGAACAATTTTACACTCTCTTAACAATCAGTTACACACATAAGACATTAAACATGCTGTAAAAATAAACTGGCCAATGTACTGAACCCAAAACTTTTTTTAAGTTTAGCCGTATTTGCTAATTACATCCATTTAAAGATCATCAAAGAAACACACTTACCTTTCAAAACCATCATAGAATGACCTCAACATACATATAAATCCCTGGAATGCAGATAAGGTTTATAATAATGCAAGTGTACCTGTAAAAATAATGAAATATCGTAAAAGAATATTAAGGTTATTATTTGTTATACAATGATAATTTCTCTGCAGGCTCCGTTATGAGTCCGCTCTGTGCAGGGAGTTGGATCTCAGCCAGGATGAGAGTTATCAGTCTTTAAGCAGAGGCACCCAGAGAAACAAATTGAAGAAAGATTAAATTCCCCCTTTTTTTTTTTTTTGTTTTTAAACTTCTGGACTCTGAATGAAATAATCAGAGAGACAATCACACAATAAGTATTCAATTAGATCCAGTTTATTTATTAAAGCAAAATTACTTGGCTTTAAACCACCTTGGTCCTGCATGTTCACTATAAAGCCTGTGTATAGCTCTGGGGCAATTCACTGGGCATTTAATGTACCGATGTTTTAAAGCCTGCACTGTTTGACATAATTTACAATCCTTTTGTAAATGTTGAGTTTGTAAAATTATAATGTATGTTAAATGTATAAAATTCAATTAACATAATATCTGTGCAACTTTTTTGTGGTAGTTCAAATTTGTGCAAAAACTGCTCTGATTTCTGATCAAACTTTTGTCCAGTCATATTCAAACAAAGACTACTTGCTCTACCTGAAAAAGATAATTTGTGTTTCGGATCAGTCCCCAAACATGGATATAGAACAGATCTCTCACAGCGGCACTCATAAACATAAATAACCTCAGTGAGTGTGTTGTGTCGATCCTTAAAATTCACAGATTCAAACTGCATGTGTTTGACACTGAGCTGGAAAAAACCCCTTTTGATCTTGATTTTAAGATGTGACTTAACACCTGGATAAATCTGATGATGTTTGCTAAAACTGGAGATGGTTTGAAGGCATTAAAATACTATGTGAGTGTTTATCTTTTATTCCTGAAAGCATATTTCCATCGGTTTAAATTAAGAAAAGACAGTCTTTTTTCATTAAGTAACCATGTAGAGTATATGTTTCTTCTTTCATGCTTTCTTTCTCTTTAAATAGTTTTTTTATCATGAGAAAGTGTTGGTGTGTGTGAGAGACAAAGAGAAGTAGAGAAGGTTTGCCTTGACTGCCTTCTGGTGTGAACTGATAGTGCCTCCCGCTTTTACTCAACACACGCTCAGAGTACACTTTACTACACTATGAGTTCAATTAATTTCAATAGAGAAGCAGCTGACCCTCCTGTGACCTCTTTCTTCAAACCTATACTTTAAAATCATAGATACACATATATACAGTATGTTTGACACCAGTATTAAAGTTATGTGTAATGTTTATATGAGGAAAGTGAGTTTGTCTACATGCAACACTTGGCTTCTCTGGGGAATACAGACTGAAGACTTTCTTTACATGCATGTTCCTTTTACCTTCTCAAACACAGCTTGGACTTTATTTCAGTGTTTTGGCTAACATGCTGTCCTTAAGGTGAAACCAGGATCTTTACCTCCCTATGTAAAGATTGAGTGGAGGAGTTCTTGTTGGCTGTTTTTGTTGTCCTGAATATTTCTACAAGAATTAAAAAGCTCCTTTGACAACTTTAACCTGGTTAAGAAAGAATACAAAATTAAAAAATATGCCTCTTTCTGACCTACTAGAAGAAGCCAGGGGAACATCATGATAATCCATTTCCATACGGTGATTCATAATGTCTGATATCACAGGAAAGGGGAGTTGCAAGTTGGAGTGGTTACGTACATGCTGCCTGGCAAAGCTTTTATATGCATTTTCCACCATGCAGATATCTCTTGAGTCCTGTATTTGCCTTGACAATAAAAGTAGAGTGGGTGCTTTAATTTTCTTATGATCAAAACACTACTTCCACATTTTCAAGGCAAGATTGCAGCTTTCTATCCACAGGAGCTGACAAAATCAATATGATCCAGAAAGTCCTCTCTGGAGCTTTATGTGACTTACATGATAGAAAAGATTCCTTCAAGCTGTTGTGGTTTAAGAGGACTTTGGCTCAGTTAAAAGATAAACTTTTACCTTTGACCTACAACAATTTTAATGGGAATATTTTGGATGATCCGGTGGTAAAGTCTACATGTTTGTGATTTAACATATAGCTGACAAGTCCATTCAAATGTTTAGGAAATTTTCATTAAAAAAAACCTTTGTCCAGGTAAGATCCCACAAATTTATGCCATGTTAAAGGAATCCAGTGATCATTTTTGGTCTTTATGAATGATTCAAAACATTTTAAGACTTTTTTAAAAAGCCTTAGTTTTTTAAAATGAATGTGGTTGACAATTTTTTTGTATCAAAAAGAAAGGGGAAAAAAAATCACTGGTGCACAACCAAGACTCACTTTTACTTTTTACAGTTTTTTTCAGTTGCTAACAAGCGTTTGTCCCACCAGTTGTCACATTTTCAAAATTCTAAACACAATTAGCACAGCATTGGTCTTTAGTGGCCATACTACTCACACATTTCATGTCGTTTTTACACAATATGCATTTAGTGAAAACATTTCCACAATGCTTGAATTTTCTTTCCTGACAAGCTGTACCTCCCATAAAAATTATGGATTGTTTTTGTATTACTTATGAATGTTAACACACAAAATCCCACAATAGCAAAAATAAAATATTACAAACCTTAGATACAGTAGAAAACCTCTGCTTCTGCAACGATATCAGTTCAATATATGTATATATATATATATATATATATATATATATATATATATATCTCAGCTGATAATAAACAAACAATTGAATAACTGATTTACAGTATGTTGGGTAAATTGGGCCAACCACATCTGATTCCTGTCTGGCTTAGACTCAGGGGCAGCGGTTACAGTAGTCCCCCCCACCCCACCCCCTTTTTTTTTAATCTGGGCTTTTTGCTGTCGATTTTTTTTTCTTTTTTTTTTTGGTTCAAAATGCTCTTGTGTGTTTCGTGGTTATTTTGTTCACGTAAGCAATACTGTAAAACTTCTGTTCTATCATATTGTAAACAGTATTTCTACTGTACCTCCTGTAGTAAACAGTAAAAAAACTGATTTACTTTTAACTTGAATGCTTTAAAAAGTGAACATTATATGTGGACGTATAGTTCCCAACCAAGAAATTTAGTGTAAAAACGATGGATTGCGTGTTTTGCATGGAAATATCTGTAAAACTGAAACATAAAAGCCCATGTAGTTTTTGTAATGTCAGCAATAGCCAGTATTTTGAACCCTGGTGTACCTTGATTGACTGCATGTACCTTGTTAATCTTTGACAGAATAATTTCCTTTGGAGTCAGATTTCCAGTGTTTTAGTAGAGTTAGTGTGTGCAGAGAGAGATGTGTTCTATTTTGAATGAAGAGTTAAAGGTGGGGTAGGCAGGATTCCGTTAAAAAAAGATTCAGTTTTTTGTGGTGTATATACAAAAAAGCTTTTAATATCAGTCAATAGCTATTCGTAATTGATGACATTTTTGGAATATCACGATATCGCTGTGTTTTGTTATGTCTGTGTAGTCAACATTTTAAATTTTTTTAGCGTCCCGCTCTTTCTGAATGTAAACAAAGCCGTTCTCCACCTCCCCCAACCTGATTGGTTGTGAGGCAGATGCTGCACGTCCTTAACGTGCACGAGCCCAAACAAAGTTAGCGTGCTACTATATCGAACTGTAGAAACCAACCAGAAAGTACGGAAAATTGTCTGAATCCTCCTTTGGCCACGACTGCCAACACAAGCAAGAAAACGAAGTAAATACTGGAGAACCTGGCGGAATAATGGGCGCTTAAAAAGGAGGTAGACCGGACAAGAGCTAAAAACTCGGTCAACATCAGCATAAATGCTTCGAGAACGCTTCTGAATCCTGTAACCATTCTGCTGGACAGGTAAACCGCTTTCACAAAGTAACCCAAGTGTAACAGAAGTGTTTCTTGTCAAACGGGACCTGCTGCGTGTTGTAGCACCGCTAAACTGTTAACCTCGGGTCCTGGACTATGTCACTGTATGCTAGTTGTAGAAGTCCTGCAAACATTGTGTTTGCTGATAGTCTGTTGGCATCTACAGTAGCACTGATGCTTTTTACTTTCACATTGACTTAGCCCCTTATGTAATTATCTGAAGTATTTGTCTGCGCTGTATAAAAATAATGTAAACGATACGAGCTAGCGCTAGCATCTGTTTGTGGGCGGGGCTTGCTGGAGCAGAGAGGGAGGGGAGAGGAGGCGCTGAGGGGAAAACTGGTTGGGAGGGGTAGAGTTTACATTCAAGATTTCTCCCAAAAACCGGCACTTCCTCAGATCCTGTCTACCCCACCTTTAATATATAAATGTGTTTTTGAACAGAAAATTATCCATTTGGCCAACTGTGTTAAGTAGGTGTGAGTCTGTGTTAAGAGTTTAGAAAAAGTATCTCAAGTACGTGGAAGCGCTTGTCAGCGACTGAAAAAACTGTAATATGAGTGTGTCAGCCCCCCCGCCCACACACGCGCATGCACGCGCACGCGCACGCACACTCGGTCGTCAGTGAGTGAGTGATGCGTGATGTGACGGCAGCTGTTCGACCTGTTCTGTTATATCGCTCTCCTCCCCAAAAGCATGTGACCATGTGATCGCAGCCTCTCTCAGCAGCCAGACAGACTGAGAAAACTTGTGACCACCACCACAACAGCAGGAACAGCAGGAACAGAAGCCTCTCAGCTCTCCCTGAAAGATAAAAACAGGACTGCACAGTTCCCCTTCAATCACTTCAGCTCAGCTCGACACCATGGACTGCGGGATTTTCACGTCCAAGACCGTCCTTCTCTTCCTCAGCTTGATATTTTGGGTAAGTAGTGGTGTTATTTCTCTCTCCACCTGCTGAGATTTAAAACCCAACCGATAATGTCTAGATTGAGAGGAGTCAAAACGTGCCAGGTGTTTGTAGTTCTTTCTATTAAGCACTGATACTTTTCTTAGTCTCTAGCTGGAGATCCTAGAGTTTTGTCTTTAGATCCCTTAAATCAGTTCAGATTTGATAAACATCTCTCCAGTATGTCCTCGTTTACAAGCTAGTTTAGTCACCATTTCATTACTCTAATCCCACTTCCTCATTTTGATAATGAACTTAAACTACCTTCCAGCTTTACTTTCTCATGCAAAGTAAGAGCAGAAGCTAAAATGTTCCTTTTTTTAATCAGATGTGGTGGAAAGGAAGCCAGACCTCTTAAACTGAGCCTGAACTTTTACACTCCAGAGTTCCTGTTTCTGGCTTTGTTTCAGTGTAGACTTTGTTTCCACTATAGCCCATGTATTTATCTAGTTCAGCAAACTTTTCTCTCCTCATCTGGCCCCACTGCTGACCTGTCCTCTGTCTTCCTCAGAGAAAATGAGTGTTGAAAAGAGCGAGTGAACTTCACTGCCTGTCTGTGGCTGATATCTGCGAAATTAGATTACTGTGAGCGGGCACAGGCCTGTGTGTGTGTTCGAAACAAGCAAAAATAAAGGCCAGATTTAGCTTGAGATTCAGCTTTCCCCTCTTTATTCTTCATCATTTCTCAATCAATCAAATTTTATTTATATATCGCCAATTCACAACAGTCGTCATCTCAAGACACTTTTTAAAAGAACAAGAGCAGGTCTAGAGCACGCTCATAGTTTGATGATCAAGAACCAACCTAAACCTTACATATATTTTATATGTTTATATATTTTAAGTATGATTGTAAACTATCACACCAACTTCAATGTTTTTATCTTTCTATCACTATATTCTAGTGTCAGTCTTTAGTCATTTTCCGCTCGTTCACACCACATTTCTGTACTATCTATGGTCACATGTAGGTGTCTTTCTGTAAAGCAGATGAAATGTCATATCTTTAACTGATACAGTACAAAAAAGTAAGACATCACACATGGATTGACTCATCGGATTCTTAAAACTTATGAGGCTTTTAAAGTCTGCTAAAGGAAATAAAGTCCATCTGACAAATAGTGAGCGATAAACTTTGTTTTCTCCTCTTACTGATGAGGCCAGAGTTCGATATGTCATTGTAAGTCAGACAGCAGTTAGACTACATGTGCTGCAGTATTGGCTGGATGTCCCTTTTCTTATTTTACGTCATGTTTTTTTATCATTGCCATGAGCACTGTTATTAAATTTCAAGACACAAATTATGTAGAGGTCTGCCGGAGTGCTCACTTTAAATGAAATAAAGTGTAACAGTGGAGAAATTTTGACAGTTATTGAATAAACTGAGTCATAATTCAATCAAAAGATCAAATTATCTTTAAAATGCCTGACCCAGACCTTTATCCAGAATCATATTTTACCCTGTTTGCTCCTCTCTATATGTAGACAAACAGTTAAAAATAACAACAACAGCAGCAGCTTATTAAAACTTTCCGTTGAGGGCAGATCTTTGCTGTGATTTAAAGAAAGTCTAAAAACGTCTCAGTTAACAATTTGAGAATTATCCTTTAATTTGATTTAACAGTGCTGCAATGAAACTTTTTTGTAATTTTACTAAACTAATCAGTTTATCTGATTGTGGGAGGTTTTAAAACAAACAAATGTTGCCATTATGAGCAACATTTCATTTAAAAGTTTCAAAGGTTAATGTGCTCTGAGTGCTTATGGGCACATGAGCGTTGCGTCACGGCTGTGGAAAAACCTCTGAAATATCTGCCTCCTTTTGATTGTTTCAGCGATGAAGTACAAGTGTGATTTTCCATGCAGAAAACCCGCCAAAGTCATTCCCACCCATCAAGAAACATCCCCTCAGAGGTTACTCACATTCCTCAGAGGTGGCACCATCCATGAGTGCGATACGTTGTGTAAGCCTCTTTGTGCTGCTTCTTAGGCACAAGATCTGAATTTCTGGAAAGATTAGGGGGTGAGCCGCAGGGGGAGGAAGGGAGGCAGAGGGGTCAAGAAACAACCCCCGAAGGGATCCCGTGACTGTGGAGTGATTAAGAGAAGTGAGTCATGAGGCTGAAGCGGAGGATAAATGATTGTTAGGCCACATGAAAAAAAAAAACATACCAACAGGGACAAGCACGTAATGTAAAGATCACCTTCTTCTTTTTGGAGTCAGAGGTGGTTGTATCATCATTTCTACACATTTTCCATCCGTCACACAAATGGAAATTTAGGTAACCACTAAATCTGTTCCAAAAACCCATATTTTCCACCCCAAAAAAGGATTTACAGAAATGCCCTGACTGTAACCCTGTTTGTAACCTAGATTCAGAAGTGCTATATTTTGGTAGATTTCTTGCCTTTGCAGTTTATTTTATTAAAAAATTTAGTTCCCACAATGTTTGGCCTTTTTTAACACGGACTAGAGTTTGAATCAGGTCTGATACTGCGTGTTTCAAAGGGCAAGAGGAAGTCAGGAGCGCTGATAATGAGATCAATTCTTTCGAGTCTTTGTTTTGTCAACAGTTATCTCCGTTGTCAGAGCCCTGCTTCATCGACCCTCCCGGATTTGAGGTTTTCAGACACACCTCACAGTAATACGATCATTTTAAAAAAGACACATTTATTCTGTTTAGATCTCCCAAGCATACGCACAGTCTTATGATTGATGAGCACACTGCGGAGGCATGACTTGTGGTCATGATAATAGTGTGACTCAGTGTCTAATTCAGCAGGACAGACAGTCAGTGAGTACATAACAAAAGATCACAGCTGATACTGTTAGAACAAAAGTCTTTACTGTAGAAAACAGATAAAACAAAAAGCTTTATTTAACAGTGTCATTTTAGAAAAAAGATTAAACACTGACACACATCCTGTATCAGCTATCATACTAGGAAGGGGAAAAATGAGTGCTGAGTTATTGAACTTACCCAAATAGACCTTTTTGACCAGGACAAACAAACAGATCACAGAACATCTACCTTCAATTTCAGCAGTGTGTGTTTGTCTCTGCTCCTTGTGTAAAATCCAAGGTTTATGAAGTTTTCAGTTAGAATGATATCGTACCCTATATTGTTGACACTTCTGGTCTAAGTTTTAATAGCCCGAGCTGTGAATTAGGAGACTGCACCTTAATTTAGCTCACTGTTATTATATAATGTTTGGTCGCTGGTTCAGCAGCTTTAAAAACAGTTATTGGTAAATATAACCTTTGTTGTTTATTCCACGACAGCTTTAGCGTCTGTCCTCTAACCTCAATTGTAGACCTTCTTACATTATTAATGAGATTAAAACTTTGTGTGTCCCTGCAGGCTGCAGGAGGATTTATGGCCTATGTTGGAGCCTATGTGATCAGGAGTTATGACAACTTCAACAACTTCATCCAGGACAAGTACACTTTGATCCCTGCTGCTATCATTATTGGTGTCAGCGTTGTGATGTTCATCTTTGGTCTGTTGGGATGCTTTGCAACAATCCGGGAGTCCAGAGTTGGCCTTAGCTTTGTAAGTGTTTATTTTTGTTTCTATTTTCACTCTCTTTTACTTCTACTTAACACTTTTTAACTCTCATTTTCTTTCTTTTCAGTTCTTCCTGTTTATTTTAGTGATCTTTATTGCTGAAGTTGCTGCTTTGGTATTTAGCTTCATCTACCAAAACAAGGTGAGTCCCAACAGAAATCACAGATTGAAAAGGCACAAAGTTGACTGTCTTACACAGCTGACACTCTGTCTTGTGTCTGTGTAGATAAGCGGAGACCTGCAGCGCTCCATGAGTGACGTCTTTGCCAAGTATGATGGAGAAGATGCAGAAACCAAGGCTGTGGACTACCTGCAGACTCAGGTTGGTGTTTTTACAGAGTATGAACCGGTTCTCTTTTTTTCTGTTGTATTTCCATACTGTACACCTGTTGTGCTTATGTATTTTCCTGCTTGACTACTTTCATTTCCTTCTGTTTTTGTCTTTCATTTACATCTGATCAAGTCTTTTTGTGTCTTTCTCAACAATAACTAAGACACGTTACACATTTTGATTTCATGCTTATCTCTATCCTCTTTGTCTCGTTTAAAAGTAGACCCCTTTCTTTTTTTAAAGAGGAATTCTGGGTTTTTTAATGCCTTCACTAAGATTATTGAACCACAAATAGAACAGGAGACTGAGAGGCGAGAGTGACTACAAATACTGGGCCAAATTTGAACCCAGACTGCCTGCGTCTATGACCTTTGCACACAAGGTGCCCAACCCAGCAGACCAATACCTTAACCGTCTAACCTTTGTAATCATAGTAGATGACGTGAGACTCCATATAAACAAATGTCCCTTTGGGGATCAATAAAGTTCTTCTCTTGTATTGTTTTTCTAATCTAAGCTTCTCTTGGAAATTTTTTCTTTTTTTAACATCATGTTCTTTGATAGTCATATAAATCAATTTTAAGAAACAAATCTATCATGTATTTAATATAATCATTCACAGGTATTTCCAACATGTGCAAAATACCTTGTACCTGTTAAACTACAGCTATAATTATGCTTTTTTTATAGCTAAGAAGTGTAATGTAACCCACGCACAAATGAAACTTGACAGTTTCCTGCTTCACTGGTGAAAGCTAAACACTCCCTGACCTCTCGAGGATTATGAATTTCACTACAAATAACTAAAAGTAGGTCATTCTTTATTTTTCACAGCTTGTGTTTGACCTTAATAACAGCAAAGTTTTAGTCCAAGTCCACAAAACTTTCATAACCATCTTATCAAGGTTTTCCGACAATGGAATAAGGTTTTAGGTTAATACACTGTTTTCCTCTCAGCCTCAGTCATAGCTGTTTATGGCAGTTGATAGATTTCTTTTTTTTATTTTTTTGTCTGATAATCATCAATTTCTATATGTCTTAAAACTTACTGCAGACTGCTGCTTGAATTTTTTAAATAGGGCAATATACAAGGTGAAGTTTAAATTATACCATGTATGTATAGTTTATATTTTAAGGTAGAAAAGTGCATCTGTTCATGTGTTGTTGCCTTTTCAAAATAAATTTATTGGCAGTAATGAAGCTGAAAAGCTTGCATACTAGCAGGTAAATACCACATATGTCTTTGCATGTTGCCAATAGGGATGAGCAATATAGGCTAAAAAATTTATTACGATAAAATTTGCCATTCTAGCGATAACAATAAAAAATATTATAATTCCAATCTATATTTTTGACTCATTTTGTCTTGAGAACACTAGTTGGAATAGTCAAATAAGATACTTAACCACAAGTCTGAGTGGTAAACTCATGACATCAAACAACTCTTTAATCTAAAAACATTTTCAACATTTACTGAAAACTCTTATTGCACAGAGTGAGCAGATCCACTGTCCGATGTCAGGCATACCTGATTACGCTCATCTCAGGCCCAATCTTGAAGGAAATCCCTCATGTGGAGCCTCGTTCAGTAACGAGCTGCTCAGACACGTCTTCTTCATTACCTTCAGCCATGTTTGTTTGTTATTCTGCTCTGTGTGGGCTGTGGCTGTGAGTCTGTCGCTCGCGTTTACGTCATCAACTTACATTTATCATATTTATCATGAGATTGCAAATATTTATCATGGAGAATTTTTCTGACGATGTATCATGAACGATAATCTATCGCCCATCCCTAGTTGCTATGTCTAAGAACCAGGTGGAATGGAAGTGTGCACGCCAAAAATTACTTTAATTTACTGAAAATATTTTATTCAACCCTTGTATTGAGAAGTAATAACTTTAAAGGTTAATAACATTCAAGAGAGTGGATATATATATCACTCAATGCTATCTATTTATATCTCTCTGTTTGTCCAGTATTATAGTTCATATAGTTAATGGCTTCCCTCTTCTCTGTCTCTCTTTGCAGTTGCAGTGCTGTGGAGTCAGAAATTACACCAGCTGGTCCAGCACGGCCTGGTTTGCAGAGCACAACAACACAGTGCCTCTGAGCTGCTGTAGAAACACTTCCTCTGCCGAGTGCACAGGAAGACTGGATCAGCTAAACCTGTTGAATGTTGAGGTAAATCACACAGAAGAAAGATCGCTCTTGATTAGGTGTTGTTACATGTGAAAGCCGCCAAATCAAATAATTCCCCTCTTCTGAACAGACATTCTTAATGCACACTCATTGTTGTTTTGCATGTTCATGAATTTCAGGGGTGTGAGGCCAAACTGGAGGTGCTCCTACAAGATGTGTTGGGTTATGCTATGCTGGTCATTCTGGGCTTTGCAATCATAAAGGTAAAGACAGTCACTTATTTTGAATCACTTAAAGGTGGCTGAATTAAATGTTGATGCTGTGTGACCTATAAAAGCAAATAAGATTGTCACCATGAAGATCTTTTTGGAAGAATGCACCTCTCTTGGACATGTTGGATCATACACCAGCACAGACTTTTAAACCTAGATCTGCTTGTAAATCTACCAAGTACTGTTTGATTGAAGTATTCTGAGATAAGATGACCCGTCCACTCATCTAATAATGAAGAAATTCAATGGTAGCTCATTTTAGGGCTGTTTCTCGAAAATAAGAGGGTTGACAGAAATTTCCATGGTGATTCAAAGAAATTGCTTTTCAAAGGGATCTTCCAAGAACAGATCTTAGAGACTGGCTCCCTCCAGTTTCCTGATTTCAAACTGTTGATTTTATAAGGAGAAATTGAAGACAATACTGGATCAGATTAATGACGCTACAGATATAACAATATATATTTATAGCTATTTAGTGCCAAGTCTTCCAAGTATTTCAAGCATCACATTTGTGTTTTCCTTCCACAGTTCTTTGGTATGCTGAGCGTGTGTGTGATCACCTGTAAATCCGGCAGTCGGAGGAATGGTTACCAGCCTCTCTATGCCTGAAAAACACCCCACAACCAACTATCACCTCCTTGTGTTCCTTGACTAGCTTTGCTGACGTCTGCATCAGCATTGTACAGAAATGTCCAGACTAAACGTTGTACAAACCTGAGTTTTATTTTGTTTATGGCATAAAATTACAGAGCAGTATGTAGAAAACTTTTATTTTAGTCTAAAGGGGACAAAGGTACAGTGTTCACCCAATAGAAGTATCATCAAAATGTTCCCACAACTTGGCAAATCATTTAATCGAGTATGGACATGGCTCTCAATTTGATTAGAAGTTATTTATTTCCCAACTTGGAGATGACCCAACAAGGTTTGTGTCTCAGCCCACATGTCTTAGCCTTCCTTTAGATAACACATGTAACAGAAGCACGAGACAAAGTTTGGGGAGTGATTTCAATATTAAAAAGCTGATCCCTGTTGGATTTTGTGTGCTGAAAATCTTAGATTTTAGAGCATTTTTATTTATCATGTTTACTGTAAACTGGGTGCAGTTCTGTGACATCACAGAAGGTGCCTATTATGGTGCCTATTTGTTTATCTTGCCTAGATGTCTCACTCAGCTGCATCATGTAGATAATCTCTGAAGGAACATTATTCTTTGGGATATATTCAAGCTTTATATTAAGCTTGTAGTGAGTTTGAACAAAAGGATGATGAATATGTACCTGGTGTTTAGATGTGTATAAATACATACCGTATGCGTACAGTATATATGGATTTAACTGTGATGAATGACATAGTATGACTTTGGTTGCGTTTATTGTGTTTCTAAATTAAACAGGTAAAAATTTCCCACTGATACAGACCCAGGTTCCTTTTTATCAAATTTGTGTTTTGCCATGTCTTCTGTGTTTGTGTTATTATCATTCATTTAGAATATGAAATCAATCTTTGTAGATAGTATGTTCTTACAGCACATACTTTTGTCTAAACCTGGGTTCACGTCTGTGCCAAAATGTCTCTCTATAGCCTCTTTGAAAAACACATTCAGAGCAGGACACTAACCGTGACCCCTGCCGGTTATCTCTCACTATTTTACCTCCTGACTCTGTTGATAAAGAGGCCCTTAGACCAGCACAGTGTACAAACAGGAGATAGGAGCACTCATCTTCTATAATTTTGTCCATGTTGAGAAAGATACAGGGGTATATAATGTCCTATATAGAGGCATTATGGTAACTGTAAACCAAAGATAACATGTGATGGCACCCGTTGATTTTTATACAGATACAACTGATTTCACCTGTTGACTAAATTGAAACTACAACCCCAAGTCAGAAAAACTGGGACACAGTAAAATGTTAAAGAGAAAGAAAACATGAAACTTAAAAACAGAAAAAAATGTTTAAAGATATTCTCATTTTATGCCTGAGGCCAGACTGGATTTACTGTTAAATGGTTGGCATACTTTAAAAATCGATTTGAATCAACAATTTATAGTGTGACTTTTTTTTAAAATTGGGATTTAAAAAAAAAAAAAAAAGAATCAGCATCTCAGGCTTCTGTGAAATCAAGCATCACTTTCTGTATTTAATCTTTCTGCTTCCCCAAACCTGTTAAAAAAAAAAAAAAAAATCATTTAACAATAATTGCCAAAGTGTAACTCGCATGAATGGGGTTGTTCTATTACCAGTGTTTTATTGCAGTAACAAAAAAAGTCCAACAGGTGGTGGTAGAGAGCCAGCTTTCAAGTCTAAACAAGCAGCTGTGGCCGTGAAAGGGCCCCAAAACACCTCATGTGAACTCATCCCTGAGGTAGTGCGAAATGTGTGAGCTAATCAGTCTATGTATAAAGAGACATGCGAGCACAAGACTTCATTTTAAATTTGATACAAATATGACTTGCAGATCTTTTGAAACTTAATTTATTATTAAAAAAAAGTTTCCTTGTAAAGGAGATTAAATAATCTTCTTGTGATTAACATTTCTCTGTGTGTGCTAATGACCTCCTCTGAGGTAATTGATTGTGCTCCCCTGTCTCAGTGTGTGGCCTTCTCCTATCTCTGCTCTGCATATCTTATTCAGAGCAGGTTCGCTGCTCAGGGCTGTGCTGACATTTAGACAGGCCACTTCTTTTCAGAAAGAACTGTTGGCACTCGCAAACACACACACACACGCCCGCGCGCACACACACAGATAACGGTGGTCAGAAAACCTTGTCAACTTTGAGTCCTGTTTTCTTTCCCTCTACCTTAAACTCTGTCTTTCTTCTGTCTCTCTTTCACCCTGGTGTCTGTTTAACTGAGTGTTTGTGTCAGTTTCTAAGCTCACCCTTTTTTTTCTTGCCTGGCATCTTTATCTACCTGTTTAAAATTTACCATTTTAGGAGCATTTGCATCCATATCTCCCATTTATGCCAATCATCTGTTTTCTGTGCTCCGCTCTTGTTTTTCTCAGTTTCCCCTTGAGTGTCACCACTTGATATCAAGGGGCGCGGTGCGAAAGATAGCCCTCTTTCTTAGTATGCTCGATATTTTCCCATTATGCAAATGTGGCGCTGAAACAACTTCGTGACAGGTGCTGATCTACCAAGGCAGGTGATGTTTTTGTAGCCAAGGTGTGTGCAGATTTGATGTCCTTCCTGCCCTGCGAACCAATATGTATCTCGAGCTCTCATATCAACAGAGTTTACAGATAAACAGATTCTTGTGTTGGACTCTCAAGGTTGTGATAGTTTAATGGCTCTTATGTTATTATATGTTCAGCTCCTCTACTCTGATAGCAGCATTTGTCAACAGAGCCCTTAATCACATTGTCATACTTCAAATAAGTATCTATAGCGTTACCCTTCAAAAATGTTCACTTGAATGTAACCTAGCATAATGAAAGCTAACTGTAATAAGAGATACCATGTTTAGAGGGATATTCCAGCGTAAAATTAATTTAGGGTCAAACAACGTAACACTTAGTTAGACACCCCCTCGAGAGATGAATGTTGCCGTCCGCTTGCTTCTCTAGTTATACCATTTTTTCATTACTTCAGTCATTTCTTCATGGAAATGCAATCAGACCGAGACGCTAAGGTAGAAGAACTACCACGTCTGCAGTGCAAAATGATTAATATGATGATTATTACTTCAAGGAAATGATAAAGTAATGATCATAAATGTTCTTCCTTGAGCTGCGTCACCCCACTGTAGTCTGTAATGGACCCTAAATTAATTTTACGCTGGAATATCTCTTAGGAAGTATTTTATAGTTAACAGTAAGCAGGAAGGCTTATACTGCAGCCAGTCACCAGGGGGAGCTCTATTTTATTTATTTATTTATTTTTTGCTTCAATTTTGAGACACTGTCATGTTCATCATCTTTATTTATTGTCTGTGGTGAGGATTCACCTGTAAGCATCAAACAGTTTCAATCAATAGCATGTGTATAGCTATCAAATAAGGGATTAGTAGTCGTTTAAGCATGAACTAGCATTTATAGAGTATTGGATTTGTAGTCCTTTGCATGTATGATGTATGATTTTTTATCTTATTAGCACGAAAGTAGTTATTTTCAGGAGAGGGCTGCTAAACTCAAGTACTTTTTTTATAACCATGGGAAGCCAATACACAGTGAGAATGCAATCCTCTCTGATCTCATGTATCATCATGGGTGTTCTCAATGTTCACCTCCTGTCTTCTCAGTGTTAAAAATGAAGGGCTGTACAGAACTGAGCTCACTGAGGTGAGAGCTGCCTGTGCTTGTATGATTTGGCACTGTTGCATTTTCTATTCCCCAGTGAGTCATCTCTGCGCAGATGTGTCCTCATCTGTCTCACTCACTGTTCTTCGAGACCATTACCCAAGAGTGCAGCATACCTACACAGGCACACACCATATGAGCCCACCGAGCCAGCTGTTGTCACAGGGAAATTACTGCCTAACCTTTAATTTATGCACTTTCTACTACTTGGACAGGGATGTGATTGAAGTAGATAACCTGAGGCAGAGGACACAACACTGCGGATGATCTGGCAGGAAGTATATCATCAGAGTAGGCGGTTGCTTTCTGTACATCAGGATAGAGAGATTTGAGAAGTATGTAAATTCTGTCACAACACATCAAATACTTCAATATTCCAGGTTTCTTTCATTTTGGTGTATATATCTACGTCTAAAGACTGTTAAAGAGCCTCTCTTACATCAAATATCTGGCTTTTGACCTGTTTTCTTTTATGAAAACACGAGTGAGAGCTCTCCTTTTTTATGGTACAAGGATAAAACCAGCGTAGTGTCAAGGTTACTTTTAAAATCCTCTTCCTTCACCTTTGTTTTCAGTGCAGACCCATTAATAATGGCCCACACAGTGTCATGACCAAGGGGCAGGTGCTGCTGACAACATATAAGCCTGTCTGTCTGTCTGTGTGTGTGTGTCGCTGTAAATAGCCACCCACCACTGACACTGCATTGTCTCCATTTGTCAGATGCTATCAGTTTTAATTAGAGAGAGCAGAAAAGCAACAGAGAGCAGAAACAGACACAGAGAACAAAAGAGCCAGAGAGTAGCAGCAGCTTCATGAACTAATATCTATGATCCATAATTTTCTCCATGTAATCTTCACAGCTTTATAAGAGATTTTTAAGTAGCCTGACAACTTTTTCTTCTCCATTACACTAATTCTTTGTCCTTTCTTTTCTTTTCTCTTCTGCAAGTTATCTCTGTGTGTGTGTGTTGAAAGCAGTGTTGGTGTAAAAGATGCCAGGATTTTGAACTACTTCTTTTCAAACTTGACTCCATCATATTTTCTGACAGAAAGAAAAAACAGACTACCTGAAAGAAGATGTTGCCGTGACGCAAAAGCAGCAAAAGTATTTAACAATTTCCTCTGTGGGACATTCCACTCTTAGCCTGGTGTTATCTTATCCACACACTTCAAAAGGAGCAGATCCACACCTGAGAAAGTCACTTATAAGATCCAAACATTCAACTCAGGGGGGCACAGCACACATGGCTGTTGTTTGGATCAGGATGAGATTTCTCTGTCGACTCTCAAACAGCACCAGCTCTGATTACACCCACCCTCTGTGAAACCACAAAGGGAACACTGACCCCTCCTCTAATGGCCCTATTTAGAAAATGATTCATCAGATTTCTGAAACTCTGCATCAGGTTGGAGCACTTTTACTCTCTTCTTCTTTCATCTGCACTCTTACGATGATGTTTGAAAAAGCTGAACTACCTCTGTGCCTCTGTCATTGGTGAAGCCATAAGCTCAGAGAGTCACTCACACTGGGTTCATTACATCAGGTGACTCATGGATCTCTGTTCTGTCTGCGTCCTCTGTCTGTCCTGGTGCACCTTTGCATGATCATAATTATCTTTTATCTCCCTTTACTCACTTCATTCTCAGTGTACATTTGTCCTCTCCCTACACCTTGCTTATATGTGTCACTTTATGTGTCTTTCTCATAGGATCAGCAGCTCAAGCAGGGAAACTTGCCTTGTTTAACAAGCTAAGCAGGGATTAACCAGCCTAAATGTGAAGTTACAGAGTGATCTCAGGAGTCTGACAGGCGATGATCACTCTTCCATTTCCAAGGCTGCCATCTCTTAGATATTTCAGAACAGATTTGTTACCTCCACCAAGGAGGTTATGTTTTTGGTAGCATTGGTTTGTTTTTTTGTTTGTTTGTTTGTTGTTTGTTTGTTTGTTTGTTTGTCTGTTACCAACTTTATGGAGAAAGTAACAGACGGATTGACCTGAAATTTTCACCAGAGGTGCGTCTCAGCCCCAGGAGGATCCCATTACATTTTGGTGGTTATCCGGATTGTCTTCTGGATCCAGGAATTTTTTGAAGGATTCTTTATCGTTGTGAGATAGGGCAAATTTTGGAATTTTTGCATTTAACTCTATAATAAAAATGGCCAGAGTCTTTAGTAAAAGATTACACAAAAGGATCTCAATGAGTTTTATGAGGTGTCAAAGGTTGATCCTGATCCAGACAAAATTCCGGATACTGTGATCCAGAACACACAAATATAAGGGTGTCGTTGGAATTTTCAATGCTGAAAGATAACCAATGGGCGGCACAGTGGTGAAGATGGGCGGCACAGTGGTGTAGTGGTTAACACTGTAACCTCACAGCAAGAAGGTCCTGGGTTCGAATCCGGGTCAGGGCATTTCTTGTTTTAGGAAGATTATGAACAGTGAACATACCAGTTTAAACACAAATAAAAGTTAATAAAAGACACGTAACAGTAAAAGTTTTGGTGTGAATCACGATATAAGGGGGGACATGAGCTGCTTGGCGGAGGTCTGCGCTCTCCGAGTGCCTCTCTAGTTTTAGTTATGGTCCTCGACTGTATCCTAACCTTACTACCCTCCACTAACCACAGGCCACAGCCTTTTTCCACAAAACAGCCTCAAGACTTTGCAAAGTTTGGACTAACTCATGTTACTGCTGCTGTTATGTTCTCTCTCTTTATCCTCAGCCCACACGGTGCATTGAGTTCACTGTTTTAGAGGGATTTTTAGGGAAAGTAAGAACTTACATAATGAAATGAAGCACCTCAAATTACAGAAGAGAGCCTATCAAATTCATACAGTATTTATTAAATCATTACATTTCCACTCTTTCCAAAATAGTCTTAAATCTTGTTTGAATTTATCACTGACCTGATGGTGTTGGAAAATTAACAGGGTGGCTGAACTCACTTGATCAGAGGTAGACTGGAGACATTTAAAGCTCCTGTGGGCGTTTTTTGGGGGTTTTTTTTAGCCGATTTCGAAACTTAATGAAATTGACCGACAGAAATTGATATTGACGCCTCTGTGACCTAAACAGCAAAAGGGACAATCAACAACTGATTTCAAGCGTTTCTGTACACTTATTTTGAATTACAGCCATCAGCCTGAGGTGATGAGCTCGGCCAGCTAGACCAAAGATTCACATGCTTTCTTGTATACTGTGTGTGATTAGCACTGTGGTTAGCACAGCAGGTGCTACACATACAAATCAAATCAAACTTGATTATAAAGCGCTTTTCATAAAAAGCTCTTGATAAATAAAGGGATGTAACACAAAGTACTTAACACACATATTCAGCTTTTATCTATAATTTCTTCATTTGAGAGGGGGTGAGATGGTTTCATTTCTTTAGAAAGTAATAGGTCATAAAGTATAGCATCAGTATTACTTTGATATGTTCTTAAGAATAAACGTATTTGACCACATAAATATGAATTTTACCTTATCAATGACTCTATTTCTTAGAGTAGACTGATGTCTTGTTCAGGGACAAGCTATTATTTAACATCAGGGGGTCCTTGACTTCCATTATCATGAGCAAAGGCCCCCCTCTAGTTTCCTCTTCAGGCATCCTCAAGCACTCAGATAACCTCCTAATGTCAGGATGGGAGAGGACTGTTATGACACCAAGGTGGGAAAATACGCACCTACCACCATCGCACACGTGCTGAAACACACAAACACACTCAACTCATTTACAGATCCTTAACTAGTTGAACTGAATAATTTCCCCTATAAAAAAAAAGGAGAAAGAAAACTATTGGACAATCATAAATCAGAGCAAACTGGGATGTTATTTGGCCCTAATTAGATATTACACTGACACATAATACTAGATTGTGACCACCCAAAACTGAGGAAATCTGTATCAGTGTACAGACTCAGAGAGCATGGCTTGGCCATCCTGAGAGAAGACACCCGGGCACACCTGGCTTTCTTAAGAGGACAGACTCTGCACCCACTTCACTCATAAGGAGGTTGAAACAGAGGTGCCAACTGTACCTGGACACCAGAGACATATACACCCCTCCAACCGCAAACACCCAAAAAAGATCCAACATTTCGTTTCGTTTATTTAGATCTCCATTAGCTTTGGCTAAGGCCATTGCTATTCTTCCTGGAGTCTACATGTACAGTTAGCTCTCCATTGCAGTGCACAGTCACAAAAAAACATCACGCCACAAAGACAACGTCGATAACCACAACAACTCACAAACAGCCTGCAAGACAAAAACAAAAAAACAAAAGTAAAACAATACAAACAACATACACATATGACTGGACCTTATACATTTCCACAGTGTAGCTGTAGTTCTGAAATAATCCGATGTTTAAATATCAACTGACATTCCACATAACTGAATTGAGTTAATTAATTTACCAAAACAGTACCCAATAAATAATACATAAGCAGACTTCCAATATTATAAGTAGATCAGACAAACCAAGCTTAATCTAAACAAGGAGCTGTTTGACTGGTAAATGTTCTTTAACTAGATCTTTAAATCTGTATTTGTTGTTTTCTTGGATGATATGTCCTGGCAGAGCATTCCATGTCAACATGGCCCTATACATTACTTTTCATTTTGTTTTTTTTTACTTTGGGTAAGGTTAATTTACCCTCCTTGGCATGTCTTGTTCTGTTACAGTGATCATTGGAACTGAAAGACAAACGATCGTCAAGAACCCTTGGCAATTTTGTCACCGATAGTCTTTTCATGAAAGCTGCTAATGAGGCAGTAAATCTGTTCTTTACGTTCAACCAGCATTTTACTAACATTGGTTTTGTATGGACAGCATGTATGGACTCTTTTCTCCAAACATTTTTTCACATTAATTTTGTCCTCAATGTGTATTTTCATTTGTTTTTCACTTGCCTTATTAATTTCAACATTAAAAAAGACAAAAAGTTGTGAAGATTTGTAACTTTAACTGTATTTACACACCTCACTATACTTCAATTTTCTATTTTACCTGATGTTACCTATTTTATTTTGTACACATACTTATATTTTTGAGAGCAGAGTCCCTTTTTATGTGTAATTTTAAACTGAAAGTAACCGTGGCTAATTAGACCTAATTTCAACCATGTAGATTCTGTATATATTTAGACAGAATTTAGATGTTCCACTTTAACCAATTATCCAATTACTATTTATTTAAAAAAGCAACTGTGAGTTGCATAACTGATCTCCAAGTACTTAACCCAAATAATTATAATAGCCGTTGAGCAATACAGTGTAGTATAGATAAAGCCCAGATTTAGATGTAGTCTAAACTTGGTCTAAATTTAGACGTATAAAGAACTTTGATTTTTAGACCTGTGGTAGCCTGATTTTAGACCTGTCATCTAGGCTACATTGAGACGTCAATTAGACCTCTTTTAGTCCAAAAAATGTTCAGTGGCTGTAACATTGCTGCTATTCTGCAGAGCTCTGTACACACTTTTTCCCCAAAATGTCTACAATTTTGTACTTTTTAAAAAACTTTTTTGTTCACTAGCTTTTGCATTGAAAAAGTGTGTTTTCTATGCCAATGAAACCCTTTCAATTGAACTGAATTTCATTAATTTTATTGAACTGAATTGAGTTTTATTGAGAGAGAGAGAGAGAGAGAGAGAGAGAGAGAGAGAGAGAGAGAGAGAGAGAGAGAGAGAGAGAGAGAGAGAGAGATGGGCGCTTAATCACCCATACTGCAGTGTGTGTGTGAAATTGCGTGTGTGTCAAGCCACTCAGGTCTTGTATCTGGACCAGGGTGATCCCTCCTTCTCCTCCTCCTCTCTTTCTCTCTCTCTCTCACACACATCTTTGCTGTGGACAGTGAGGTGACACGGAGCGGGATCACAGCAGAGAGTCTCCCACAATAACCGGCTCTGTATCCGCCTCTGGCTTCTCTCACCTCCGCGGAGGATCGTCCCTGGTGCTGACCTACACTGGCTGCTTCCCGGTTAGATCTACTGGATCATACACTCACTTTGGAGAAAGAAAGAGAAGACAGAAGAAGAGATGCGACCGTGTCTCACTTTCTTTTCTTCAGGGGACTGGTTTATCTCTCACATCATCTGCTCGGATCTTTGTTTGTGGACGGCTTCTGCTGCGGCTGCGTGAGTATCCTGACGGCTGCTGTTGTTATCTTTCTTTCCTCCTCCTCTTGGTAATGCACACCGAACAGATACTGACATAGATAAGATAACGCGAAGCTAGTTATGAAGGGGGTAAAAAAGCACAAACCTGCTGCACTTTCTCGTTTTCGGATACGGGGAGTATGTTTTCTGAGATGCACTTCCATCTGAGTGTTTTGTTCTGTCAGAGGGGCGTAACTGGAGTGGAGGTAGACACACAAAGGCAGCTGCATGAGGCTGGTGTGCAGAGAGGATGCAGTGTTTCCCCAGCTGAGCTAGAACTGCCTGCTGGGGAGTCAATGGAGTTTTGAGGGGGGGAAGAGTGAAGAAACATTTAGAAGACAGAAGAAGCTGCTCAAAGTAGGCAGCCATGCTCGTTTCTATCTATTTGGGTTTAACCTACTTCAATATGGCACAGTGCTGCCATACTCAAGACTGGAAAGAGATATCAATCCAGAATGGGACTTCAAATAATGTCAATAGTTGATTTCACTTTTCTGCTGAAGAAACAGAAAAATATTCTTATTTTTATATTCTGGTTGCATAACTGAAGAAGTGTGGAGAGTAAATGCACACCGAGCAGCCATCTCCACTGGTTATGCATTATATATTAAGTTGGCCCTGTGTTGCACCTCCCACCCAGCAATACTGTCATTGCTCCCAGTCTTTCTCTTCTCACTTTACAGTCTGACAGCTTCCAAATCCTCACTGAGGCAAACACCACCATAAAGCGTGCTTGTAAGTATTTTCTAAAGGCTGTTGGGGGTTAACTTATCGAGTGCACGTTGTCAGTTTCAGGAGGAAGAAGAAGAAGAAGAAGACAGGGAAGGAGTTAATGCAGAAGCTTGCCCTCAGGCCTTTGACAGCAGAGAGATTTGTTTTGTGGATTGATGGATTGTTTGCTTGGATTTTTACAGCCGTGGGATGCAGGGGCGGCAGAAAGTCAACGCTTTTGTTTTCTATCACTGTATGACCTTACAGAGGACAAAAGGGCGCAGAAACAACAGGTAGATTTCTTAGTTTTAATTTGAATCAGGCAAGTGAAGCTACACAGGTTGATGCGATTAAAAAAAATCAAAAGAGAAAGGTGCACTATGACTGAAAAAACTGCTCAGATTGTCTTCACCTCACACTAAAGCATTGAATGACATGATTTCCTCTGAAAGCATGTTAGGTCAGTTGTGTAGATCAGGTTACAATGCCACTCAGTGTTACATAATGCCAGTGCTCTTGTGACAGAGCCCCTGTTAACTCACTGGCTCTGTTGCTATCTTGCGTGCGGTTCCCATTCGCTCTTTTCTTCCCCAGTATCAGCAGCAGTGGTGGCAGATGTGTTGCTAATAGCAGTATCTTTTTCCACAGTGAGCATGGCCTGATGCTGAAATCCCTACATTCATGAGACGGCAACAGGAAGCAGATTAACTGAAGGATTAAACACACACGCACACACACACAGAAGAGCACAGTTTCAGGATTTGTCCGCTGCCCAACTGTGGATCTCACTCTGAATGAACTCATCTGACTGACTGATTGAGACTCTCTCTCTGGTATCATGGAAGAAGAGGAGGAGCCAAAAGAGTCTCATTGAATTTAAACTCACATAACCCCTCCTTCTCCTCCTCTTCCTCCTCCTCCTCCTCTCCTCCTCTCCTGGCTTGCTATCGAAGGCTTTGACTGGTCGACGAGGATTACAGACTTATGACAAACACAGCTGAGTGTGCAGAGAGTGAGAGAGAGGAGCACAGAGCCCAGCACCCTCCTGCCTGCTGCTGCTGTCCCATGATGCATCTACACATGTAAGAGCAGGATCAGCCACACAGAGGGCTGTTTCTATGGATACCCCTGCCCTGGGTAGTATTAATAAGACTCGGAGATATTCTTACTATACAGTGAGAGATTAGAGAAGCACCCCAGCTGCAGCTGACTCCAGCCTCAAATAACATCAATGGATCAGAGAGAGAGAGAGAGATTTTCATGAAGTGTCAAGAGGAAGAGTTTGAAGAAAAAATGTGCTATTTTTAAACACATTGGATGCGTTAAAAGTTGTGTTCAGGAGCACATTAACTGCTGCTGGTGCAGTAAAAAAGATGATTCGATCAGGCTCTGCCCACACAGCAACAGAAGAGGAGGAGAAGATGATGCAGAAAGTAACTTCTCATGCCTTAAGGAAATGACTCCTTCTCTTGCCTGCCTGCAGTACTGAGCACAGTGTGAAATTCTGGGCCCAAATCCTGCATAAAATAATCTTTAGGGGACTTTTTTTTCAGGCCTCTATGACTGCCACCAACTTATACTCGTTGTTCTATTGGATTTAGGTCTACATGACAAGAGAAATCTTCAAGCACCAGCTAACTCCGAGAGAAAACAAGTCTGTTGTCGAGGTTCTGCACTCACCAGCATAATGTAACAACCTGTTCACAATAAGACAGCACTGTAATCTAGAGAGCGTGGGGATCCAACAAGCTTGAGCGATTTATCATCGAACACCTCCAGAGAGAGCTCTCATGGCCAGACACAACTCTCCCTTCTTCCCCCATGGCTTCGACCTGGGGGGCCACTTTGTTGACCTCCGACCTCTCGGCATGGGGGTCACAGGCCTGGTGCTCTCGGCCTTGGACCAGCGCACCGGGCAGCGGGTGGCAATTAAAAAGCTAGTGATGCGTGATGCTGTGACAGTGAAACACGCCCTGCGGGAGGTGAAAATCACCCGGCGGCTGCACCACGAGAATGTGGTGAGGGTACATGAGGTTTTGGCACCATACGGACAACCCCTGCCCACAGACCCAACCCAGCTGAGCGCCCTCTACATCGTCCAGGAGTGCATGGAGACTGACCTGGCGCGGCTGCTGGAACAGGGACCGCTACTAACAGGTACAAGAAACAAGCGTCCAAGATATAAATAGAGCTCAAAGATAATTTATGTTTCTAGTGTTTAGCTCACGTTTTTCTCTGACTAATGTTTTATTGCTTCTCTGCTGGCTGTGTTTACACTGTGATTTACCAGATTTAGTTGCAATCTTTTACTGAAACATCACCCACATCTACAACTCCCACTTTGCAAAATCGCATTACTTTCTTTCATTAATGTCTCGGATTGTTTACTCTTCATAAACACGCTCCGTAAGGATCGGTGGCAAACGAAACATAATTAATGAAACATTATTTATGGCTGTTATTATAGTTTTAGTTAAAAGAAAAAGATAGAAAATATATATTTATTTTTGTTCATTTTGAGTTTCCCCTATATCCACAAGTCAAATGCCAAGAGTGAAGAGTTTTATCTGTTCATATAATGACTTTTGCCAAGCACAGTGTGAATAAAGTGAACCTTTCAGAGCTAACTGTACTCTTAATTCTAACACTTACCCCTTTAATGCCTTTTGCATCATATTTGATACATACTTTCATGATACTGCTATCAAATCAATATGATCAACACATTACTAAAAAAAAACCTGAATACAGTCTGATAAATGATAAAAATGTCCTCATGTGGTTTATCAGTTTCCAAAAAAATGTATCAAACGAGATAAATAAATATATTTGTTACATTTTAAGGACATTTTGATTTTGGGGGTTTTCAGTAGTAAGTGAAATAAACATTTCAGCTCCAAAAAAATTAGAATTTTCTGGCCATAATCTGTGGTTTCAGGCATTAAAGGGTTAAATACAAAAAAGCAGATTTTATCCGAGCCAAGTAATTAATGAGAATTTTTTACAGTGGTTACAGGAGTGAGATCTGAACCTGCAGGGTGTATCTTCATTTCTGGCATTTGACTTTGAACAGGTCACGCCACTCTGCTTTTCTACCAGCTGCTACGGGGACTGAAGTTCATCCACTCAGCCAACGTCCTGCACAGAGACCTGAAGCCCGCCAACATATTTATCAACACGGACCAACTGCTGCTAAAGATCGGAGATTTTGGGCTGGCCAGGATCGTTGACCCTCATTATTCTCACAAGGTAAGTAAGCGACACAAAAGGAAAAACTACAGTGCTTTCTGTCACCATGGCAGACTTTTAAAGGTTTTCATTCTACCCACTAAAATAACACACTGTACCTGAACTGCAGATCAGTATGTTATCTCTAAAAAAAGTACAGAAAGTGTACCTCAGCAAAACATATCTTTAATCTAGTTACTTTCCAACATTTTTAGGGCATGTGAAAGTTGCAAACATGCCAAATGTACCAGATACCAATAAGATCCTGTGATCATTATTCTGTATGCTCATATCCCCGTGCTTACAAGTTCTACATTAATTTTATAATCCATAATCTCCAAGGGACAAGCCAACCTAAAAGTCCAGATCTCTGCCCACAAAGTATTGGCTGCTCTGATTTAGTCTTCTTTGATTCTTGCTCTACAGAGATTAATCAAACCATAAATATTCAAGTCAGCAGAGTAGAGGAGGATTTTTCTCTCTGCTCATCGCTTTGACTTGGCGTGGGCTGATCTGCTGATGATGGATGAATCTAGGGAGGGTACTGTAATATTAAACATTATCTCTTCTCCCTCCCTTTGGGGCAGAGCTGTTATCAGCAACTCCCGGAGCTCTGACCCTGGGTGGTTCACACAAAGCAGAGCACCAACCCTTGTCCTTTCACAGTAATGGATACTCTGCTGGATAGTAAGCTAAAGTAGACTCCCACAATAAAGCAGTAGGTTTGAAAATCGCTAGCTTTATTATTTCTTGACGATATAATGTACACTCGCTTACCAACAACACAGACAGAATCTCAATGAGCCTTGGTAGGTTTGAGAGTTTTAAAACTCCTGTTGTTACTAAAGTATAGCCAAACCATCATTGTTTTTCTGACAGCCATCTCCTATTATAAATGATTGATTATTTTTCTGTCATTCAATTTGTATTTTACCAAGAATAATCTCATAGCAACACAATTTCTATATCAAGAAATGAAGAAGTTTGGCATCAAAAATCCTGTAGGGGGTTTTAGCAGCCAATCAAACAGATTTCAACTAATGATGGTTCCTCTCGTTGTCTAAAAAAGTAAAGAAGAACATCTCGACATCACTTCCATACTGTGAACGTTCATGCTCGTAACCAGTTGATTCCAGTTGAGGGAGTTAGAGCATGCTCCAGATACAGCCCTAATTGACATTTTCCATAGCAGCGATTCACAAATAGTGTGGTGTTTGACCGTACAAACAAATCTAACTGAGATTTTACTCTTCAAGAAAAATCACTGTATGTATGAGACAAAATCAGCAAATAGGCAAGGGATATCTCTCTGTCCACAGGGGGCACCAAAAGTTCTCCTCAGCAGCTCTAAAGCCAACAACAACAGATTAGGAGCTGAAAATAATTAAGTCATTTTTTTATCAGCGTTAGAATTCATTGGTCAAAATATCCTCAATCCTGTGTCTCTATTCTGCCATGTTGATAAAATAATTTAGTTTGAGGTGGTATTGTGGCTTCATGTCATCTTTCTGTGTAGTTTTGCCCACCTTATCTTAACCATGAGGCTGTAAAATCTTCTCACCAAATCCTGGTCTCAAGTTCTGTGCTAATCAAACTTGTGACTTGCCCGTCTTTTGTATATGAAGGTTTCTAAGAGATGATTGTAACAACTCACTGCTGAGTTTTGCTTTTCTATTATGCATGAAGATCCCACAGCATTACTGTAACACTAGCAGGGCAGGATGTGTGTGTCTGTGTGTGTGCATGTGTGAGTGTTTGTGTCTGCTTGTGGATTCATACATGTGGAGAGGAGCTCTGGTGAAAGGCGATCTTTGTCAGTTCAGAACACAGGATCGGGGATCAGCTGGGTTCAGACACAGGAGGGGCATTTGGAGGGGATGCCATTGTAGAGACAGAAAACAGATGAGAAGCCAGGAAGGGGGGTGTAAGAAGAGGAGGGGGAAAACAAAGGCAGAGGAAAGCATAAAAGAAGGAAAGTAAGTTAGAATGCAACAAGAAATAGCTATGAGAGCAGGGAGGAAGGGAAGATTATAAGAAAACAAAGAGAGAAAGGAGAATAAAGGAAGTTTTGGTTATGCAGGATGGCAGAAACAAGGTTGACTTCTTTCTAACTACCCCCCCACACACACACGCACACGCACACACACACACACACACTCACACACACACACACACACACACACCTGTGTGTATTTTTGTGCTCTCACACTTTGTATCTACAAAAGTGCACTGTCTGTCAAAGAACACGATGTTCATGCATCAGCTACTGCACTAAGAGAAAAGGCTCAGATAAAGGGATAGATGAAGGGACAGACAGACAGAGGCGATGACAGGATGCATGCAAGCGTGTAAAACCCCCACACACATAAAGATACCAAGACACATACAGACATCAATCCATACATACACACATACAGTATATACGCATACAGACAGACAGAGCTACATTAATGCATACATACATACAGACATTTGTTCATGCATAAATACATACACACATACATATATACAGTACACACAGACATACATACATACATACATACATTCATACATCGTACATACACACACACGCACATACACACACATACATACACACGTACACACATACATGCATACACACACATATATTCATACACACACATACACATATACATGCATACATACATACACATATGCATACATACATTCATACACACATACACACACATACATACATATATAATGGATACATACATACATACATACATACATACATGTTGATAGAGAGATGGAAATTCCTTCACTCCTCTGTTGAATTCTGCACTGAAGGTATAATGGTTATGTGATCACATTGATGATTTATGGTATAATTAATGCCAAGGTCTGCATTCAGCTTCTACATATTGTATTTTCCCTCCTCTGGTGCTGCAGTATCAGTTTCACAGAGCTTCCTCTGCTTTGATAACAGGGGCTGCATTAATAACCAATAAGAGTGCTGGCTGCACATTACACTCCTACACTTTCAACTGACTGCTGATAGTTGGTCGTCTGTCTGCCAGCTGATGTGTGTGTGTAAGACTGCAGAACATCAGTTCATCTTTGTTCATTAACATAAAACTGTGTTACCAGGTTGGTGTGTCTGTGTTTGTGTGAGAGAGAGAAGATGATGTGTGTCTGTAAAACAATGCTGAGCTGTTTGCAGTGTTGACACCAAAGCAGATGCCTGCAGTGAATGTGCTAGCATCATCTCTCTTATTTAATAATGCAGAGCTGCTTTTTTTCCTGCTTTCTGTGGTAAAGGATGTGGGCTGTATTGAACTCTGTCTTGATGGAAATTCAGAAATTATCTTAACTGTTATACTGGATGTAAAACAAGGCTGGTGGCCCTGATTTTATCTCTCGTTTAATGTTTATTACTTCTAAATAGGGGTCTTGCATTATTGTCAGTTTAATCAGGTATTATGTTGTCTCATTTTTTGCAGTAAGATTTGCACGTCTGCATTTTTATTGTTTTTTTCCTCTCAGTTCTTCATAGAAATCCTTTCTACCTTTTCTCCCAATGTATTTTACAAGGTCCACTGTGTTTTTCAACACACTTTGACTGGGCTTTGCATCCGTATATAGCTGTTTGTGTAGCTGTCCAAATGTGCTCCTCTGACTGCACCCACAAATATTTACTGGAGAGTAGAGAGAAGGCAGAGAGAGAACATGAAAAACAATACTTGTGATGTTTACCTCAAGGAACATGGACTTCTTTGAGTGTCTGTAGCTGAATGTCATCGAATCAGAAATTATTCATGACCTGGATGAAAAAAAGAGAAGGAAAAGGAATGAGGAGTGGAAAAGAAAGATGAGAAAGAAGGAATGGACAGGTGGAAATATGACTGGAAAGAAGAGAGAGAGGGATGAAACAGGTGGGAAAGGAGGCGAAGCGAGCGGGATGGCGGAGAGAGACAGATGGGGTGAAGTGTGACAAAAAGAGGAGAGGCAGAGGAAACCGCTTTAGCTGCTGATGTTTATAGAGAAAAACACAGAGGTGAGGGGAATTTAGGGAATTCATGAAGACAAGTCAGAGGCAATGAAAGGAGGAAAAAGGCGGAGGAATAAGAGGGGGAAGCAGAATGAGAAGGCAGGGCAGCAAAGAAGGGTTGAAAAAGTATATAGAGTTTGGACCTATAAGTGTTTCCTTTTCTGCTCGATTCAACATTGAATTAGGGAAGTATAGAGGCCGCCAGGTATGAGATGAGGTGAGTTACATCAGACTACCAATTGGTACTTAGCATCAGTTTCTGCTCTGTCATCTGCTGGCACACAGAGGAGAACTGGGAGAACATGGAAACCGACGAGAGGGCAGTTTATAAGGTGCAGTGAGGGCAGTCAGGCAGAAGCATGCAGTGTAAAGTAAGAAACCTGCTATTTGGCAATTTCATAATTGCTTCATCGCAGCTGAACTCCATGTAAGAGCACAGAACTGGAAGGAATGTACAAGAGGGAACTTTGCTGTGGTGGGCCCACATTGAATAAAGTCTCTGAGTCATGTCCTGAGCCTACAGAATTCACTATAAAAATATTCTACCATCTCAAAATATGAAAAAGGAAGGATACTTTTCAGCTGTCATGAAAACTCAAACCGTTCTGGAGCAGACTTAATTCAAAAGAGGGACTATCTTCCTTCTGTGTGAACACGCTGGTGTTACAGGTGGTGAGATGCAATTTCAGTGGTGTGAAAAAGATCATAGAGCTTTTCCCGACTCCCATTGGAGTATGCATCACTGTGAGGCCTATGCTGTCTGCATGAAATTAGTCTGTAGGGAGCAGTGCTGCAAGAAGGGAAGGATATAAAGGAAAAGGAGACATTTATCAGCCATAAATTCTATAAGCTATTAAGAAAACAATGAATTCTAAATCTCTCCCTGTGAGGCAATTTACTGAAGTCGGGCAGCAGTTCACTGCAACAGTCTAGAGTCATCTAACATGATGACTGTCAAAAAGTTCAAGAGCATCAGCAGAGAGGAGCGATACCTGGCTGGAGAAAGATAGGTACGTGACAAACCAAAGCGGAGAGAGAGTGAAGTGGGTGCAGAGAGTGAGAGTGGCATTTAAAACTTGTTATTTGCAATAATGATAGCAGCAGATAAAAAAAAAAACTCGTTATAAATGCGTCTGGTTTGTGTAGAGATAGTCTCGACTGTGGCTTATTTCCATGCACGGTGTTATTCTCAAGGTGCACGTTCACAGAAGAAATGCGCAGAATCTTGTCGAAGCAGTGTTAACAAAGGGATGTGTGTTGTTTTACAGCAGTGCATCAAAGACTCAGAGAAACTCAATTTCAGAGTTTGAGTTTTATGGGGAGTATTTTTACTGCACAGTTACCAGCAGCTACTTTCCTCTTTTGTGCAAATACTGAAGTCATTAGGTGGTAAATCAAAATGCCAGTCAAAAACAACAACAAAGTGCAACCTAGATTGTCACACGTGTCTGCAAAATGAACACCTCATTTTTATGAACATGTATAAGCTTGTACACAAGCACTCTCTTAAAAGTAACAACTGATAACAATCCTCTCTTTTGCATGATTTTGTCTAATGTAAGTTTATTGTTCTGGTGCTCAGTCTTCGACTTCACCTCTTCCTTCTTTTCTGACTTTACTCACTTGCTCTTACAGGGCTATCTTTCAGAGGGTCTGGTAACTAAATGGTACTGTTCACCCCGTCTGCTCCTGTCCCCCAACAACTACACTAAGGCCATAGACATGTGGGCTGCTGGCTGCATACTGGCTGAGATGCTAACAGGACGCATGCTATTTGCAGGTATACCTCTAACCGTCTTTGCCAAGGCACTGTCATTCTGTCCTTTCAGTGATTTGATGAAATATTGGACTGATCAGATCATTTGCATTCAGCAGAAATATCTTGTTACTGGAAGTACTATGATATCTATCATGGAAATGTGTTTTCTCTGAATTTCCCATTCATTTCTACTATTCCCATGAATTTGATTTGGCTCCTGTACCTGATATTTTATATTCAAAATCATTCAAAATGAAATGTGGTGTATCTAGTGTCTTGCTGTGGATCTGACTGACAAGATAGAGCAATGCAAACAAGCCTCTTTGAGTAGCTGCATAAAAACAGTAGTACAGTTAGGTCAATCAGCGGAATTAAATCACATAATCTGTGTGATTTGTTTTCGTATGTAAGTTCTGTCTGGCATTAATGCAAAACAGGTTCTTCAAGTCTCCATTACAAGGTGACATCAACTGTGAGCTAAGGAGAATCTTTCTTTTAATAGTGTCCTCCTCCAAAGATCCTTTATTCTCCTCCTGCAGGCTACTTCTTTGCCTGACCAGAATAACAATGATGATAGAGAAAATCTTGCTGTCTGTAGCTGATGTAGCTCCCTCTGACAAGCCTTGTTTGACCTCCACCAGCCCTTTACACCACAGGAGACATGATGTTGTAAACTGGCGTCATCTGTTCCCTGTTGTTCGTCTTTGCCAGACTTTCACACGTTGGCTTTAAAAGATGCTTGTCGTGTTTTTCCCTCAGCCCCCCCAAATTTGCATGGTGCAATATTGTTTTGTTTACCACAGTGCAAGCAAGTTACTCTAATCTAAACACACTGGATTGCCTGTTCCTTAGATAAATATGATGATCCAGCACCCTCTGCTGGTAGTGAGTAGCATAAGCGTTGGTGCAGTAGTGTAAAAAATGCTGCACTGCTTCAGTCTGTTCAAGCATGTTGCTGGTCTAGTTGCACCAAAAGCAGGGAATCTGAAGTATTTGCTGTCTTCAGTTGTCAATGATATAACACAAGTTGAGGACTTTGTTTGAGTCAACCTTGACAGCGTCTCATTCTTCTCAGGTAGTGTTCACCCAAACCTTACACAACAAACCAACCTAGATGTTTTATGCACGGGTGCTACATGTAAGAAAAGCATGTCAATACAAGATAAAGATATTAGAACAGGCTGCAAGAGGGGGTGCCCAACACGCCTACTAGATATACTATTTTTAATCAATGCGTGCTTACTCAATCAGTCAATATTCACTGATAAAATGAAGATGCAAAAAATCTGAAAGTAATTTATAAACACATCACGTTACTGTCATTGCACAGTGGTAATTTTGTTGCACATTTTTAATAGAAAACCTTCAAGATTGTAAAATGATATCCATCTTGTCCGAACCCGCTTAACAGTACCATTTCTCTCACTTGACAAGTCAAACCTCCTAGGTATTTCTGTTTGACTCTAATTGGTCACCTTTTCTTCTGCGTATGTAACCACCCTCTGCTTATTCCTTGCTTGTCTCTGATTGGTTGATTCGCTCTCCCAGGGGCCCATGAGCTGGAGCAGATGCAGCTGATTCTGAACACGGTGCCTGTGCTGAGAGACGAGGACAGACAAGACCTGTTACAGGTGACGCTTCAGTGGCTGCGGCTCCTCATATGTCTGTTTAAATATGGAAAAGGCTGTCGTTGTCATGTTCTGTTTGCTGCTTCAGGGGTGAGAAGTGTGAATGCAGACAAGGTTAAATGTATACAAGTCCTTCTGCTGAGGGACCTGTCTGATTCTTTCAACCGCAGTATCATTTATAGCAGGAATTCAGGAAGTTAGATGATATAATCCTATTGTTAACCTTTCTTAGGTGATGCCTTCATATGTAAGCCATGGATGGAGGGTCAAGAAACCGTTTTCTGAGCTACTGCCTGAAGTGGATGCTCAAGGTGAGGACAGGGAAGGAAAACTGTGCGGTATGAAACGTGGACAAATAAGATTTATTCACCATTGCAACTGCAAAAACCCCACAAAGTGAAAATCCAGGGGGAGACAAGCCATAATTTGGGGTAAAACGGTAAAATATCTTACTTAAAATGTCTTGGTCCATAAATACGTCAGCTGTTGTTAGAACTGAACCACTTGCTGACCAGCATTGCTCTGGTCAGTGGTAAACAACAAAAAAGAAAAAGCCTAAATTCCTCGACCACTGGTCTTTTAGTAAATGGTAAGTGGATGATACTTGCAAAGAGCTTTCTCCAGGCTCCTCAAAGGACTTACATGCACTGTGTCACATTCAGCCACTAAAAGCTATTAAGAAGTGTGGGCTAGGATGTTTTTGGTCACTAATGCGCTCTGTTGGGACTTATCTGTGAGTGCCTGAAGAATTACCAAGTGTGTAGTTTTACTTTAAATTTGGACTTCTATTCCTAAATTTGGACTGTCCTATTTTTAACTGCTTTAAAGAGAAAAGATGGTGAATGTATAGCTCTTATAATTCAGCCCAAAGGTAGAGATATCAAATACTTTCCAGACAAACACATCTCATGGATAAAACATCTGTAACTTTTCTCCTCAGCTGTGGACTTTCTTGGGCGCATCTTGACCTTTAACCCCATGGACCGACTGACAGCTGAAGCGGCATTGTCCCATCCCTTCCTACAGCAGTACTCCTGTCCAGAAGACGAGCCCACCTCATCTCACCCTTTCCGCATTGAGGATGAACTGGAGGACAATCTCATCACTGAGCAGAGCCTTAGTAACAGTAACAGTCAGGCCTCCAGCATCCATTGGGAGAGGTAGGCAGATTTAGGACTGATGAGGAAGCTGAGACCATTTATCAATGTTTTTTAGTTTAAAAAATGGTTAGTCTGAGAGCAAATATTTGGTGAAACAGAGGTCTGAGAACTAAAAACTAAGATTCCTCTGACAAACATGAAAAAAAAATGTGCAGCACCATCATTGCAGGCCTAATAAAAACACCTCTTTCCCGCAGGTATGAGAACAGTTTATCAACAGACGTGTCCTGGCAGCAGTCAAGCGGGAGGTGTCGCTGCATACCTCCAGACCATGTTACCTCCGACCTGGGAGACACAACAGAGGAGGAGGAGGTGCAGAGAGACCCCCGAGCCAGTTCCAGCTCACTGTTAGAGGAGGCCCAGGTTGGATTTGTTTTGTCATTTCCCCCCTGTAGCAGTGGTACAACTATGATCTTATTTTGAGTAAGCTGGTGAAGCTAATTGAAATAAAGGTGCTAAGACAGTAAATCAGCTCATATATGAGATTTTTGGTGTCTTAGCTACTCTAAGTGATGGTATTTTTGAAATATAACATGATTTCCTGTGAACTTTGTTGTCCTGTGTTTAAAGTGGCTATTTTTTATACCCTCTGTTAGCAACACTCTCTTAGCATCATTGTTTTTCTCTAATTGTGCTCATGAGACCGTTGTTGTAAAAATTTCATATTAATTGCATCACCTAGACTGTTTATGCATGCTGTAAAGTCAGTGTGCTTACTCACAGCTGCAGGAACCAGTCAAACCTTCTTGAACTTTATGTGATAGCATTTTACAGTTCAGGATACTGAGGTCTGGAATAGGATGAGTAAATGCAGTTATCCTCATAAAACAACTGAAATTAAAGTTTTATTTTCCTTTCCTCCTTATTTATCACCTTCCCTACCCCCAATGATTCCTCCAAATCCTAAACAGGTTGATCCACGTAAATATTCCCACAGCAGCTCAGCCGAACGCTTCCTGGAAAACTCTCACTCCTCCCTGGATCGGGCCTGTGGTTTGGGCTTCGGGGATCTGGACTGTGGCCGCTCTTGTGACTACAAAGTGGGCTCTCCTTCCTATCTGGATAAAATTGCCTGGAGGGAAGGCAAGCCTCAACACTATTCAGAGCCTAAGCTGATTTTGGATCTTTCCCATTGGAAGCGTAACACTAACAGCCTGCCTGTGCCTGTCGGGCCCATCGGTGGAAGCGTGGAGGACCTTGGAGAGATGAACGGAGAGGAAGCAGAACAGGAAGAAGAGGAAGAGACGGGGGATTTGTTTCAGGAGATTTCTCGCTGGGTTGAGAGCACCCAAAATCGTCTGCACTCTCCCAGCCCTAGTCCATCTTTGGAGCACAACTCACCCTCCTGCTACGCCTCATCTCCTCCTCTTCCTCTCTCCCCAACTGACCTTCCAACTCCTGTTTTTCACTACGCTGAAGTCCTGCGGCAGCCGTCATCTGAATATGATCCAGAAGCTCTCAGCCCTCTTCCACCAGTCATGTCCTCCTCCTTTCCCTCTCTTCTTCCATCATCTCCCACTTCTCCTTCTCCCCTTCCTCCTCAGTCACCCCAAACAGCATCTCCCCCCATCTCACCACTTAATCCTCCCTCAGAATCTCAACCCCTATCCTCGACTTCCTCTATTACTCAGCCGACAGACAGTGACTGCTTGGAGCCTCTTCCTGTTAAGCAAAAAGATCGTCTGTTTGACCTGGATGTGTTCATATCCCGGGCTCTCAAACTGTGTAGGCAGAATAAGGAGAAAGCAGATGGGAGAAAAGGGAAAGATGGAGGATGGAGGGAGGACAGCAAACAGTCCAACATTAACCGAAAGGTGCCCAGACTCCCTGAGCACAGGACTCAACCACCACCACAGACGCCTAATTCATGATTCAGAATCTACATAGTTAGCACCAATCCTAAGAGCGGTGTCAGCGGTTAAATACCAGTGTGCTGCTTAAACAGTAGACCTCAGTGTTAGCAGCAGTCACCTTTTTGTTACTCATGCTGTGACCCAAAACCGCACTTAAACAAGCAATCCTCCAGCTTTGTCAGGTAAGGAAATAAGAGGTCAGAGAGCAGTTTGGTGACATACAAATAGTCTCACTTAGTATTGCAAGTACCAAGGATCTGTTTCACATGAAACTGTTTTGAGATAATCTGCATATTGATAGCTGTGTGGTCTGTAGTTGCTTGGATTTCTCAAGTTAAAGATGGGTCAAACTCGACATGTTCGCAACCAAATCTGTGACACAAACAGACCAACATACAAAAAAAGTGAAGAGGGTACAATTAATCACTGAACCAGATTTATCCAGTCCATTCACTCCACTCACATGGTGGACATGATGTCAAATTCAGGGTTGTAAGTAAAGATGTTTCCTGTGTGTAAAGTAGCTGAAATAATCTGATGAGAGTTACAATTTTACCATTTATGATTCATCAGCTAATGAAGTCAATAAATGCTAAAAATCCTTCGAGATAAAAAGCCATATTTCAAGAAATAACACGTATTTGAAAACACATGAGCTACAGCCAGAAAACAGCAAGTGCATTCAGCCTAGCCTCCTAGCTGATATTATATCAGATCAGATCAGATTTTATTTTGTAGCACTACCAACTTACTAGCTTGACCACTTCAGGCCACCAGCCAATATCTAAAAAGCGGCTAACACCATCGTAAGCTGTCGTCTAGCTGTGGCTAATGAGTTATTAAATAAAACACAGAGTCTCTCCACGTTTCACTGTGGGTTTTCTTTTTAATTGTTAAACAGTAGGGAAGTATTAAAATAGTAATTTGACAGGTTAAAGCCTGCATTACAACATGAGTTTAGGGGGAAATGGTCAGCTTTGTCCTGGAGAACAGTAAAAATACTCTGGGTACATTTTTGACTCCTTGCCTCCAAGAGATCCTTCAATGTGTCATTCAATCAGAAGTTTTTCAACCTTTCAAAACCACAGAAAGTCTTCCAGTGGTTCTGTTCACAGGCTGATGAAAGTGACCTACAAAATGTTTTTTTCCAAACTCCTCCGAATGTATTTATAAGACAACAATACCCATTAATTTCTGCTACACGGTGACGCCCTGGGGATTTTATTTCTTGCTCTTTTCACACACAGCGACTTAATGAGCTCTGTCACTGCTACCTGCCTGTAAACTTGTACAAAACTGTTGATATTTAATTCTACAGTATATTTCTCAAGATTGTGTTAACGATATTCTTGTGTCTAAAATATTCTTGTGTTCTCGTTGAAGCTACAGCATAATACTATGTTAATTTGGAGTGAGTTATATTTTGTTTTAATGTGGAATGCTCTGTTGTAATAATTTATGCTTATTCTAAACATTTTGCTCTAGTTTGATCACAAATAGTTTCATATCCTGTCTGCCAGGCGCACCAGACCAGGTCATCCTCTGCTGTACTTTTGATTAAAATGCACTACCTTCTATTTAATAGGAAAGCCTGAGATTTGATTGCTCAGTTAAATGTTAGTCTTAGAAAGCCCTTTTGCAAACAATAGCCTATATTTTGGGAAAATGAGGATCCTTTACAACATTTATAGGAAACTATTTGTACTCAGAACCCCTAAATGCTGCCCAATAACCATAGTAACTTACAGAATGGTTATTTACTAAAACATGGATGTTTAAGTGGTTTTCTATGTACCAGCTTGTTAGATGGTAGTCTACAATCAGAAGGTTATTTTCTCTAGTATCTCATGTCTCCTCTTCAAGTTATCCAGATCAGGTTAGCGTCAGCTCAAAGTGTGTATCAGATCGTACAGGCTGTTGGCTGAGATTTTACACATATAAAGACATTCGACATTCACTTCACATTTCGAAACTGATGGTAGAAATAAAGATGGCAACAACCTAGTGCCAGAAATAGCTTAAGTCAAATCTGTTTGCTCTATACAAACATATGAGGAAGGGCAAGGCCTCTATCATCTGTGGCTTCACAGTTTGACAGGCCATACTCTGCTGTGATTATGCTTTAGACTGTTTAGTTATCTCGAATGTCAGGGGTGCAAAAGTTGCATAGGTGGATGCATAAAAAAGCATTATCAGTTACTTAGTTTGGCTCCATGAAAACATAGATGGCTGGTAACAAGTCTTTCAGACCGTATCGTCTTTTGTATTTACTGCAATCCATTATCCACACCAAATGACATACACAGAGAAAACTAGAAATGGTAAAAGCAAGGGGGTAAATTTTTGTCCAAAGTCAGTATCTGTATCTCTGCATTGGAAAAAGTTAAACCTTATGAAACTGTTTTTTCCCCCATCTTTTTGATAGAGACGCTTTAAGCCAATGCTTGAAGAAGTTGGCTAATAAATGTCAATTTTCTTTATCACCTGTTCTGAAGCTAGCGAACATGTGTGACAACTGCTAAAAGTTTAACTTTTGATTCAACAAGGCTGGGTATTTCTGTCCATATTCACAGTAGACATGGAGCACATCTAGAGTCAATAGCACATTTAGACATACAGGTTTTCCTTGGTCAACTGAAAGTACAACAACAATGATAATTTTCATTGATACTGTATTGTATTAACCATGCCTGGACTTGATTGCTCAACAAATGTTTTTTTTTTTTTTGTTCCATCTAAAGATATTTATCTTTTGATTGGAGTAAACTGAAGCTTTGCTGCAGTGAATCTTACCAAAAAGGGGTCTAGCTTCCAACCTAACAAGGTCTAATAATCTCATTTGGCTTGGTATGGTTTTCTCTGCTCGTAATCTTCCTATGCCAGCAATACCATCAGTAACACGAGCACACCATAACAAGTGTTGTTTCTAAGCAGACATTAATAAGTGTGTGAAGCAATGTATAAAATGTGCCTCATTACAACTCAATGCTTCCAGCTTACTGAATGTAACATATCCCCCCATCTGCATGGCTTTCATGACTATTTAGATAACTTAATCTTTGTTGTTTTTATGTGTCACTTTGTTGAACAGTCATATCTCTGTGGGCTCTGGTGTCTTTTGTACACATGCTGCAAGCAAGCCTCAGCTTTTCATTTTAGAACAGCTTTGAGGTTTTTAAATGCTCAATATTGATTGTATCTCCTTTTGCAGTTTATGTTTTTTGCTGAATAATGAATAAAACAAAACTTTAACATATGACCTGACTTTTACTCCTGGTTCAGCCTTACGCCAGTTAAGATTTGAAAAGAAAATCTGAGATGGTCATTCAGAGACACTTCATACTGCAATGGACCTGAGCATTTCCAGCATTTTCTAATAAGATTTTAAATCTTAGCCCTTTAAGTACTGCCTGAAACCACAAATTATGGCCAGAAAATTGAAAAAATCAAAATGTCCTTCAAATTTAACAAATATATATATTTAGCTCGTTTGATACATGAGATGTTTTTGGAAACTGATAAACCAAAAGAGGACATTTTTATCATTTACCGGACTGTATTCAGGTGTTTTTTTTTTTTTTTTTTTTTTTTTTGTAATTTGTTGATCATATTGATTTGATAGAGGTATCATGAAAGTATGTATCAAATATGATACAAATATGCCGGTTCTTCTATATGTCCCTTTACATTGATGGTTGAGTACTTTTGCAAAAAAAGAAAAAAAAAAAAAGGCTTTTCAGAGATTTATAACATCATCTGAAAAAAGTTATTGGGCTGTTTTTGAGCACAGTAGCTAACTGTGTTTAAAGCATTTTGGAGCAGAAAAAGCTACTTTGTGTCAATAATTATTACAAAATGGAGGGATGTATGTGTATGTATGAACTGAAAACAAACAAATTACACCTTTTACGACTGAACCTCGCAAAACTGAAAAATGTAAAATTGAGATGGTTGTCTTTTACAGGAGTTACGGCTGATGGGCATCTTTTCAAAGCTTGCGCATGCCGTAAGTGTTTACGGTAACCAAGAAGGAAATCCCAACACGTGATTGGACGAACGTCCAGGCTCTTCACTAGCGCGTGAGAGCTCTCCTCTCTGTTCACCAGAATACCGCATCTGTGTCCGCCGACACCGCTGAGGGACGAAACAGGAGGTCAAGCAACAAGAGTTTTTAAAATAAACTCAGGAAAAAAAATGTTCTGTAAACATTGATTTTGCCGACGGAAGTACTTGCGTTTCAGTGATATTGAAGAGCAGGTAAGACGAGTGGTTATTTCGTCTAAAAATGAGAAGTCTATCTGTCATCTAGGAGCTTCTCTGTGCCAAGAATGAGCGAGCAGGGGGGTCTGAATGAATGACAGCATGGATAAAACTTTAGTGAGTCTTTTATCAGTTTAGTTGACATTTTAAAACACCGGGACTTAAAAGGTTTTCTGTTGTTGACATATTCGCTAACACAGGTGGTAAAATAACGACAGGGCTTACCAGCTTCAGTCCCTCTCGAGCCAACTGTTAGCTTGTAGCAGTAGTTAGCAGTGTGGCTCCTGCTGTGTGTATACACCAGTGGATAGAGTTACAGTCACAAGATTTTTAACGTGTCCATCGATGTGTGAAATAATTACACTCAGTGGTTATAACCCTTTTCTCCTCATCTTTTTAAAAATAAAGGTTGGAGTTCATTTTATTACATATTACAATCAGGTTTTACAGATCAGATTGTATAATGAATGGCCGAACACTATTACCAACATAGAGATGAGAGAGAGAGGTCAATAGCATAAATACACCTCTTACTAGTGATCGACAGTGATCAAAGTTTTTGTGTCGCTTTGATGTGCTTTGTTATACAAACACACCGAAAAATGTGTTAATTATTTCACCTTTGAATCAGTGGACTCTGAACCTTTGAAATGTCACCTCAAAGATCATAAAAAGTTGAGACCTGTCAGCAGCAGTTTGTGAGGGTGTGGTTGTGTTAGTTTCAGATTGACTGTGTCTTAAACTAACACAGGATCCACAGTCTATTCAAGTGAACTCTGACTTTCTGCATTTCCAGACTGAAACTCTTGGTTTATTGAATTGTATCAGTGTTTAATTGAATAATCTTTCTATTAAGAGTACTTTCAAACCAAATTATGCAAGATTTGATTTAAAGTCTAGACTGCTCTTAGTCTCCCATGTGCCTAATTGTTACTCATTTAGGACTGAGTTAGATCTTCTCTGAAAAGTCATGAGACCTAATGTGTATCCAGTGAGGTATAATAGACTTAGACTGGTCCAATTTCAGCCTTTGCAAATAACTGCCTTTGTGCTGAGTTTAAGTACAATTTCTAAATATGCAGTTAGTATAATGTTATAGAAAAGTCTTTCTTTCATTTTGAATACTTTTTATGCAAAAGAAAGAAAAACAGACCAGTCTCTGTTACTGGAAAGTGTGCAGAGTTCAATTTTTTAAATTTCTTTTATTTAACCAGGCCAGAACCCGTTGAGATCGAGATCTCATTTACAAGAGTGACCTGGCCAAGAGGTTGACAGCACACATCACAACAATAAATAATAATAATAAAGAAGAAGAAGAAAATGACCTCCAGAAACATTATTAAAAACACAGGCACTGTTCCACGGTCTCCCAAAGTCTGTCATGTAAGACTGAACGAAATGCTTCCAGCAAAATTAATTCCTACAATTTCAGGTCAGCTTTGAGAGTATTCCATGCTGAAGTAGCAGCAAAACTGAACGCTTTTTTGCCCAGTTCAGTTCTGATTCGCGGAACAATCAAATGGATCGTGTTGTTTGAGTGCAGGGTGTAGTGGCTTTCTGTCCTTTGAGGAAGATCACATAAATAAGAAGGAGCGAAGCCAAGAAGAACCTTATAAATTAGAGTCATCCAGTGAGTGTACCTGCGAGTACTCAGAGAAGGCCAGCCAGACTTGGCATAAAGTTTGCGACGATGTGTAAGGCGACTACAACCAGTAACAAATCTCAGTGCACAGTGATAGATAGTAGTTAAGGACTGCAAGCATTAGGCTGAAGCAGTCATATATAAAACATTACCATAATCCAACAGTGGAAGAATGGTAGCAGACACAAGGTATTTTCGAGCACTGAGGGAGAAGCAGGATTTATTCCTGTAGTAGAAACATAGTTTTAGTCTGAGTTTAGTGACCAAACCAGCGATATGTCCCAGCGCTGATAATATGCATGTCAAGGTTTCTATGCCAGGATTAGCTTGCTCATTGGCAGACAAAGAGAAACAAGGAATTCCATGCAGTCTCATATCAGACTCTCATATCGGAGTTTTCAAGGTGATTAAGTCAGATAGGAAGTTTTAATGCAAAGGGTTCAACATTTCCACTATCATATTCTTAACTCATCAGGTGTTCAGCCTTGCCCTACTTTTGAAACAGGTGGAAAACCACAGCAGATCAGAAAATAATCTTGCACAGTGTGCAGTACAAAGACAGGAAGTCAAAGAGGCTGCATCAAAGCATTTCCTCCTGCAGAGATATCAGAGCATTTAAGTGTTTGCTGAGTATTTATGCGGCTTAAACACTGCCACTCTGGCCCTGGATTTAACGCTGCTTTCTAGGCAGTGTTTCCTGGATGCGTCGTTATTGTTGCCAAGACTCAGTCAGCCAGCTATGCTTGTAATTACTGTCATCAGATGTTCTCAGCAGACAGAGGTGCTCACGGTCAGACGATAGTGTTTCATCTTGTTGTTTTACTAGTAAGGCAAGCAAAATCTGCAACTCTAGGGTGAATACACACATATATTGGTATGGAAATTTGCATTATTTGTTGTCAGATTGTAAGTGTTGTTTTTTTTTCTTTTAGTTCAGTGTGTTTCTATTTTTTGTGGTTTAGTCTACATTAAAATTCCTATGATAACAGGCAGACAAGCAAGAGTGGTGAGGTGAGGACAGGAAAACATGGCAGTTTGGGTGGAAGGCCTTATGTCTGTTCATTTGCCACCTGAGCTTGCATGTTGTTGTGGGCCGTGCAACCATTCAGGAATGACCTCCTTTCCCAAGCTTTTTTATCTGTGTGATCAACCCTGATGTTTATATATTACAGTGGAGATCAGAGATTTCTGGGACTACAGATGGCCTGAGTTTTCTCCCGTATCCTGTAGTTTGAGGGAGAACTTCTCTAAGAGATCTACTGGTCTCGTGCGGTCACTAAACAACAAGTTAAAATAGACACTGCGTGCTGAAGTGCTCACGTTGCAGCAGCCCATTACCCACATACTTTGCTTACTGGTCCACTTGCATTTCCTCTTGGTCAGGGGTCTTGACATTTAGGAAGACCACAAGGAATTCAGAAGTGAGGACAAATGAGATAAGCTGTTATAGCAGTTGGTTTGAGAAATATATTCGGTCTCATCTCTTGCTACACTTTGTTGTTACACCATTATTCTTTACCAATCTACCGTTAGTAAAACTATGGTTAGATTACAAGATTGCGTCATCATGTAATTGTGGCCGTCAGCTCTGCAAAAGCACTTTCTTTGTTGTTTCTCGGTATGACCTTTTCGCCACTATAACTATCTCAAGGAGAAGTAACGCTGCCCTGAATTTCATAGGACTGTCAATGTTTTTAGAGTGGACTAAACTGGCCCCTATTCTGCAATTGCCACAACATAGAGTACACAATATAGCAGTGGATCCCAGGTCACATGCATGACATAGCGCTAACAATGAGGATACTATTCCCGGCTGCCAGCAGCAGCTGACAGCAGGGTAGAGGCCTTCATGGAAGTGAGTATGCAGCATGGGTTGTTGTTGTTGTTGTGGCATAATTTTCAGAAAGTCTACCATGAATCACTGACTTATATATTCTTAAAAAGGAAGAAATCTGCAGATACCACTCATGGATCTTGCTCTTCTTGGATCCCATCTGTGATATTATCTATTCTGGTTCCCTCATTTTCCTGAAGTGTCACTAATATCGTCAGGATTTATGTGGTTCTCTGTCTTCATTTAGAGCTTGTGGCAAAAAGGATTAGGACAATCTTTTTTCTCAGATCACATACTAAATCACTCCTGTCCACATCCAGATTAATGACAAGCCCCTGCTGTCAGCATCTGTAATCCTCAAGTGTCACTGTTTCCATGCACACAACGTACAATCATAGGTTTTCTGCGATTGCGTGTGAGTCAGTAGACCACTGATGACAAACACTATTGTTGAAGATCGGCACTACGGTATACTTTGGCATATATTTAAACTAAAGTGTAAATTTTCATCTACCTAAATTCTCCATTGAAAGCTGATCACAGGAAACAGTAAGAAATGAGTTTGATTGTTATGGTTCCTCAAACTTCCTATGACTCAAGTTGTGTTTGCACATATTTTGATACCATCTGTGATGCAAATTGGCGTGACAACAGATGGTAGTAACATGACTTAGAGAAACATTTTTGCAGGGATCGTCTTCCTGTTATTTCAACCTTGCATGCAGCCTCTCACAGCCAACCGTTGCAGATTGATTGAATCCTCTAAGCAGGAACCTGGGGACTAAAATAAAGAATCACTCAAACAATAGGCGACATTTTCATCTTTATTTCTCTATCTTTTCAGCAGCCTTCCACCAGTGGACCTTCCAGACCAGTGAGCGTCCACCATGTTATCTAGGTTAAGAGCTACCTGGTCCCTGAGGCCCTGCGTCACTGTTTGCAGATGGGCACACACCAAAGAGAAGGGAAAGCCCCTCATGCTCAACCCTCGCACCAATAAAGTAAGTGGATTACTGTTGTTGTGTGTATGTGTCAGCATTTAAAAAGCTTAAACAGATGGCAGCTTTATTAACATGTGTTTTAACATGTGAGCCCATTTGTGCTGGATCTGTGCCAGTTATGACTGGTTATAATGTGGGCTAATTGGCATTAGCTTTTTGTGCATGTGGGCGAAAGAATTGCTCATTTGTGCATGACAAGATTTCTCTATTTGTTTTTTTTTACCACGCCTCCTTCAAAGCACTTTGAAATTTCCCTGTGTTTAGATTGTACTAACAAACAAACTTAACATGCCCAACCACACCCGAAACAGAGGTGTGATTTATTTGTACTGTAGCATTGTAAGAAATTAGGTAAACAAACTGTAATTAAAATAAACAACAGTAACAAACCAATCAAATTCCTAAACATTGCTCTTTCAGTTGCTGGTACCTTTACACAACTCAGAAAGTTAATCTTCCACCCTTGGTAACTGAAATAGTAATGTAGTTAAATACTTGGAAGGCTGGAAGGTGAATGTCGTGCTTGGTTTACTGTTAGTACAGGTTTAAATGACATTTGAAAATGAAGCTTTGGCTACTTGAGGCGGCATGATCTGACTTTGTGAAGGTTACAGCATACTAAATTTAGCCTCGACTGTGAAGGCTGCGTTAAATATGAGTATTGTAACCCACAGTAACTGTACACTTGACACAGACCAGCTGGCTGATAGGACTACTGTATGTAAAGCAGCTACACTATCTGCCATGGTGCTCCTGCTTTGAATCCTCAGTATTATCATGTCAACTCTTTCCAAGATCAGAACTCACATAAGTGCAAAACATCTTCTGAAAAGTCTTATAGCAGGCTTTTTAATGCTTCCCTTCATGGACAATAATGTTGTCTGGTTGTTGTTTTTATCAAGTTGCTGAAAATGGGCCTTAATTATAAGATATCACAAAAATACAGTGTTCTGACTATTCATCATGACTTGCACTGGCAGACTGCATCATCATGATGACTCTTATGACTGATCAGAAAAGGTCACAGTGTTAGAAACATGGGTATTATGTTACACTGTCAGCAGGATTGAATTAAGTAATTCAAGTACATTTTGTAAGACAATTCTCTTTGTGCATAAAAGGATGTATGAACGCATTAACCTCAACAATTTTATGAATGAGTGTAACAGTACAATAGAAAGAAAAATCAAGTTTCTGGAGGTGAAGTTTGTCATCAGGAAGTTTCATGAAAAAATTATAAATGATGAAACCAAAAAAATAACCCAAACCAATGCCTAAGAAAGTATAGATATTAATTATATGTAAATGTTTGAAGCTATGAAAGTTTTACTCTATTTTTAATAGTATGAAATGTTTACATATTTTCTCTATGTATAGAAGAATGTAGAAGATGGTGGTATATATTGATAAATAAAATGTAAAAACAAACAGTACAAACATGAACATAACAGGATCGGCTTTTTTTATAGTAAAGCCAGAGTAGGCTCTTTTTTCAGACTGGTTTAAATTATTTAAACATTTAAATTTAATGCTTGAATAGAATTCTGAACAACAGCAAACATTTAATTTCTTGGTAAAAAAAAAAAAAAAAAAAAGAGAGAGAAAAAAGAAAGCAAAGTTTTGCAGCATGTTTCTTTATATTTAGAGGAACAGAGAAGTGGAGCAGGCAGAAGCGAAACGCTCCATCAGCATGACTCAGCATTAGACCGGGGGAACCACATCACTCTTACAAAGTAGTCAGACCCTCTCTGAGCCCCAGACATTATGGCTTCCATACGGTGCACCCATGTTTCATCCAGAGATTGGCTCATAGTAAACCGATATACGCAAGAACACGTACTGCAGGAACATGAAATCGCCCCCTCCCTCATCCTCTCTTTTGGGCACGGGGTGTTTTTCTAAAAGTCCTCTTTATTGGCTTCTTGAAGGCGACTCCCCTCTCCAACCTCTTGCTTCTTTTCTCCAACTACAAAATGACTTTCACCTGGCGCCCCCCCCTCCCCACTCAGCTCACTCTACCCTCCCCCTAGAAGTCAATAGGTCAATCTTGACTCTGCTCTAAAGAGTCAAAGATGCTGCAATGTGCCACTCTAGTGACTATAACTTCCTGACAGTAAGAATTAACTTCCTGCACTGTTTCTACTGCAGGAAGTGAATGTCTGGTGCAGAAATGCTACCTCTTCACATTTATCCTGAGACTTTTTTCTTATTTAAAGAAAAAACAGGAATTTCAAGTATGACGCTTAAATTTGTTTGTAGCCGAGAGTCACGCATGAAAGAGAACTCTTCTTAAACTTTCAAACCTGGAAAACATGTGGTTGATGAAGTGTTAAAGTCATACTCATTTTCTAGCCTTCCAGACAGGCGGTAAGGTTATGATACCTAAAGAAACCTGCTGCTGGCTTTTCCGCAGCTGATCTTCTGTTTTCTAAGAGAGGTCGTTTTTCACTCATTAGTTGCGGTTGGTTGTTTTGTTGCTGTGATGTGCATGTGTCAAATTACCGAAATTGAACTGTGGCAAAGATGTTGAATAGATGGCAGCCTTGATTTAAAATTAAAGGATTGCATTTTTTACAGTGAAAAACACAAAAACGTCTAACTTTTTAGACTCTTCTTCAGCCACTGTAGCTTGAGTGAATTTAGAAATAAGAAGCTGAGGCAAGTGTCACATTTTTCTCACTCTTCTCTTGATCTGCGTGTTTCTCCTCAGGGCATGGCCTTTTCACTCCAGGAGCGACAGATTTTAGGGATACATGGTCTGTTGCCTCCTAAAGTCGAGACTCAAGACATTCAGGCCATGCGTTTTCAGAACAATCTCAAGAAGATGACTGATCCATTAGAAAAGTAAGGATGTGTCTTGCTTGAATTTTGGCTGTGTTGTCAGAAATTTATTTCTTTGTATCGCTTCTGAAAAATGTTGCTTTTTGTCATGCAATATGTTTTTATCTACAGACACCTGAAATTCCCCTTTCCTTCTTTAAGTTTTTCCTCATTTTTCTCCCAGGTATGTCTACTTGATGGGCATCCAGGAAAGAAATGAGAGACTCTTTTACAGGGTGTTGATGGAGGACATAGAGGAACTGATGCCCATTGTCTACACTCCTACTGTAGGCTTGGCCTGCACACAATATGGACACATCTTTAGAAGACCAAAGTAAGAAGAGTCAACTACTTTAAGAAATAATAAAATAATCTACAAAAAAAGTTTGTGCCCATCGTCATGGCCTTGGATATAGACTGTATGTGGTGAAGGCGATCCACAGTGCAAACGGAGAAATGGATATGAGAACCAAGTTTTATGAGATTTGAACTTGATTTCTACTTGTACTAACCCTAACCCCGATGTGAACTAGATTTGATATCTGACACAAGTTGTATTCAAAAAATGTCCAAGCAGAAATATTTGAAGGATTCCTCTAGATAAACTACGGATGCTGGATACTGAAAATAATGTTAATTAGGTGTTTATGTACTTTATTTTCATATTTTCTTGCTTGATTGAATCATACCAGGATGTTTAAGTAGTAAACCATCATTGTGTTTCTCACATACAGAGGCTTGTTCATCTCGATACGGGACAAAGGGCACGTAAGATCCATCCTGGACAACTGGCCAGAGACTGATGTTGCAGTGAGTAACCTGAATCCACTCAAATAACAGTTTTAGGAAATATATACAGAATATTACAGTGTAAAAAAGACCATTAGATTTAATGACATAGTAACTCTTGTAAATAGATTTATTAGATACTTCTGTAAGGTCTGCTTTATTATTTAATGTTTATGTATGTCTTCTCATTCTCAAATTTAGTTTTCTCTCTCTCTTTCTGTAGGCAGTAGTCGTGACTGATGGAGAGCGTATTTTAGGATTAGGGGACCTTGGTGTTTATGGGATGGGAATCCCTGTTGGAAAACTGTGCCTGTACACCGCCTGTGCTGGCATCCGACCTGAGAAGTGTCTGCCGGTGGTGATAGATGTTGGCACAGACAACGAGGTGGGAAAGTTAAGCTTGAGCGATCTACATACTTGACTGTGTTTGAGTGAGCGTGCTCTGTGGAAATCCCATCACACTTCATATGTTTGTCTTTGCCCTTTCATTAGACTCTCCTCAAGGATCCACTGTACATGGGTCTGTATCAAAAGCGAGATCGCTCTCAAGCCTACGATGATCTGATTGATGAGTTCATGGAGGCTGTGGTAGACAAGTACGGACAGGACACACTGATCCAGTTCGAGGATTTTGGGAACCACAACGCTTTCCGCTTCCTACGGCGATACAGGGAGAAGTACTGCACCTTCAATGATGACATCCAAGGTTTGAATACATTCTGCCACTCAGCTCTCAAGAAGAAATGCCATTTCACCTGCTTCATCAAAATCAATACTCATCCCAGCCCTTTTTTCTTTAAACTGTTTTATTGTGGAAAGATAAATGATGAAATAGCCTAGAACGTTTCCATTTCAGTAACCTATGGTGCTCATAAGTCACATAACCAAAAAAGGAAACCCCAGGTTGTTCCAAACACGGTCCCAAACTGTTAGCTTCAAATAGTGGTTAATGGACCCTTTAAGGCGGTAGACATAGATTTAGATGTACAGTATATGGTTGTTTATGTCATGTAGTTATAGCAGACGCTTCTGTATAAACTGATGTTCTTTGTTGATCTTTCCAGGCACTGCATCTGTAGCCCTTGCTGGTCTGTTAGCAGCTCAGAGAGCTGTGGGCAAACCCATCACTGAACACCGAGTACTTTTCCTGGGAGCTGGAGAGGTTAGAAAACATTCAACTGTTCAATCATCATGAGCCCTCTTGTTTTTTTTTTCCTCCTCTATGAACCGAATGAAAATATTTCAAGATCAAAATAAAAGATCGGGCATTTGTAACAGCCTTGCAGCCTAGTGTATATTTTAAATGTTGCTCTGTTTACATTATTTTAATGACCTGAACCTTGAATTTAAACTCTTATTTTCTCTGTAGGCCGCTCTTGGCATTGCCAGTTTGATTGTCATGGCCATGATGGAGACAGGAATGACCCAAGCTGATGCCAGAAAAAAAATCTGGATGTACGACAAATATGGCTTAATAGTACAGGTCAGTGTGTGTGTGTGTCATAGACATGTACACCAGAGCATACAATTCAGTTAATGTCTGTCTGGACAGGAAGGCAGACAGTCTGCATTGTCAGTGAAGAGTGGTTTTACTCGCTTTAATTAGGTTACTGATGCCATCATTGTAATATTTGTGATTACAGGGCAGACCGCAGGAAATAGACACAAACCAGGAGGTATTTGCCCACGACAGTCCAGGGGATATACAAAGCTTCCTAGATGCTGTCAACACCATCAAACCCACTGCTATTATTGGTAAGGTATCTCTTATTTTCTGTATTTCTGTTACCCTCAAGCCTAACCGTGTGATTTAAAGTGTAAATGATTTGAGGAAAAGTAGAAAATGCCTGTCATGTATCATTAAATTTCTATTCAAATATGATTGCATCACGAGTTAATTCAGGTAAAAATCGCTCCTAATCATCCTGTTCTGACTCATCTAGTTTTATTTTAAAGGGCTGTGACAGATCACAAGCACAAAGTGACCTGCAGTTGTTATTCTTTCTCCCAGGTGTGGCAGGAGCTGGGCGTCTGTTCACCCACGATGTCATTAAAGCCATGGGAACCCTGAACGAACGACCAATAATCTTTGCCCTGAGTAACCCCACCACTAAAGCAGAGTGCACAGCCGAGGACGCGTACACACTCACTGATGTACGCAGTTCTTCAGTAGTTGAAACTGTTTTGAAATTACCCCCCCCCCCCCCCCAATTTTGTCTTCCTTTAATTTACACAGTATCTCTTTCACTTCCTCTTGTTCCACAGGGCAGATGTCTTTTTGCAAGTGGCAGTCCGTTCGGTCCAGTGACAATGAAAGATGGGCGTGTCTTCACTCCTGGACAAGGAAACAATGCTTACATCTTCCCAGGTGGAAACGCTCAAATGAATATTCGAAATTTACTGCCAGTTCTTAAAGACAGCTGTTTGCTTCAGGGTGCCAATTAATGGAAATAAAGAGATAAATACAGTCTTGTTAAAACGCATGTTGTTGGTGCATTTCAGGTGTGGCTCTGGCTGTGATCTTGAGTGGAGTGAGACACATCAGTGACACAGTCTTCTTGGAAGCTGCCAAGGTCTGAAGTCATCATCACTAAGTATCTCTCAGTCTTTGTCGTTGAACACTTGATGAAGATCAGCTTTACTTCACCCTCACTCCATCCTGCACTTTTCTTGTTGTCATGTATGCGTGTTTGGTCGTGTAAACCCTCTTTAACCCTCTGATGTCTCCTGTTCTCTTTCTTTCTAGAATCTGCCATAACAACTAATAGATGAGGAGCTTTTAAAAGGCTAATCCTGCTTTGCACTTCTTCCATATGCGCTCTTTCCTTTTTGACTGCATTGATCAACAGGAGTTTTTATAAAAGATCACATCATATTTCCTTGCCAGTTCGGTATTGATATGCTTTGCATGGAGTAGACACTGATAATGAATTTTGGTAATATGAGCAGTGTCTGTTTTTGTATATCATTTGATCAAACACCCTGTTTTCTAATTGCTTCTCTCTTTTTTCTTAACTAAGAGCAAACATATTTATGACTCTACTCTAGTGTAGAACGTAACAGCAGAGAAATATGCTGTTAATGAATAAAATAAGTGTCTACACTTGAAATTCATCATAAGTCTACTTTCTCCTCACAGACCCTATCAGAGCAACTGACAGACAAAGAGCTGGAAGAAGGCAGACTCTATCCTCCACTCTCCAACATCAGAGAGGTCTCTGTCCAGATGGCTGTCAAGGCAAGTCTCCTGCTGGGAAACTGATAGCCCCACCTGCTGTAACAGAGTGTTTTGGACACTGTTAATGTTTGTTCAAAGTTAAAGAGGTGCTGTTATGCTTTTGTCATATTTTGAAAGCACATGTTAAGTACATTATGCATAAGCATAATACCCTCTCTTAGATAGTTATTCAAACCTCTCAGACTTAGATTTTGATGACAAAGTTTCACTTCCAATCAAATTTAATTTAAGTTTTCTCCTCCTTGCTGCAGGTGGTGGAGTATGTTTATGCTAAAGGCATGGCGTTCCGCTACCCTGAGCCCCTGGACAAGAACAGCTTTGTGCGTGCAACTGCGTGGAACACCAACTATGACTCCTTCCTGCCAGACACTTACGACTGGCCAGACGTCAGCTTCAACCCCAAGACTAAATAGAGGAGCAACAGATCCTCAATGTGTTCCATTTCACAATGTCACTCTTCCTTTGGTTTTCCACTCATCTCTCAAAGTCATATCTTTTGAGATGATCAATGCTATGTCACTGCAAACTTGCCAACATCTACCTTCCATCTACCAGGAGGCAGAAGCTTGTTGTCTTGTTGCTGCATAGCACCCAATCACTCTTATGAGATCTGAAAAGTTGTAGGATGAGTGAATTTCAAAGGAGAACATTGGAATGGAATTGGCACTTTTGACTTGACGCTCATTTCTTGATCACCTCTGCTTCAAATGTAAACTTGAACAGCCCCTTGAGGGCCACCTGGTGGTGAAAAAAGGCAGTGTATGTATTTGGTTTCATTTTTAAAAAAAAGCCAAGGCCCCTCAAAAATCCTATGCAGAGTCTTTTCCTCTTAAAAACACAAACCAGCATCACAATTTGGGCATATGATCATTTAGATCACACATAATACTGAGCAGGACACTGTACATGAAGAATGCACCTCTGCTTAAGGTTAAAATGTGTTTTAGGGAACAGTTGAAAGGGCTGTGTGGATTGATATGTATTGGTCTTGGCATTACTAAGTGCAATACGGTTATCTTTTATCACTTTCCTGGGAGGCGTTCACTCCATTTTTAGTGCACTGATGTCTTTAAAGGGTTTGGTTACACACTCCTGATATCTTTTGTCAGCTCTCAACATGCTACATAGACATGGCCCTTTTACATCAGGGTACCTCTGGTGGTGTAGCTGACGCAACCAGTGTTAGTCATGTATTTAAAGACTTTTTCACTGAACTTAAATTGGGCTTCACTGGTTCTCAGTAAAGGTTTAGTGGAGCAGAGGGTGAGAGAACATTAGCCATTATGTTCAAACTGGGAGATGAAGAAAATGATGTTACTCAGGACAGAAAGGGATCAAGTTTTTGAAGGAAAGACCTTGAAACATAATTAGACTGTATATGAAGGGAAGTCAAATTTATATTTAACAACACTTGACAAACCAGTATTCACTCCTTTTTTGTTTAAATCCTTAAATACATATTGATATTTCTGTAAGATGATTTAATTTTACTTTCTGGTCATGCATTCAGATGTTTTGACATTGTTTTGTACGTATATTAAATTTAAAGCCTGTCATCAACATTTCTTTGATCCCAATAGCAGCAAGAAGAGTCCGTCCCTAATGCTGTGCCCAAGTTTAACATGAAATGACATTTAAACTATAGTATTTATATGATGTGCAAATTCAAATGGTATGAAAAATGATATTTTTTATTCTAACTCTATTTTGTTTTATGTACATGTGCGTTTATGGAAAGTGAGACTTGTTTGCTAAAAGGATATTTATAAAGTCAAGTGCATAAGTGTGTGTGTGTGTGTGCAGGTTGATGTGTGGGCTTTGGCCAGCAGAACATTCAAAACAGGACAACAAACAGAACAGGTATAGTTTTTGTTTCCTGATAACAATAATACCAGAGCAATAAAATTAAATTATTTCAAATAATTAAAATTGCTCTTCCAATACTTTGAGATGGAAATGCAAGCGCTGCAGTTTATTTTGCACCTTTACCATGCCACGTACTGTTCAAAGGACATACAAGGCATCTAGAATAAAACTCTAATGTAAGTTCTTCTGAATTATATTTAGCAGCAGTAAAAACAATGATACAGATAAACTGTTTCATTTGTTTCAAATATATCACATGCACAAAAAGGTGATTAAAAAGCCATGTTCAAATGTTAAAAGAAATTCTTGAAGCACACATCTGTAGACGTTGACCTCTACTGGCGGTTTTCATCTCTGACATATTCATGCTCCTGTCCTTTACACTGTCACATTTAAAACAGATACATCTTTACGATTGTCATAACATGCATCTCTCAAAAGACGATACTATTCTGTACGTATAAATTAATTTCCTAACTATATGGGAAATATTTTTGATCAGTACTGATATTGGACCCCTCTGAGGTGTTTGTAAACTAGATAAGTGTTGCTATGTACCTCAACAGATTATGGTAACCCTAAAGCCTGAAACAATGGGTTTAAAGACAAAGCAATGTCAAACTCCCAAACACTTCTCAAACAACACATCCAGCACCATTAAAATTGTTTTTACTCTGTTCACCAATTAAAACCCAATTTCTTAGTTATATAATTATGTTATATTAGTTATATTAATTTCTGATATGTTTTAATCCACTTCATAAGCAGTATCACACAACTCAGATATGTGTAATGCCAGGCCACTGTGTAAATTGTTATTCAAGGATACGATACATGGACCTTCCACAGCCTGCACTGAAGTGCCTGCTCTATGTTCACTGTGTATTCATAACCTTCTATGGTCCATGATGTAGCTCTTACAGCATGCTGCTTACAGTGCTGAGGATCACCTCTATATCACTGTGTTGATGTGCAGCTTTAGGTTTTTACCATTTATTGATGTGTCACCACTGATTTGTTCTAGATTAAATTGCTTTATAGGGGAGAAATAATTCAGGTCCATTAAATGTCATGTATCTATCCAGTTGTTACAGTATACAGTTTACAGTCTCTGTGTAGCTCCTCTTATGCTCCATATTTCACAGTGTATTTTTAATGTAAAGTGTCTTGAAGTTTATTTTTGTTAAATGTTAATGTTGCCTTAGCATTTGTACTTACAGAGCTGTGCTGCTTCAAAATAGTGTTAAAGTGAGTAATTAAACTTTTTATCGTTGCCGCTGAGCATTTTGGTTAAGTTATGTCAAAGACTTACTCAATGTTTGTTTCTATGTGTCTATTTTTTTACTGTAATATCCACCCACTGGCATATTATTGACAGGTTAAACTTTTCTTGTTTAAACTTAATTACTCAAATGACAAAATATATCTGTAGGGTACAAACAAATTTCAGAGAGCTGCACAGTTGCGCCTGTCACTACCCAAACCTTCCCAGAAGCAAAACATTTTTTTTGTAGGATGGTAGGGGAAGGTCCTGCCCTCCTTCACCTCTGATTGGCTAGAAGTGATGGGCTCTGACTGGTTATTCCTAATGGCTGTGAAACATCATCGTCTGTCAGGTTAGGTTAGGTAAGGTTAGGCCTAGGGTTAGGGTTAGGATTGGAGCTAGGGTTAGGTTTGAGGCTAGGGTTAGGATTAGGGTTGGAGCTAGGGATAGGGTTGAGGCTAGGATTAGGGTTAGGGTTGGGGCTAGGGTTAGGGTTGAGGCTAGGGTTAGGGTTGGGGCTAGGGTTAGGTGTGGGTAAGAGATACAGTGATAGCCCCCGCTTCGTCAGTTGACTTAGCGGTTTGGGGTAGGCTTATCAAGGGCTTGCACTGGCCGGCACGTGTTGACCTGTCACATGTTCCCAGTCGAGACTCCGAGCTCAATCTGAATGTAAAAATTATGTGTTGGTAGTAAGTTCAATTACTCAGCTCAATTGGTATGCTATGCTGTCTATCCTTTAGACCATGTGTTTGTAGAGAAATTATTTTTGTAGGTTCAGTTAGGAATTAGAGTTGGTATGGTTAAGGGTTATGCGAAATGAGTTTTCTTATTGAGAAGGAATAGGTGGTATTAGTAGGGAGGGAATAGGGTGAAATTTATCTAAAGGAGTAGGGTTAGGGTGCTTTAGTACAAAGTCTCAGGGGATGGGGAAGGGAGAAACAGGTGGTCGGGATTGCAACCATTCTGCTTCTACAGGGATTTGAGTGATAGAAAGAGAATAGAACTTGCCACAGTGACTAGCCAGAGAAACTATCCTCGCCTGTTGTTTTTCATCCTCTGATACGAAAAAAGAGGGTGGGGGTGATTAAGCTAAGATAGAGTTTAGTAAGGTTAGGGTTAGGATTGAGTTAAGAGTAGGGGGTTAGTGTAAAGTGTTTAAGTTGGGGTTAGGGCTAGAGTTAGGGTTAGGTGATAGGGTTAAAGTGGTTAGGTTTAGGGTTAGGGTTAGATTTAGGGTTAGAGCGAGGGTTAGGGTTAGGGTTAGGGTTGGAGGTAGCGTTAGGGTTAGGGTTAGGGTTGGAGGTAGGGTTAGGGTTAGGGTTGGAGCTAGGGTTAGGGTTGGAGCTAGTGTTAGGGTTCGGGTTGGAGCTAGGGTTAGGGTTAGGGTTGGAGCTAGGGTTAGGGTAGGGTAAGGGTTGGGGCTAGGGTTAAGGTTAGGGTTGGAGCTAGGGTTAGGGTTGGAGCTAGGGTTAGGGTAGGGTAAGGGTTGGGGCTAGGGTTAAGGTTAGGGTTGGAGCTAGGGTTGGGTTAGGGTTAGGGTTGGTGCTAGGGTTAGGGTTGGAGCTAGAGTTAGGGTTAGGGTTAGGGTTGGAGGTAGGGTTAGGTGTGGGGTTAGGGTTGGAGCTAGAGTTAGGGTTAGGGTTAGGGTTGGAGCTAGGGTTAGGGTTAGGGTTAGGGTTGGAGCTAGCGTTAGGGTTAGGGTTAGGGTTAGGGTTAGGGTTGGAGCTAGGGTTAGGGTTGGAGCTAGGGTTAGGGTTAGGGTTAGGGTTGGAGCTAGGGTTAGGGTTAGGGTTAGGGTTGGAGGTAGCGTTAGGGTTAGGGTTGGAGGTAGGGTTAGGGTTAGGGTTGGAGCTAGGGTTAGGGTTGGAGCTAGGGTTAGGGTTAGGGTTGGAGCTAGGGTTAGGGTATGAGCTAGGGTTAGGGTTAGGGTTGGAGCTAGGGTTAGGGTTAGGGTTGGAGGTAGCGTTAGGGTTAGGGTTAGGGTTAGGATTGGAGGTAGGGTTAGGGTTAGGGTTAGGGTTGGAGGTAGGGTTAGGGTTAGGGTTGGAGTTAGGGTTAGGGTTAGGGTTAGGGTTAGAGCTAGGGTTAGGGTTAGGGTTGGAGCTAGGGTTAGGGTTAGGGTTGGAGCTAGGGTTAGGGTCAGGATTGGAGGTAGCGTTAGGGTTAGGGTTACGGTTGGAGCTAGGGTGAGGGTTAGGGTTGGAGCTAGGGTTAGGGTTAGGGTTAGGGTTGGAGGTAGCGTTAGGGTTAGGGTTGGAGCTAGGGTTAGGGTTAGGGTTGGAGCTAGGGTTAGGGTTAGGGTTTGAGGTAGGGTTAGGGTTAGGGTTATGGTTGGAGCTAGGGTTAGGGTTAGGGTTAGAGCTAGGGTTAGGGTTAGGGTTGGAGCTATGGTTAGGGTTAGGGTTGGAGGTAGCGTTAGGGTTAGGGTTGGAGGTAGCGTTAGGGTTAGGGTTAGGGTTGGAGCTAGGGTTAGGGTTAGGGTTGGAGGTAGCGTTAGGGTTAGGGTTAGGGTTGGAGCTAGGGTTAGGGTTAGGGTTAGGGTTGGAGGTAGGGTTAGGGTTAGGGTTGGAGGTAGGATTAGGGTTAGGGTTGGAGGTAGCGTTAGGGTTAGGGTTAGGGTTGGAGCTAGGGTTAGGGTTAGGGTTAGGGTAAGAGGTAGCATTAGGGTTAGGGTTAGGGTTAGGGTTGGAGCTAGGGTTAGGGTTAGGGTTAGGGTTGGAGCTAGGGTTAGGGTTAGGGTTAGGGTTGGAGGTAGCGTTAGGGTTAGGGTTAGGGTTGGAGCTAGGGTTAGGGTTAGGGTTGGAGCTAGGGTTAGGGTTAGGGTTGGAGCTAGGGTTAGGGTTAGGGTTGGAGGTAGCGTTAGGGTTAGGGTTAGGGTTGGAGCTAGGGTTAGGGTTAGGGTTGGAGCTAGGGTTAGGGTTAGGGTTAGGGTTGGAGCTAGGGTTAGGGTTAGGGTTAGGGTTGGAGGTAGCGTTAGGGTTAGGGTTGGAGCTAGGGTTAGGGTTAGGGTTGGAGCTAGGGTTAGGGTTAGGGTTGGAGGTAGGATTAGGGTTAGGGTTGGAGGTAGCGTTAGGGTTAGGGTTAGGGTTGGAGCTAGGGTTAGGGTTAAGGTTAGAGTTGGAGCTAGGGTTAGGGTTAGGGTTGGAGGTAGGATTAGGGTTAGGGTTGGAGGTAGCGTTAGGTTTAGGGTTAGGGTTGGAGCTAGGGTTAGGGTTAGGGTTGGAGCTAGGGTTAGGGTTAGGGTTGGAGGTAGCATTAGGGTTAGGGTTAGGGTTAGGGTTGGAGCTAGGGTTAGGGTTAGGGTTGGAGCTAGGGTTAGGGTTAAGGTTGGAGGTAGCGTTAGGGTTAGGGTTAGGGTTGGAGCTAGGGTTAGGGTTAGGGTTGGAGCTAGGGTTAGGGTTAGGGTTGGAGTTAGGGTTGGAGCTAGGGTTAGGGTTCGGGTTAGGGTTGGAGCTAGGGTTAGGGTTAGGGTTAGAGCTAGGTTTAGGGTTAGGGTTGGAGCTAGGGTTAGGGTTAGGGTTAGGGTTGGAGGTAGCGTTAGGGTTAGGGTTAGGGTTAGGGTTGGAGCTAGGGTTAGGGTTGGAGCTAGGGTTAGGGTTAGGGTTAGAGCTAGGGTTAGGGTTAGGGTTAGGGTTAGGGTTGGAGCTAGGGTTAGGGTTTGAGCTAGGGTTAGGGTTAGGGTTAGAGCTAGGGTTAGGGTTAGGGTTGGAGGTAGCGTTAGGGTTGGGGTTAGAGCTAGGGTTAGGATTGGAGCTAGGGTTAGGGTTAGGGTTAGGGTTAGAGCTAGGGTTAGGGTTAGGGTTAGGGTTGGAGGTAGCGTTAGGGTTAGGGTTAGGGTTGGAGGTAGGGTTAGGGTTAGAGTTGGAGCTAGGGTTAGGGTTGGAGGTATGGTTAGGTGTGGGGTTGGAGCTAGGGTTAGGGTTGCAGCTAGGGTTAGGGTTAGGGTTGGAGCTAGGGTTAGGGTTAGGGTTAGGGTTGGAGGTAGCGTTAGGGTTAGGGTTGGGACTAGGGTTAGGGTTAGGGTTGGAGCTAGGGTTAGGGTTAGGGTTAGGGTTGGAGGTAGCATTAGGGTTAGGGTTAGGGTTGGAGCTAGGGTTAGGATTAGGGTTAGGGTTGGAGCTAGGGTTAGGGTTAGGGTTAGGGTTGGAGGTAGCGTTAGGGTTAGGGTTGGAGCTAGGGTTAGGGTTAGGGTTAGGGTTGGAGCTAGGGTTAGGGTTAGGGTTGAAGCTAAGGTTAGGGTTAGGGTTAGGGTTGGAGCTAGGGTTAGGGTTAGGGTTGGAGCTAGGGTTAGGGTTGGAGGTAGCGTTAGGGTTAGGGTTTGAGCTAGGGTTAGGGTTAGGGTTAGGGTTAGGGTTAGAGGGTTAGGGTTAGAGGTAGCATTAGGGTTAGGGTTAGGGTTGGAGCTAGGGTTAGGATTAGGGTTAGGGTTGGAGCTAGGGTTAGGGTTAGGGTTAGGGTTGGAGGTAGCGTTAGGGTTAGGGTTTGAGCTAGGGTTAGGGTTAGGGTTGGAGCTAGGGTTAAGGTTAGGGTTGAAGCTAAGGTTAGGGTTAGGGTTGGGCTTTGAGCTAGGGTTAGGGTTAGGGTTGGAGCTAGGGTTAGGGTTGGAGGTAGCGTTAGGGTTAGGGTTAGGGTTGGAGCTAGGGTTAGGGTTAGGATTAGGGTTGGAAGTAGCGTTAGGGTTAGGGTTTGGGTTGGAACTAGTGTTAGGGTCAGGGTTGGAGCTAGGGTTAGGGTTAGGGTTGGAGGTAGCATTAGGGTTAGGGTTAGGGCTAGGGTTAGGGATAGGGTTAGGGTTGGAGCTAGGGTTAGGGTTAGAGTTTGGGTTGGAGGTAGCGTTAGGGTTAGGGTTGCAGCTAGGGTTAGGGTTAGGGTTAGGGTTGGAGCTAGGGTTAGGGTTAGGGTTGGAGCTAGCGTTAGGGTTAGGGTTAGGGTTGGAGCTAGGGTTAGGGTTAAGGTTAGGGTTGGAGGTAGGGTTAGGGTTAGGGTTGGAGGTAGGATTAGGGTTAGGGTTGGAGGTAGCGTTAGGGTTAGGGTTAGGGTTGGAGCTAGGGTTAGGGTTAGGGTTAGGGTTAGGAGGTAGCATTAGGGTTAGGGTTAGGGTTAGGGTTGGAGCTAGGGTTAGGGTTAGAGTTAGGGTTGGAGCTAGGGTTAGGGTTAGGGTTAAGGTTGGAGGTAGCGTTAGGGTTAGGGTTAGGGTTGGAGCTAGGGTTAGGGTTAGGGTTGGAGCTAGGGTTAGGGTTAGGGTTGGAGCTAGGGTTAGGGTTAGGGTTGGAGGTAGTGTTAGGGTTAGGGTTAGGGTTGGAGCTAGGGTTAGGGTTAGGGTTGGAGCTAGGGTTAGGGTTAGGGTTAGGGTTGGAGCTAGGGTTAGGGTTAGGGTTAGGGTTGGAGGTAGCGTTAGGGTTAGGGTTGGAGCTAGGGTTAGGGTTAGGGTTGGAGGTAGTGTTAGGGTTAGGGTTGGAGGTAGGATTAGGGTTAGGGTTGGAGGTAGCGTTAGGGTTAGGGTTAGGGTTGGAGCTAGGGTTAGGGTTAAGGTTAGGGTTGGAGCTAGGGTTAGGGTTAGGGTTGGAGGTAGGATTAGGGTTAGGGTTGGAGGTAGCGTTAGGGTTAGGGTTAGGGTTGGAGCTAGGGTTAGGGTTAGGGTTGGAGCTAGGGTTAGGGTTAGGGTTAGGGTTGGAGGTAGCATTAGGGTTAGGGTTAGGGTTAGGGTTGGAGCTAGGGTTAGGGTTAGGGTTGGAGCTAGGGTTAGGGTTAAGGTTGGCGGTAGCGTTAGGGTTAGGGTTAGGGTTGGAGCTAGGGTTAGGGTTAGGGTTGGAGCTAGGGTTAGGGTTAGGGTTGGAGTTAGGGTTGGAGCTAGGGTTAGGGTTCGGGTTAGGGTTGGAGCTAGGGTTAGGGTTAGGGTTAGAGCTAGGTTTAGGGTTAGGGTTGGAGCTAGGGTTAGGGTTAGGGTTAGGGTTGGAGGTAGCGTTAGGGTTAGGGTTAGGGTTAGGGTTGGAGCTAGGGTTAGGGTTGGAGCTAGGGTTAGGGTTAGGGTTAGAGCTAGGGTTAGGGTTAGGGTTAGGGTTGGAGCTAGGGTTAGGGTTTGAGCTAGGGTTAGGGTTAGAGCTAGGGTTAGGGTTAGGGTTGGAGGTAGCGTTAGGGTTAGGGTTAGAGCTAGGGTTAGGATTGGAGCTAGGGTTAGGGTTAGGGTTAGGGTTAGAGCTAGGGTTAGGGTTAGGGTTAGGGTTGGAGGTAGCGTTAGGGTTAGGGTTAGGGTTGGAGGTAGGGTTAGGGTTAGAGTTGGAGCTAGGGTTAGGGTTGGAGGTAGGGTTAGGTGTGGGGTTGGAGCTAGGGTTAGGGTTGCAGCTAGGGTTAGGGTTAGGGTTGGAGCTAGGGTTAGGGTTAGGGTTAGGGTTGGAGGTAGCGTTAGGGTTAGGGTTGGGAGGGTTAGGGTTAGGGTTGGAGCTAGGGTTAGGGTTAGGGTTGGAGGTAGCATTAGGGTTAGGGTTAGGGTTGGAGCTAGGGTTAGGATTAGGGTTCGGGTTGGAGCTAGGGTTAGGGTTAGGGTTAGGGTTGGAGGTAGCGTTAGGGTTGGAGCTAGGGTTAGGGTTAGGGTTAGGGTTGGAGCTAGGGTTAGGGTTAGGGTTGAAGCTAAGGTTAGGGTTAGGGTCAGGGTTGGAGCTAGGGTTAGGGTTAGGGTTGGAGCTAGGGTTAGGGTTGGAGGTAGCGTTAGGGTTAGGGTTTGAGCTAGGGTTAGGGTTAGGGTTAGGGTTAGAGCTAGGTTTAGGGTTAGGGTTGGAGCTAGGGTTAGGGTTAGGGTTGGAGGTAGCGTTAGGGTTAGGGTTAGGGTTAGGGTTGGAGCTAGGGTTAGGGTTGGAGCTAGGGTTAGGGTTAGGGTTAGAGCTAGGGTTAGGGTTAGGGTTAGGGTTGGAGCTAGGGTTAGGGTTTGAGCTAGGGTTAGGGTTAGAGCTAGGGTTAGGGTTAGGGTTGGAGGTAGCGTTAGGGTTAGGGTTAGAGCTAGGGTTAGGATTGGAGCTAGGGTTAGGGTTAGGGTTAGGGTTAGAGCTAGGGTTAGGGTTAGGGTTAGGGTTGGAGGTAGCGTTAGGGTTAGGGTTAGGGTTGGAGGTAGGGTTAGGGTTAGAGTTGGAGCTAGGGTTAGGGTTGGAGGTAGGGTTAGGTGTGGGGTTGGAGCTAGGGTTAGGGTTGCAGCTAGGGTTAGGGTTAGGGTTGGAGCTAGGGTTAGGGTTAGGGTTAGGGTTGGAGGTAGCGTTAGGGTTAGGGTTGGGACTAGGGTTAGGGTTAGGGTTGGAGCTAGGGTTAGGGTTAGGGTTAGGGTTGGAGGTAGCATTAGGGTTAGGGTTAGGGTTGGAGCTAGGGTTAGGATTAGGGTTCGGGTTGGAGCTAGGGTTAGGGTTAGGGTTAGGGTTGGAGGTAGCGTTAGGGTTGGAGCTAGGGTTAGGGTTAGGGTTAGGGTTGGAGCTAGGGTTAGGGTTAGGGTTGAAGCTAAGGTTAGGGTTAGGGTCAGGGTTGGAGCTAGGGTTAGGGTTAGGGTTGGAGCTAGGGTTAGGGTTGGAGGTAGCGTTAGGGTTAGGGTTTGAGCTAGGGTTAGGGTTAGGGTTAGGGTTAGAGGGGTTAGGGTTAGAGGTAGCATTAGGGTTAGGGTTAGGGTTGGAGCTAGGGTTAGGATTAGGGTTAGGGTTGGAGCTAGGGTTAGGGTTAGGGTTAGGGTTGGAGGTAGCGTTAGGGTTAGGGTTGGAGCTAGGGTTAGGGTTAGGGTTAGGGTTGGAGCTAGGGTTAAGGTTAGGGTTGAAGCTAAGGTTAGGGTTAGGGTTGGGCTTTGAGCTAGGGTTAGGGTTGGAGCTAGGGTTAGGGTTGGAGGTAGCGTTAGGGTTAGGGTTAGGGTTGGAGCTAGGGTTAGGGTTAGGATTAGGGTTGGAGGTAGCGTTAGGGTTAGGGTTTGGGTTGGAACTAGTGTTAGGGTTAGGGTTGGAGCTAGGGTTAGGGTTAGGGTTGGAGGTAGCATTAGGGTTAGGGTTAGGGCTAGGGTTAGGGTTAGGGTTAGGGTTTGAGCTAGGGTTAGGGTTAGAGTTAGGGTTGGAGGTAGCGTTAGGGTTAGGGTTGCAGCTAGGGTTAGGGTTAGGGTTAGGGTTAGGGTTGGAGCTAGGGTTAGGGTTAGGGTTGGAGCTAGAGTTAGGGTTAGGGTTAGGGTTGGAGCTAGGGTTAGGGTTAGGGTTGGAGCTAGGGTTAGGGTTAGGGTTAGGGTTGGAGGTAGCATTAGGGTTAGGGTTAGGGTTAGGGTTGGAGCTAGGGTTAGGGTTAGGGTTAGGGTTGGAGGTACCATTAGGGTTAGGGTTAGGGTCAGGGTTAGGGTTAGGGTTAGGGTTAGGGTTGGAGCTAGGGTTAGGGTTAGGGTTAGGGTTGGAGGTAGCGTTAGGGTTAGGGTTGGAGCTAGGGTTAGGGTTAGGGTTGGAGCTAGGGTTAGGGTCAGGGTTGGAGCTAGAGTTAGGGTTAGGGTTATGATTGGAGCTAGGGTTAGGGTTAGGGTTAGGGTTGGAGCTAGGGTTAGGGTTAGAGTTAGGGTTGGAGGTAGCGTTAGGGTTAGGGTTGCAGCTAGGGTTAGGGTTAGGGTTAGGGTTGGAGCTAGGGTTAGGGTTAGGGTTGGAGCTAGAGTTAGGGTTAGGGTTAGGGTTGGAGCTAGGGTTAGGGTTAGGGTTGGAGCTAGGGTTAGGGTTAGGGTTAGGGTTGGAGGTAGCATTAGGGTTAGGGTTAGGGTTAGGGTTGGAGCTAGGGTTAGGGTTAGGGTTAGGGTTGGAGGTACCATTAGGGTTAGGGTTAGGGTCAGGGTTAGGGTTAGGGTTAGGGTTGGAGCTAGGGTTAGGGTTAGGGTTAGGGTTGGAGGTAGCGTTAGGGTTAGGGTTAGGGTTGGAGGTAGGGTTAGGGTTAGAGTTGGAGCTAGGGTTAGGGTTGGAGGTAGGGTTAGGTGTGGGGTTGGAGCTAGGGTTAGGGTTGCAGCTAGGGTTAGGGTTAGGGTTGGAGCTAGGGTTAGGGTTAGGGTTAGGGTTGGAGGTAGCGTTAGGGTTAGGGTTGGGTCTAGGGTAGGGTTAGGGTTAGGGTTGGAGCTAGGGTTAGGGTTAGGGTTAGGGTTGGAGGTAGCATTAGGGTTAGGGTTAGGGTTGGAGCTAGGGTTAGGATTAGGGTTCGGGTTGGAGCTAGGGTTAGGGTTAGGGTTAGGGTTGGAGGTAGCGTTAGGGTTGGAGCTAGGGTTAGGGTTAGGGTTAGGGTTGGAGCTAGGGTTAGGGTTAGGGTTGAAGCTAAGGTTAGGGTTAGGGTCAGGGTTGGAGCTAGGGTTAGGGTTAGGGTTGGAGCTAGGGTTAGGGTTGGAGGTAGCGTTAGGGTTAGGGTTTGAGCTAGGGTTAGGGTTAGGGTTAGGGTTAGAGGGTTAGGGTTAGAGGTAGCATTAGGGTTAGGGTTAGGGTTGGAGCTAGGGTTAGGATTAGGGTTAGGGTTGGAGCTAGGGTTAGGGTTAGGGTTAGGGTTGGAGGTAGCGTTAGGGTTAGGGTTGGAGCTAGGGTTAGGGTTAGGGTTAGGGTTGGAGCTAGGGTTAAGGTTAGGGTTGAAGCTAAGGTTAGGGTTAGGGTTGGGCTTTGAGCTAGGGTTAGGGTTGGAGCTAGGGTTAGGGTTGGAGGTAGCGTTAGGGTTAGGGTTAGGGTTGGAGCTAGGGTTAGGGTTAGGATTAGGGTTGGAGGTAGCGTTAGGGTTAGGGTTTGGGTTGGAACTAGTGTTAGGGTTAGGGTTGGAGCTAGGGTTAGGGTTAGGGTTGGAGGTAGCATTAGGGTTAGGGTTAGGGCTAGGGTTAGGGATAGGGTTAGGGTTGGAGCTAGGGTTAGGGTTAGAGTTAGGGTTGGAGGTAGCGTTAGGGTTAGGGTTGCAGCTAGGGTTAGGGTTAGGGTTAGGGTTGGAGCTAGGGTTAGGGTTAGGGTTGGAGCTAGAGTTAGGGTTAGGGTTAGGGTTGGAGCTAGGGTTAGGGTTAGGGTTGGAGCTAGGGTTAGGGTTAGGGTTAGGGTTGGAGGTAGCATTAGGGTTAGGGTTAGGGTTAGGGTTGGAGCTAGGGTTAGGGTTAGGGTTAGGGTTGGAGGTACCATTAGGGTTAGGGTTAGGGTCAGGGTTAGGGTTAGGGTTAGGGTTAGGGTTGGAGCTAGGGTTAGGGTTAGGGTTAGGGTTGGAGGTAGCGTTAGGGTTAGGGTTAGGGTTGGAGCTAGGGTTAGGGTTAGGGTTGGAGCTAGGGTTAGGGTCAGGGTTGGAGCTAGAGTTAGGGTTAGGGTTATGATTGGAGCTAGGGTTAGGGTTAGGGTTAGGGTTGGAGCTAGGGTTAGGGTTAGGGTTAGGGTTAGGGTTGGAGCTAGGGTTAGGGTTAGGGTTAGGGTTGGAGTAGCGTTAGGGTTAGGGTTGGAGCTAGGGTTAGGGTTGGAGCTAGGGTTAGGGTTAGGGTTGGAGCTAGGGTTAGGGTTAGGGTTGGAGTTAGGGTTAGGGTTAGGGTAGGGTTGGAGGTACCATTAGGGTTAGGGTTAGGGTTGGAGGTAGGGTTAGGATTGGAGCTAGGGTTAGGGTTAGGGTTGGAGCTGGAGTTAGGGTTAGGGTTAGGGTTGGAGGTAGCGTTAGGGTTAGGGTTAGGGTTGGAGCTAGGGTTAGGGTTAGGGTTGGAGCTAGGGTTAGGGTTAGGGTTAGGGTTGGAGGTAGCGTTAGGGTTAGGGTTGGAAGAAGCATTAGGGTAAGGGTACGGGTTAGGGTTGGAGGTAGCATAAGGGTTAGGGTTAGGGTTGGAGCTAGGGTTAGGATTAGGGTTAGGGTTGGAGCTAGGGTTAGGGTTAGGGTTGGAGGTAGCGTTAGGGTTAGGGTTGGAGCTAGGGTTAGGGTTAGGGTTAGGGTTGGAGCTAGGGTTAGGGTTAGGGTTGAAGCTAAGGTTAGGGTTAGGGTTAGGGTTGGAGCTAGGGTTAGGGTTAGGGTTGGAGCTAGGGTTAGGGTTGGAGGTAGCGTTAGGGTTAGGGTTAGGGTTTTAGCTAGGGTTAGGGTTAGGGTTAGGGTTAGAGGGTTAGGGTTAGAGGTAGCATTAGGGTTAGGGTTGGAGCTAGGGTTAGGATTAGGGTTAGGGTTGGAGCTAGGGTTAGGTTTAGGGTTAGGGTTGGAGGTAGCGTTAGGGTTAGGGTTGGAGCTAGGGTTAGGGTTAGGGTTGGAGCTAGGGTTAGGGTTGGAGGTAGCGTTAGGGTTAGGGTTAGGGTTGGAGCTAGGGTTAGGGTTAGGGTTAGGGTTGGAGGTAGCGTTAGGGTTAGGGTTAGGGTTGGAACTAGTGTTAGGGTTAGGGTTGGAGCTAGGGTTAGGGTTAGGGTTAGGGTTGGAGGTAGCATTAGGGTTAGGGTTAGGGTTAGGGCTAGGGTTAGGGATAGGGTTAGGGTTGGAGCTAGGGTTAGGGTTAGTGTTAGGGTTGGAGGTAGCGTTAGGGTTAGGGTTGCAGCTAGGGTTAGGGTTAGGGTTAGGGTTGGAGCTAGGGTTAGGGTTAGGGTTGGAGCTAGAGTTAGGGTTAGGGTTAGGGTTGGAGCTAGGGTTAGGGTTAGGGTTGGAGCTAGGGTTAGGGTTAGGGTTAGGGTTGGAGGTAGCATTAGGGTTAGGGTTAGGGTTAGGGTTGGAGCTAGGGTTAGGGTTAGGGTTAGGGTTGGAGGTACCATTAGGGTTAGGGTTAGGGTTGGAGCGAGGGTTAGGGTTAGGGTTAGGGTTGGAGCTAGGGTTAGGGTTAGGGTTGGAGCTGGAGTTAGGGTTAGGGTTAGGGTTGGAGCTAGGGTTAGGGTTAGGGTTGGAGCTAGGGTTAGGGTTAGGGTTAGGGTTGGAGGTAGCGTTAGGGTTAGGGTTAGGGTTGGAGCCACGGTTAGGGTTAGGGTTAGGGTTGGAGGTAGCATTAGGGTTAGGGTTAGGGTTAGGGTTGGAGCTAGGGTTAGGGTTAGGGTTAGGGTTGGAGGTAGCATTAGGGTTAGGGTTAGGGTTAGGGTTGGAGCTAGGGTAAGGGTTAGGGTTAGGGTTAGGGTTAGGGGTTAGGGTTAGGGTTAGGGTTAGGGTTGGGTTAGGGTTAGGGTTAGGGTTAGGGTTAGGGTTGGAGGTAGCGTTAGGGTTAGGGTTAGGGTTGGAGCCACGGTTAGGGTTAGGGTTAGGGTTGGAGGTAGCATTAGGGTTAGGGTTAGGGTTAGGGTTGGAGCTAGGGTTAGGGTTAGGGTTAGGGTTGGAGCTAGGGTTAGGGTTAGGGTTAGGGTTGGAGGTAGCGTTAGGGTTAGGGTTAGGGTTGGAGCTAGGGTTAGGGTTAGGGTTGGAGCTAGGGTTAGGGTCAGGGTTGGAGCTAGAGTTAGGGTTAGGGTTATGATTGGAGGGTAGGGTTAGGGTTAGGGTTGGAGCTAGGGTTAGGGTTAGGGTTAGGGTTGGAGGTAGCATTATGGTTAGGGTTAGGGTTAGGGTTAGGGTTGGAGCTAGGGTTAGGGTTAGGGTTAGGGTTGGAGCTAGCGTAAGGTGTGGGGTTGGAGCTAGGGTTAGGGTTAGGGTTAGGGTTAGGGTTAGGGTTAGGGTTTGAGCTAGGGTTAGGGTTGGTGCTAGGGTTAGGGTATGGTTAGGGTTGGAGCTAGGGTTAGGGTTAGGGTTAGGGTTGGAGCTAGGGTTAGGGTTAGGGTTAGGGTTGGATCTAAGGTTAGCGTTCGGGTTAGGGTTGGAGCTGGGGCTGTAGATTACAGCACAGACACTTGAGAAGTGCATATTATGTGCATATGATACGTAATTACAAAAAAAATCCAATATTTCTCACGGTACACATATCTGTCTTGGCACACTAGTGTGCCACGGCACCCTGGTTGAAAAACACTGTATTATTATATAAACCAAGAGTGAGCTGTCCACCTGGCTCACAGCGGTTGACAAATCTGGCCTCCCTGGAAAATTCAAAGCCTGGATCTACCAGCATGGAGTCCTGCCAAGAATACTCTGGCCCCTGTTAGTCTATGAAGTACCCATATCAACGGTAGAGGCTCTAGAGAAGTCCATCAGCCAGTTTCTCAGGAGATGGCTGGGGCTCCCTCGGTCCTTAAGCAGCATCGCCCTGTACGGCCATTCCAACAAGCTGCACCTTCCCTTTAGTGGACTAACAGAGGAATTTAAAGTCACCCGTTCCAGAGAGGTGATGATGTACAGGGACTCCGCAGACACCAAAGTCGCAGCAGCAGGAATCCTCGTGAAAACCGGGAGGAAGTGGCGGGCACAAGAAACCGTCACTAGAGCCGAGTCGCGACTGAGGCACAAAGTGCTGGTGGGCTCTGTGGTAACGGGACGAGCAGGTCTTGGTTCCTTTCCTAAGCCGCGTTATGATCTGGCCTGTGGAGAGGAGAAGCGCCGACTGATCCAGGACGAGATACGTGCAGAGGTGGAGGAAGAACGCAGCAGTAAGATCGCTGGCATGTCCAAACAAGGAGCATGGACCAGGTGGGAACAGGCTGATTCCCGCAGAATCACCTGGGCAGAGCTCTGGAAAGCAGAACCATCTCGCACCAAGTTTCTCATCCGGTCAGTGTATGACGTCCTCCCCAGCCCGGCCAACCTACACATCTGGGGACTGGTAGACACTCCCGAGTGCAAACTGTGCCAGAAGAGGGGCACCCTGGAGCACATCTTAAGCTGCTGCCCTAAAGCGCTAGGAGAGGGGCGGTACCGCTGGCGCCATGACCAAGTCCTAAAAGCTTTGGCAGAAACCATCAGCACAGCGATCCAGCACAGCAAGACCCAGGCAGCCCCCAAACAGGCAATCACATTCATTAGAGCAGGGCAGAAGGCACAACATCACCATCCCAACTCTACAGGGGGCTCCTTACCACCGCTCGTGATTGGCAGCTTCAAGTCGACCTCGGAAGACAGCTTAAGTTCCCAGCCAACATCACAACTACTTCTCTCCGCCCAGATGTGGTACTAACATCGGAGTCCACAAAACAAGTAGTTATCCTGGAACTAACAGTCCCCTGGGAAGACAGGATCGAAGAGGCCCACGAACGCAAGAGAGCCAAGTATGCAGAGCTCAGCACAGAGTGCCGGAACAATGGCTGGAAAACCCGCTGTGAGCCAGTCGAGGTCGGGAGCCGAGGCTTCGCTGGCCAATCACTTGAGAACCCTCAAACTCCTTGGAGTAAAAGGACTGCGATTGAAGAAAGCCATCAGAAACATCCTAGAGGCCGCAGAAAGGGCCTCGCGGTGGCTGTGGATCCGTAGGGGGGATCCGTGGAACATCACGCCACTTGGACACAAGTCGGGGACTGATCACCCCCGGCTGGGTCGCCCGGGTGAGGGTGTATGAAGATTAAAGACCCGAAACACCCTATGACCCCGGGTACTTCACTGATGACGTGTCCAAGTAGCACCAGCAGGTGTATCCAAATTCTATGAAAAAAATGTCATAGTATAATATGATAAAAAATATGATATTTTACTATGAAAAAATGTCATGGTATAGCAACTTAATAATTTATTTTTAAGAATGATAAAAATATAGTTTCATATGATTAACTGTCATAGTATAGTACGTTAAAAATGAAGTATGATTACAATATCATAGTACAGTTTGATAGAAATGCTATGGTATAGTATGATAAAAATATTTGCATAGTACAGTAAAAATGTCACAATATAGTATGATCAAAATATCTTATTATAGTATGAAAAATGTAAAAGTAAAGTTTGATAAGAAAAAATAATCATAGTATATTATGAAAAAATGTAATAGTAGAGTTTGATAAAATATCATACTATAGTATGATAAAAAATACCACAGTTTCGTAGGTAAACAAATGTCATAGTATAGTACGGTAAAAATGTCACCGTGTAGTTAGCTCAAATAATCATATTAAAGGTCCTTCTCACTGCTGCCTAAACTTGTTTATATTGGATCAAATGCTGGATAATGTCACTAGTCTCAACGCTTTGTTTCTACTTCTCACTGCTTCTAATAGTCTTACAAGATTCTCTTCAATATTCAGTCCTAGAATGAACCAGTTCGATTATCTGCAAAGTCAATCTCTGTTGTGGAAGTCCGAGCTGAGACGCTCCTCTTCGGGAGGGTTCTCTGTAGTGACGTACGTTTCGCATATGCGCAGTAGATATAGGGTTCGCGGGAGGCGATTTTTTTCATTTTTTTTTTAAATTTTTGTAGGATGGTAGGGGAAGGTCCCGCCCTCCTTCGCCTCTGATTGGCTACAAGTGCTGGACTCCGATTGGTTATTCTTTTTGGCTGTGAAACGTCATCATCGGTCAGGTTAGGGTAAGGGTCAGGTTTAGGGTTAGAATTAGGGTTAGGATTAGGATTGGGATTAAGGTTAGTAGATTCAGGATTGCAATAATGTTCTGTAATGTTCTGGTCGATGTACAGAGCCGACAGTCCGCGTTTGTCTTGAGCGTGTGATGACGTTTCACAGCCAATCAGAGGCAAAGGAGGCGGGACCTTCCCCTACCATCCTACGAAAAATCCGGTAGCGACAACGTTGTTTCATTGCGTCATCAATCTACGACTGTATACGTAAAGTATGGCACGTCTCTGCCTTTGAATACTCACATAGTTTGGCCAGTTCTCATAAAACTGTGCAAGAATGACAATGGATATGACTTTCCTTGGGACCGGCTCGGCCTATCCGTCCCCCCACCGCGGGGCCTCGGCTCTGGTTCTACGAACGGACGGGGAGTGTTGGCTGTTTGACTGCGGAGAGGGAACCCAGACCCAGCTGATGAAGAGCCAGCTCCGAGCCGGTAAATCCTGCCACCCTGGTTTAGTTAACCCTATGAAGACTATGATAAGCAGTTGATATTGCTGTCTATGATGTACATATAGTTTCTTTCATTTTTCTTTTTTCTGTACTTTCTGGATACTTTTGATCAGTTGAGATTTGTCATTGTATATGTATGGATTATGCAGAGATTATCATGGCACCTGTTGCTTGCAATTACATCCCCCATTTTCTATCCAGGTAGGATCACCAAGGTTTTCGTCTCCCACCTGCATGGAGATCACCTCTTTGGTCTGCCGGGTCTCCTTTGCACTGTGAGTCTCAACACCAACCCAGACCCCCAGCAGACGCTCAGTTGTGTGGAAATTTACGGGCCCCGGGGCCTCCGCCACTTTTTGAGAGTGACACTTGGCCTCACTGGATCCCAGCTGCTTTTCCCCTATGCAGGTAAGTCCATATACTAAGTACAAGCAAAAACTCCTCAACCTCAGAGCGAGATTGTTATAAATACCTTGCACAGAGGCAAATTAAGCTGCACCAGCATCTGTTCATTCAGTAGAGGTTACAGACCTCTTCTTCTTTAGCATAACTTAATTTTTTCATTCTTAGACAACATGCTTTGTTTTTAATTCTAATGTACAACACTGTCATCTCTTATATTATTGGATCTTGCTGCAGTTCATGAGCTGGAGCCCACGACTGACCAGAGTCCAGAGGAGGGTCATCTTAGCCCAGAGGTGTGTAACTAATTTTGTTTACTTTTTTTGCTTCCTGCCCAATTATACAACACCCCTGAAAAAGGCCCAAATCAGCCTTGTTTAAAATATTAGTTTGATTTAGTGAGGCTCTTCATGTCTCCTCAGGCAACAGCAGAGTGCGGCCCTCTACACCCACAGGAGCAGCCGGGCAGGACAATCCCTCTGAATGTCTCCAATGACTGTTATCACCTCTTTGAAGACAAGAAGTTTGTTGTGAAGGCCTTCAGATTGTTTCACCGCATCCCATCTTTCGGTTTCTGCATTCAGGAGCAAGATAGACCTGGAAGACTAAAGACTGAGGTCCTACGGGAACTGGGTAAATGCACTTCATGGGCTTTTGTGGTCCTTTTTCTTTACTCCAAGAACTTACATGAAAATAGTACCAAGGGCAAATAAAAGGATAAGACCACACTTTTAAAAGGGTGACTGTGTGTGCTGCTAAGTCTAACTCCACAAAGTAATTCATATACCGCATTTTAGAACAATTATTCCTTAAAAGCGGTGTGACACACGGCATCCTTTTGTGTTACTTTTAGGTTTGAAACCAGGGCCTCTGTATGGGCGACTAAAAGCGGGTGAGCCTGTAACTCTGGAGAACGGACGTGTGGTTGAGCCGAGTGAGGTTCTGGAAGAAGCCATTCCAGGGAGGAAGGTCTGTATTTTAGGGGACTGTAGCTCAGTTCTTGGTGAGGGACCACTGAGGCTGTGCAGAGGAGCGGACATTCTGGTTCATGAGGCCACACTTGGTAACGAACACAGAGAGAAAGCGGTGGACCACGGGCACAGTACACCTGACATGGCGGCAGCAGTGGCTCGAGCCTGCTGTGCTCAGAGACTGGTGCTGCACCACTTTAGTCAGAGGTACAAACCCTGTTCTCTGCAGAAAGAGGGGGATGAGGACCATGTCTCAGAGCTTAAGAGGCAGGCTGAAGAGGCCCTGAAGGACAGTGGTATAGAAGTGACTCTGGCTGAGGACTTTTTGACCCTAACCATCCCTCTCAGAAGATGATAATAATGATGTATGAAGTAAATGGTCTTTATGATCAGTTGTTTGGCCAACAGAGTTATAATCTTTCAATATAAAGTCTAATTGGCAAATGATGAAACAATGTCAGCACAAAGTTAATTAATCCCTCTAAAACTTGTGCTTGCCATCACCATCTGTGGAGTTCGTGCCGATAGGAAGAGACAGATTGTTTTTTTTTTTGGAGAACTTCTCGAGTTTTTGGTCAGAATTTGCTCCAAAGCGGAGTTTGAAATTTCATCTTTGACCTAAAAACAGCATTTGACAGTCTGACTTTTGAAAAGTTTCAGTGTTGTGAGCATCTTTCCAAAGAATGGCAGCCTCACAGTTTTCAAGTCCAAGATGAAGTTTCAGCCCCAACTTGAGGGCTGTTCAACTAAAAAACAGACTTGAAAAAGCTGCTTGCAAAGTTGTACATTTTTAACATCCCCTTCATCAGCTGAGCAAACTTCTACGGCATATGAAATTTATTGTGCTGGAAAATTCTAGAAGAAAATGAGTTGACTATGAGCTTCAACCCTTGTTTAGTGACACTGATTTTACTGACACTGGTCCAAACTAAACTGAGTAAAAGTTGTCTTAATCATGTTGCATGATTTCTACTGAAACTGAAACTTTTCCACATGAATTGTTTTAACGTTTCTATATTTTCTCTGTGATGACGAAGAACATGCGCTCATCTCTAAACCTTTTCCAGAGCTTTATTTCTGGATCTGTACACAAGGTATTAAAGTACAACAGAAAATACAAAATAATGTTTAACAAAAGAAAAAAAAAAAAGAAAACAACTCAATGTTTATGTACAATTCTTATAAACAATAAAGATAGCTTCTTGAACATTTCTCATAGTGAAGTTTTGATTGTCTATATTTCTGGATATACATTTTTAAGTTTTGTAGGTTTTTATTCACAAAGGTGTTCTCGTTTTCATCAAAGGTCTCGAGTTTTTTTGTCTTTTTTCAAAACCACGACTGCTATATTTTTTTTTCCTTTTTTAAACTTCAAAACACAATACAAAATATAAAATAAATTTGTTTAGTGCTTCCTTGCACACACAAGTCTCATACCAGAGAGATCAATAAAATATCACATTTTTGAGAGTTCACAGGGTGGTGAAAAAAACCTACTTCTACTACTTTAATGGCCTTTACATTCTGACAGTTTTTCTGAGTCTTTGTACAAACCACAGGTGAAATAAATATCACTGCACCGCTAAAGCTAGAAGAGCTTGGAGGACCTACTGCATTATGCACATTGCATTATAAGAGAAACTAGCTCTCCACATACTCAGAGCAGCAGCCGTCCCTTTACCATCAAGACAAATATAGACGACGACATGTAAAAAGAGTTTTCAGAGGAAAGAAAGATGAGCGTCTTTTACACATGGCTGCAAGTTGTGAATGCAAATTTGCAACACTGGACTTAATATCAATACGTCTTCAGGTAAAGCCGTTTGTCAGTGGTACACTTGAGAAACAGACCCAGCTGGCATGCGTGGTTTCAGCTGAGTCCTGGGGGTCATGACTTTCCAAAGAGAAAAAATAATTCAAACACCAAGTCAACCGTAAAATTCAAAACCCGAAATATCTGTACATATCTACAAATTATTGCCTTTTGACAAGGAATCAAATTAAAATCTTTGTATCAACACAGATTCACAAGTGTAAGAGGTCAGTAATAGACTTTTTAAAGGCTATTTGCTAAATATTTACATGAGAAGCAGAAGTGAACATCTCTGATGAAGGGCATGGGAACTGAAAAAGTTAATCTTGATGACTTATAGGTATGAATCCTGTCTGTACACACATCATGATGAATGACTAAATCTATGAACATGACAAACATGATGCACCCCTGAAACAAACTAATTATTCATAGCACAATGCATAGATAAATTAAGTAAACACTACTACTGCATCCAATCAACTGACAATGGCCCGCTTAACATTTTACACTTCACAATAATGGACTTCAGTCAAAAGAAAGCAGCTCCATTTCTGCTACAAGAACCCCAAAGAAACTGTTGACCAAATGAACCAATCCCCACCCCCACCCCCCACCCCAATCCCCCAAGGTCTGCAAAGGTTGGAAAGAGGTTAAATAAAAAGAAACAGAGTGGCTTAAATAAAGACATAATACTGCTAGAAGGTTTACCCAAGGTTGCCAAGTGGTCTTAAAATGGCAAAAATTAAATTAGGAGCATATTTTTACATTATCGTTACCACAACTTAAAGACATGCACGACTAACCTTGCCTAATAGTAGCACGAGTCAAAGAATGTGTCTAAAAGATTGAACAAAATCTCACAAAAAAGCAAAAGAATATGCAATAAATACATAACTTATGGTGCCTGATGATGTGTTTGTTTAAATAGCTATTAACTTGAAGATCTTTGCATTGCTATATGGCTGTTCTGCTTTGCTTGTCTAAATGATACCATCCTGGATGGAAAAAAAAAGATTGGAAAAAAGTAATAATAAAAAAAAGATTGGAAAAAAAAGTTTAAAACTAAAACAAGCTGATTCCCACTGTGTCCCTCTGCACAGGTATTTCTCCTGTGTAGATGTCAAGAAAACCCCATTGACCAGGGTTTACAATTTAGGTTTGACTACATGGGATTAAAAAAATAACTGTCGCAGAAATTCAACTGTTCCAGTTTGGCAACTTTGAAGAGTTTAAAAGGAAAACAAGTGGACAAGCTACAGACAAGCTTCCACAGGAGGAAAAAGGAAAACGAAACTGGAAGGCTTTAGCAGCTGAAGCTGCAAACACTTCCTCATCTTCAAGCCATCCTCCACGCTAGTGTTGCTCTTCATTTATTTGTGTGTAGCCAGGTTTCATAAAGGGGGTAAAATAAAACATTTGCACCAGCCTGGATACTAAAAAGTACCTGTAAACCAAACACTAATTTAAGAAAATAAAAGTACCACTTCAAACAACAAAGACAAGCAACTAAATACTAACACGAGGCGGAAAAACAGCCAGTTTTGGCAGCTGGAAAGAATGGCAGGATAACATACTGTAGCTCTGAAGATGTTGTGTGTAGCTGTAAGGGAGGAAGATACACAACTCTCCTACTGCAGCCTCTGGGCCCCACTGTACATGGACGTTACACATCTCAAGACCGCAAAACAAAAACAAAATAAATGGCTATATAAACTCTTGAGAGAAATCAAGATTTTAGTTCTATATGATAGACATCACTGATGTCATATTACACAAAAAATGAAAACAAAAAAGAATATTCATATACATATATATATAATAGAATATATATATATAATAGAATTTAAACAAATTGGATTCTCCAGTGAGGTCAGTCTTATGTACACGTGGGATGAGGGATCTTAAAAGGGAAGAATGAGGGAAGACAATCTGGAAGATCACTCTGACTGAAGTGCTGCAGTGTGCTGTGTGTGGTGCCGTGCATGTGCTCCCAGAAACCCGTTGGGCTCCCCGCTGCCAGCCAAGCTCCCAAAGTCTGTGACGGACACCGCCATTTTGGCGCCGGTGATTCGGTGGTGATGTGTGGCTGTCCGTCTGGCTTCAAAGTCCACCCCGAGGTTACCCACTGACACGTCATTGATAAAGGAGTCAGGCAGGGCCATCTTGAGTCTCTTGGAGGGCCGCTCGCAGTCCTTGTTGACACACACTCCTCCTAGCTGGCCCAGGTCAGAGTGGTAGAAGCCGGCGTCAAGCATGTTGAGGCAGTCTGGGTCTGCGCCGTTAGAAGGGAACCCAAGGGATTCGTCGTGGTTCAGGGATCCGCGATGGAGACTTTCCAGGGGAGGGAAGCTGTAGGAATCTAGGCAACTCACCTCTGCGGGGCTGCACACTGTGGCCACAGTGTTACTCAGGGCTGAAAGGAGACAGGGCAAAAAATTAATACTTTATCACTGGAAACAAGAACATCCTCTGGTTAGGAAACATTCACAGAGGAGGGAAATAATGGCCGTAACAAAGTAGTGTTCTTAGGTTTCACTATGAGAACTTTTATCCCCACAAGAGAAGATCTTAGTCTCCTAACTGACCTGTGAGGTCGCTGGCAGTGATAGAGTTAAGCAAGCTGAGCTGTTGGTCTGTGGTGGTCTCCAGTCTCCCTCCTCCACCTGCTCCTGAACACACAGAGGAGGAACTGTCCACGGCCAGTCCCTCTGCTTCATCCACCAGTCGGTCCATCAGGTCTCTGTTTACAAGGGCAAGTGTTTTAAAATACATTTCTTCCAAATTAACAGAGGTTAACTACGACACTGAGAGAATGCCTACAACTGTTCTCCTACTTACGTTACACCGGGATAGCTGCTGTACTTTTTCTTCCCAAACCGATTCTGCTGGACAAAGAAGTCAAAGCGCTCTGACTTTTTCCACATGTAGTAAAACGCCACACATTCTGCTACTGTTCTCGTTGTGACCTGAAGAGGATGAAGGAGCGGTTAAAAGAGAAAGAAAAAAAAAAACACTGACAGCTTTGTGTAGCTGTGATTTCATGTTTATGTAAAAAGGAGAAATTGCTAAGACTTACTTTGTGTTTCTGTATGAGGTGAAAGTTCTTGTCGTACATCTGTAGTGCATGTTCAAAGTTCTTGCATTCTTCTTCTGACCACGGTGGTGATTTTTCTGAAATGGAACCACATTATGTTAATGCTGCAACACAGTTCAGAACCCAGGATTTAAATGCAAGGAATATGGTGCTGCCCAGCGGACCAATCACAGGGCGTGAGGTGAGCATTGTTTCAACACAGTGTGAGATTTTTAGGACGTGCACATCAGGCTACGGGTTCAAGGCTACACAAACCTACAGTGTATCCTGTGGTGTAGATACAACACACAAATACAAATCAAGCTATTAACTCAAACAAGTGCACACAATGATGATAAACAAAACAAATACTGTGATAAAAATACTGATTAGCAGAAAATTGGATCAAAATGTTTTTTTGATTCTTTGTTTTGTAGTTTTCTTAAGCCCTCCAACTGAATAAGTGCTTCATAAATAATCAGTTTTAGACAATCTGTTATACCACCAATTACAACACCAGGTGATCTAGAGAATTTTTAACTGTTAAGTGTGAACTGTGAAAGCTGGGAATTAAGATTTACAGATTGAGCAATTCGGGTGCATCTGTCTGCGACTTTTCAATTTGTTTAATGATGATCAGGGCTGATGGCCTCCAAGAGATAGATTCCTTTAAAAAGCAGAAATTACATTTTCTTAGAAGACGCCTTTTCTTTTGCTCACCTTTTGAGGACTTCATACGGCTGCAGTATCTCTCAAGTGCTTCACGGGTGTTGTAGTTGCACTTGACAAGCTCATGCAAAGCCTGAAAAGACAGTCAAACATGAATTCTGGATATGAAGATATCAGAAACTTTTAAAATGACAACAATTTTCACTTAGGACCCTGGATGGAAAATACATGAGCCTGTTTAAGCTCAAATAGGTTTTGAATATCCAACTTAATTCTATGTAATGACATAAACTGGAAGAACAAAGACCTGACTGACCTGCTCATTGTCCCGGACATGCATCCCTGCTGTCTTTTCATCTGTTGTCCGTGACAACACATCAGACAGGAAACTCCTAACCTTGTTTTCTGGCAGTGTACCTGGGCTCCATAATAACTCGTCTTCGTCTTCATAAGCTGCAGCAGAACAAAGTGAATTACAATGAGATAGGTCTACTTGTTCATGTTAATTGTGGGAAGAAAATGATGGATGCAATCCCAATATATCACACCTGATATACATGCAAGAAAAACAAAAATGAAGCAACAGTTACCTTTCTCCCCATCTTTGTAGTGACAGAGGCAGGAAGGAACCTCTGCTTGGTACTGTGATCCCACCATTATTTCCTACAATTACAGCAGCAGATCAGACTACACTCAGAAAACTACTGCAAACTACGTAAATGTCATAGAAATCTTTCATTTTCAATTTCAAACACATGTTCTCATTTGAAGTGCAGCATTTTTACCTTCCTGGAGTCCTCTGGGCTTGGACCATCATCATCACACTCTGACTCCTTATCACCGTCAGATATAGCGTTAGCTGAAAAAAAAATAGATGAATACAGAAATACTGATTAAAAACCTTGAGAGGTGCCGGTACAGAAGTCTTCATATTTTATGTGACCTCATCAGTTTTGTGCCTCTAATAGTAGGTACCTAGAGCTCCGCCAACACAATGAAATTCACCTTCGTCATTTAAAAAGCTTGCTAGCCATTTTAAACAGTGACAGAATGTGTGATAATGCTTAAAGAAATAGTCTGTATATCAATAGATCACCAAAAACTGCACCCTTTCACGACTAATCAATTTTTATAAAGGAAATACTCAAACACCAGCTTCTTAAATCTGACCTTTTTGCTGCTTTTCTTTTTGTATGTCTTGTTAAAAATGTTTTTTAGTTGAATCAAACTGAGTCAGTCATGGGACACTGAAACATCTACACCACTGTTGAGTTCCATTCTCTACCATATCTAATACCTATGATTATATTAATAATTAATCTAATATATTTGTTTTCTTCCATTGCTTCCAGCAACATGCAGTTTCTCTGCATAATTGTAGCTCTCTTTATCTATGTTATCCGCATAATGCGTCCCACTGTTGGCTATATATGCATGATTATGACCAAATAAAGGAGACCAGTGATTAAAAAAACGGTGCTGCTCTGCCATGCTATGTGTCTAGCATGCTTTAGAAGCAAAGCTGTTTCATTTAAAAGCATCTTCTGGGTAAAATATCATGACATAACATAAAAATTATTGTTATGTTATTATTACGTATTAAATACGTGGATCAAGAAAATAAGGATAAGATAAAAAGACGAAGAGGATTTAAATCTCTTATTTTCTTATCAAATAACTAATATTATTAACTAATAATAATAACGGGATTTGATGAGTAAGGGCTATTTGAAGAAGTGTCTTTCTAGTATGTGTAACCAGTTACTTACATCTGAGTGTTCTTGGGAAGAAATCTGTAGCCTCGTGGGAGGTGACTGAAGGGGTGAGATCATCGGCTGATGACTGGGTCTCCTCCTCATAATCCCCAGACAGAAGGTCTTTAGCTATTTCCTCCTGAGAAATAGAAAAATAAGCACTTAAAACTGGGGAAGAAATTGAACGGTCCACAGAATACCTGAATTATTGAATTATTAGAGATTAGGGCAATCATTAACTACATGATTCTTTTGACATAATTGCCGTTATTTACCTTGTCCAAAGTCATGTCAGGCAGCTCATCAGTTAGGTCTCCAGAGGAACTGTCTATACTGGATCCTGCTGAGGCCTCATAGCGGTAGATAGCCAAAAGCTCCTCTAAAGGCATGTTCCCCTCCTGATAGGATTGATCGATAAATAAAGTAAGGCAAATGTAAGATTTTTTTAAAATGAATTTGACATTCAAACTGAGAAATTACACTCTTCATTCATAATTTAAGTCATTTTTATTATTCTTATTATTGTTATCATTATCAGCAGTATATAATAGAGTTCTACCACATAATAATAATAATAATAACAATAATATTAATAATAATTATTATTATACTAATTATTACCATTATTATTATTATTATTACTATTAGAATCATTATTATTATATACCTTTTCCAGATCTGCAATCTCAGAGCGGAAATCTCTCCCTCCCTCTTGAGACTCTTCTTCCTCCAGAGTCCGCTCATCATCGTACTCATGAACTAACATTTCAGCTGTTGGGTCAAAGTCATGGTCCTCTGATGATAAAGAGCCAACTGAGTAAAGAGAGGGAGAAAAAGAGAGATGATTACAAGAACTATAATTATCTGTTTATACAAATTCACAGTTTTAGCTCTTCAGCAAATGATTACAATTTTGAATATATGTTCAAATATCAAATAGCTTATTATTGCAAACTTTTAACCTTTAATCAATTAAAAGCATCAGAATATCATACTAAGTGAAATAAATATCTTTGGTTGGCTATTTCTATTTAGTGAAAAGGCTATCTTTTATTTCATACAGTTAAAGTTCATTTTGTAAACAAAAATAAAGTAAAAAATATTTACAAAAACAACCAGTCATAACATAATGAACACCTATAAACTGTAATTCAACTAAAAAAATTCTACTTTTAAGAATTTCCAGTTTTTAAAGACACAGTAAGCCAGTGAACGACCGCTCTTTACACTGTCTGTGAAAGTTTAAGTGTGCGTTGGTGGTGTTCTGGAGTGCATTAAATTCAAATGTATTTTTACTGTTGTAATCCACTCTTGTTTGTTAATATGAAGGACAAGAAATGAAAAAAAAAACACCTTTCAATGTAACACACAGTACACAACCACGCTGAAATACAAAAAAAAACCCATATCTGATCTTGTCAACAAAACCTGAAAATTCCAAAAATCAAATGAAGGAATAATTTCACAAAGTTGTTATACTAGGTTGCATGACATTGTCCTGTTAATGTATTCTCAACTAATATTATAGCTGATTTAATGAATATGAAATTTCTTGTGTGCTTACCTGGACTTGAACTCCCTAGGGAAGCCTGCAAAAAGATGAAATTTGTATTAAATGTGAGCACTGGCTAAATATCGGTTCAACAGTATCTAATACTACATTGGCGTTTTGACCCTGTGGAAGTGAAAAAAGCACGGAGAGATGAAATGATCATTGATGAGCCCAAAGAAAACAGTGGAGCTTTAAAACCGCTAATGTTACCTGAAATAGATGTCTAACACAACGTTAGCCGCGAGAAACACAACACACAGTGGGCAACAATGAGAGGATGAAATGAAAAAATGTGTCCGATCGTCATAAAATACAAGACTTTGTTGAAAGGGCAGTATGATTTACGCAGTGTCGGCTCTTCTAACAGTTAGCTAGCCTGTCGGCTAACCCCAGAGCTTACTGTTAACGCCAAAAATGTAAACACTCATTTATTTTAATGCAATCGACACACTTTGACGTTCTTCACATTTTAACTGCCTTTCATTGAATTTAAGAAAAACAGAATTTATACTCACATCAAACTAGATATAATCTGTTAATTCTTTAAACCAGCAGGCTAACGTTAAATTTACGTCTGAATTTACACAGCCGCTACACCGAAGCAGCTGAGAGAGCGAAGGCGCAGCGGCCTTGTAGTGAAGGATCAGCCCGGACATTCAAGCATTTTTTAGAGGAATAACACTGATAATTATGACACAAAACACGCTGTACACGAGGAAAACAACACTATTTCTTCAATCGATAACATAAAAATGAAAAATACAACAGACATTATTTAAAAATATCGATTTAAGATCGATTGCTTCTCCCCTGTTTTCCCTCTTACCTCCGCCATATTGGTACCTTTAGCTAATGGGCTCTTTCTGGCGCAGTACCCGGATGAACGCTCTGAGCCAATCAGAGATCCAGGTGACCATTGTAGTCGTGACGCCGTTCAAACCGACCACTGACCAGACTAACGGCAGTCATTATTACACGGTAAATCTACAGTATATATACGTATGGAATACAAATTCAGAGAATAAATAAGAAAATTCTCAAATACTAAGCCAAAGATGACGTCCCACACTGTGACAATTTACAAGAAGCTTGCAAGAACGCCGTCGGAACACCCCGGCTAATTTCCTGTCCTCCCCCGCCAGCTGTTTCTTAATCGCAGATATTTCAATTTGTTCGAGCCGCTGCATCATCATTTACAGTTCAACCGATTTCTCAATTTTCTAAGAAATAAGACGTATAATGGACACAACAGTAGTAAAGAAATAACGTGACACACTCGTTCCAGGGAACTGCATTTTCTTAAATTATTTTCATCACTTTCACCTCTAAACTCCTTCTTAATAACTAACACCAAATAGTCTCTCATGAAAAGTAACAAAATTATCATTGAGATAGAAAGAATTTGTCATTAGAAACGACTTGACCTATATCCAATGTATTTTCTTCTACACTTTCCTGTTAAAAAGCTTTTAACTTAGTAGCCTAGACCTTTTAAGCTTTAATATGTTTGACATTTCTGTTGTTATTCTGTGTTTATATTCTAGTAGCCCACTAAAAACACCAAGACAAATTCCTTCTATTTTTACAGTTTACACTTGGTAATAAACTCAGTCTAGATTCTGATTTTTTTTAAACTATTTTTTTTTTTTGGTTTTTGTTTGTTTGGATTAAATAAGCCTATAACTTCTCCTAATAATGAGTTAACTCATTTGGGCATCATTACACAGTGGTGTAGCGGTTAGCGCTGTTGCCTCACAGCAAGAAGGTCCTGGATTCAAATCCGGGTCAGGGTGTTTCTGTGTGGAGTTTGCATGTTCTACCTGTGTCTGCGTGGGTTTACTCCAGGTAATCTGGTTTCCTCACACATCCCAAAAACATGCAGAAGTAGGGTTAGTAGGTTGATTGGCCACTTTCAAATTGCCCGTAGGTGTGAATGTGAGCGTGGATGGTTGTTTGTCTCTATATGTCAGCCCTGCAATGAACTGGCGACTTGTCCAGGGTGTCCCCTGCCTTCACCCGAAGAAGCTGGGATAGGCTCCAGCCCCCACCTGTGACCCCCCAACAGGAATAAGCAGTAGAAAATAGATGGATGGTTATCATTACACAAATAATTAGCCTAATCAGGAACATATGCTTTAATTTGCTTATCTTAATAAAATCCTGTATTTCTTGACCTATAGGCCTTTGTCTGTCTTAGGATTTAAAGAGTATTGTAAATGAAAAGCATTCCATCATATATATATTTTTTTATTTATTGTATTTCTAATATGAAGAACTTTAAATATTATTTTCACCTTAGCTTGCCTGTTGAGTTATCTCTGTGGCCGTGTCCAATCCTTCAACCCCAAATATTGAGACTCATAAAACTGCTGATAAAACATGATCTATGCCTTTAAGGAATCCTTTACTGCATCATAAATCCCTTTCAGAAATTAATTTGAACAGTAATGTGTGTTTTTAATGAGTTATACTGGCCAGCAGAGGGCAAAAGTACCCTTTGGAAGTTTCAATCCTCTTCACACCCACCTCTTTCCCCTCCTCCTTTTTTGTCTGTTTCATGTGACTCCAAAATCTCAGCATGTTTGAGCATTTAGTGAGGTAAAAACAGGCTGTGTAGTTGGTGAAAAATTGGACTGCCGGCATTATTTTGATTTTAAATTTCTATTTGAATGTTCGAGTGTGTGACTCAGGCTTTTGAAATGGTGCTTTGGTATAACATAGGTACACAGTAACGTTGTGGACATTGAAGGCTGAAGTGCAGGTTTGGGGTGCTGTTTGAGGGGGTGTGCAGATGTTTGTGCAAAGAGGGATTAAGATAAACTGCACCCTGACTTTTTAGTTAAGACCTACATATAGAATTATATCCAAAACAGCTGTGGTGTGCCAGTGGCTGTAATCATAAAAATATAAACCCTGTCCTGTGATGTCAACATTATAAAGTATACAATACAATTCAGACTCATATGTTGTAACAGCTGGTGTCAATCTCCTCAAGTAAACTAGAGCAAAAAGTTGTTGTTGTTGTATATGTAAAGAGTTTGATGTCATCAGCATCATTTTCGAAGCTTGTCACAGCAAGTAAACATTCCTATCTTTGGAAAACAGAATCCCCAAACAGGCGTAGGAGGGCAGCGTAGGCTTCATTTGGAGAACTCTGCAAACATGTGAGTCACCATTCAGACAGTGCAGAAGCACATCCCTCCACACACCACTTCTGTCAGTCTTACCTCAGCTAAGTTGGATCAAAATAATTATCACTATATCCTTGTTTTTGTGTGTTGCAAAAGAAGAGCAGCCACTACTATCGGTGTCTCTTCATCGTCATAGTTTGAAAGCTCATTTTCTGCCTACTCGTCAAGAACAATGAAGTAAGGAAGACATCGGCCCTCACCTTGTGAGTGAAATTGTAAGGTCAACAAGTTATCCTGTGACGTACATTATGAGGAGGTGGCTGACAGAGGGTCACACTCCATTGTTGCAGTGTAAAACGGATGTTGCTGATTAACGCTGGCCCACACCTACACTGGTTCTGTGATTGTCCAGTGACTGCCCACTCAGCTGATGTGCTGTTTGTGAGAATGAGGAGCAGAAAACCCATTGTAATACTAATAACCCCCTCATTATTATCAACTGGAGCAAAACAGATACATGAGCCACACATTTATTAACTGTGATTTGACAGGTAACCAGACAGTAGTATATTGTATGTGAAACGTGGCAATCAGCTGCATGTATTGAAACCATTGGATTGTGTCCGAAATTATGTCACAAACAGCATTAAAGCTTCAGTGAGGAATGTATTTCCTTATGGAATCACAGTTTTCTCCTTCCTTTTGCCAACTCTGATACCAGAAGTATTTGCAGTCCATTGTATCTACTGTTGTGGGTATTTTTGCCAACATTTTTCTAGATTTGACATGCATAACATTCGTTTCCAGGACCCTGTTGGTATTGCTGATGTCATTTGATAATTAAACTGCATGGAACCAGGTGATACTTTTGGGAGGCGGATCTGCTCAGTGACTAGCCTACTGGCTGTACTGGAGGCACGTCTGACAGATATCGCCAGTAAAACTGGATGTAATAGATAATGGTGGAAGCTATATCTTCTCTATCAAAGCACAATTAACATGTTTATAGTGACAACCATATGCATTTTTTAGGAAACAAGATACATGAGTAATCTTAAGGCGCACTTGTAAAAAACACTGGTAAATAGAACGACAGCACGATATACATAATAAGCAGCAATGATGTTTTATCCAAAAGCTCTATTTTGTTCTGGGTTATTAAAGAGTCAAGTGAGCACTGTTAGAGCAAGTCTCTCTCTGCTTCTGAGAGGTTATGTAGGACAAGTATGCCAGCCACTAGATGGCAATATGTGACAGCGTTGACTTCTTCATGACTCAGCGTTAATGTTTCAAGTTTTCTCTGTGCTCCATACACTACCATCATTCAAGCAGCAACAATGACTGCTTGAGCACATACTGCATGCTGTGTTGATATCATTGGGTGACTTGTCGCAAAAAAACAACATTTGCAGTTTGTTTACTTGTGCAGTGTTTATCTCCCACATGTGGATCTCTAAACAGTCAGCAGCTGTGGCGCTATTCCTGCAGTGTCAACAAACCCATCTGAACGACTTAGTCAGTATTAAGTTTACATCGATGATGACGAGTAATGATAACAAGCTGTTGAGTTTTCTAGGAAATAATCTCACTTAAATGACTACATAGAAAACTCACTGTAAATATTGTGATTGTAGCCTTTTGAACTTGATGACAGCATGGGTGAGGTTCATCCAGCTCAGTCACTGATCTGTCAGATCTAGTCTTGTTGTCAGTCTAGAGTGTATATGAGCAACAACAACTAGCTGCTATAGTGAACAGGGGGTTTCCGTGAGAGCTCTTACCATGCATCTATAATTTTATGCCGTTACAAGAAAAAAAGGTTTGACTTTGCAGTGAAGGGTTAAATCAAGTCGACAACTCATTAGCAAAAGTTTATTAACACATTAACACAGGTTACAGCACACACACACACACACACACACACACACACACACACACACACACACACACACACACACACACACACACACACACACACACAGAGAGACTATCAGTACAATATAAATGTGTTCAAAAAGACAGTCAGTTTATACTTTGGTTGCTGATAGTTATGACACAGTTATGAGATATAACTCAGGGATTTTAATGCTTTTAAGACCTTTGAAAAAAAATGACATCTATATTTTCTCACCAGTTTCTACCTTGTCTCCAGAAATACATATTTGCATGTGAGCGTTTCGTGTATTATAAAAACAAAATATCAAATTGGAAAAAAGTATATCTCAAATCACACTTTAAGTGCACCCCGCAGTAGGAGGGAGATTCTTGAGCTAGATTACTATAACAGCTGCAGTTGTAGTGCAATTCAACATGGACAGGGATATGTGTCAAAGGTAATGCAATTTCCTGAAATACAGCTTCCTTTTCTATAAGTGATCCAGTGGCTATTTTTTTTTATTCAACAGAAAGAAAATCTTCAGTTGAAAAATAATAGATTCAAGTGCTTACATGGTCAAGTGTCCATACCTAACATGACCCTGAACATTACATAAAAGGACATCAATGAACCCTTCAGAGACTGGAGAACATGGTGTTCTCAGCGGCATTACATAGCCTCCTCTAATTGGCTGGTTAGTGTGCTTGGCCTTTTTTGTACTAATCAGGTCCTAATGCAGTTCGTTTCTTACAGCACGGACATCTACATAAATAAACTAATAGATGTATTGTTTCTTTTACTGCTTTCATGGGGTGCTTTTTAAAAAGACTGAGGAATAAAAAGTCTCAGCTGAAAGTATAAGAGGTACTTTCTTTGTTATAATGTTAATTACTTACTGAAGAAAATTTGCTCTGTTTTGATTTTTAATTTTGAACATTTTTATTTAGTATTCACAAAACGGTGGGGAGGATGTACTTAGAGTAGTGTTAATCCTAGTATATGAAGGAAAAAAAAACAGTTTACAACATAATTTAGCCTCAATGGCTCCAAAAATGTGAACAGAGCATATTGACTTTAAGCCAACAATTACTCATTCTCAGTGAGGTACACAAAGGTGCAAGGGTATCCTTGGCATAAAATCAACCTCCTGTCAGCAGTAACTTGAAACGATTCATATAGCTTATGAACTGAATAGGACCTCACAAGGACCCTTGTGGGACACCATTTTAAGATGCTAGAAAATAAACCATCAATATGAAAACATTGCATTTTACTACTCAAGTAATTTTTTAATAATTTTTCAAATCATTTAACACCTTTTGTTAGCTAGTGAACAAAAGTGCCGAATGCTTTAGATAAATGAAAAGAATGTGTAAAACAGAATTCATTTGAGTTACAGTTTTTCTCAGTCGCTTCAGTGCATTTCTCAAATAACTACTAAACATTTGCACAAAGTAAAGGCCTCTGTGGAAACAATTAGTAAAAACTGCAACACCTAGTTGATAACCTGTAAAAGTGTGTCACTTGTTCAAAATGGATAGTTCGTTCATCAAAAGCAAGTATTTGTGTCAAAGTGTCAGTGTCAAGTCCTAACTCCGTTGTTTATGACCAAGATAGTCAAATGGCTTTGTTATGTTTTCATTATGACGGTTTACTCTATAAGTGTTTTCAAATGCAAAAAAGGTCCGATCTTGGTGATACTACCTGAAGATGCTGAAGACAGTACCATGCACTATTTGCAAAGCCATTTGAAAACTACAGACAAGTTATACATTACTGTATTTGGTGAGGCAACTGAGTACAATACACTGAAAACTTATCCTGTGTGCTGCAGAGTAAAATTACAGTAATGTACAGTAAACATGCGATATATCACGTTAAGTACAGTACCATGCTGTAAAATTGGCAAATCTTTACTGTAACAATACTGTGCACTATGATACAGTAAATCTGTGCTGCAGTAAAGCTGAAAGTCTCACTGTAAAATGTGGCAAGTTCTTGTCCCACTGTAAGCTTTGTGTATATAGTAAATCTATGACATCATTCACTGAATAGTTTCTTGAACCGGACTAAAAGACATGCCTACTAAATACAATACATATGCCATATGACATACAAGATGCCATGTAATTAAAAAAAAGCTCTGATTGATCATTTTCTATAACAATTACATCTTTGACCTCAATGACTCCAATGAAGTTGATCCAGCACCTGCACTGAACTGTCAGAGTTGTAAGAATTCAGCATTCGGCATTAAGCAGACACACCTTGAATGTATCATGATCGAGGGGTTGTTCATTCAATTAACCCCTTAAGCATCACTTTGTTTAAATGCAGCCATTATGAACTGGTACACGAACCTCTTAGTCTGTTGAGGATCTGTGGTGTTCTCTCAGGTGATGCTTTGGCTGCTGAGTTTGAGGACATGCAATAACCAAGATTGTGGTTATTAGCTGTACTGCAACTCTCTCTGGTCCCAAACTGAGGCCACTGCAACCATCTAATTTGATTTAACATAGACAGACTTACAGATTGATGCCTAAGAAAGAAAGAAAGAAAGAAAGAAGATACAGGGGGAAATTCAGAAGGGTGCCCCATTTTGAAATCTGATTGGCCACCCCAAAACCCTTGAAAGAGAGGGTATTGTGCTTGTACATATTTACAGCTAGAAATGCAAAGTTACAATGTTTGGTGTCCATACTAGATATATGCAAATTTCAAATCACAAAGAAAACATATGCTGTAATAATCTTAAAAAATAGATGTAAACTGCTTAAAAAAGTTCATTGGGAAATCGCATGAGATCTCACTGAACCATCTATGAGACTCAAAAAACTAGTAAGGTCATTGCAATAGACTCTTCTGACTGGTTCCTCCGTGCTTCTGGCTCAGCGGAATGGCCTGCCCCCAAGGTGATGCCCACAGTGAAGCAGAGGGTGGGCCCACGTGAGAATCGTAGGGGGCTGGCAGGGGTTGACATTTATGTTATTCGGCTGGTGTTCAGACTAGTTGACTACAGAGTGGGTCAGTTTGCATTATTTTTGAATGTTTTCAGGGATAGGTGTTAGGGTGATTTTCTTTAGCCAGTCATGTCAGCCTTTAGGTGGTGGAGCCGTGTCACTGTAATACCTTGGATACTTTGGTGCTAGATTTCTGGAGCCATGGTTCTCCGACAACCATCCTACACTAGGACATTGTACCCATCTTTAACATCATTCAGGCTCCCCAAATATGTTGTGCTTTGTTATTACCCTACATGGACTCTCCTTCAGGTCAACAAGATGCAAGCAGAATGTTTGGAAACGTGGACGGCTATATATACTTGAACAGTCTCAGACCAGTCTTTGTTACACTTGTGGCATGATGAAGCTGTAACCCAGATCTGCAACCAGTAAAGCTTGTCAAAATGATCATTTGTGTGGACCTTCCATTCTTTTAAGTGTGAACATGGGCTTGGCATCCTTACAATAGGTGTACTGTGAGAATAAAGCGAGCATGTTTTGTTATTCTATTTTTATTTTTTATTTTTATTTTTTTAATTTGGCTTGAGCAGATACAGGCTTTGAGAGAAAATCAAAGAGCCTATCAATGATCTTCAGCTACTCAGACTGGGGTAAATAAAAACAGAATGTTTATGGATAAAAGTCCATGAAGCTTTGTGAGGGATAACAGTCATATACTGAGGAGGTATTTGTTCAGCCTCTTCTTGAAGGCGTGAACACCAGTAGATGTAATATCTCCAACAACTGCAGGGGGAAGGCTATTCCAAGTTGTTATGGCAGAGTGGAGAAAGCTCCTGTCAAGGCAATTGGTTTTAGACTTGGGGACTTTCAGGGCGTGACTTGGCAGTACTCTCCAGGTGATTCTTCCCACGGTGTGGGCTTGGGGTAGCAGAGCTTTGAGGTCCACTGGACAGTTGGAGGTGTGCATTTTATAGAGAACGGTTGTTGCTGCAACTGTTCGCCGGTGACCCAGCTTGCTGATGGCATACTGCTGAAGGGCAAGGTCCTCATCCACCCCGATGATTTTTAGAGCTTTCTTCTGGATGAGGTCTAGCTGCCTAAGAGTGGTCGGAGAGGCGTTCATCCAGGCCAGGCAGGAGTACTCCATGATGCTCCTGACCTGGGTCTTATAAATGTTGGCCCTGCCCTTGGCATCAAGCTTGTTGGCCAGCTTACGCAGTGCACCAAGACGTTGTCCAGCACGTCTGCAGATGTTGGACAGATGGCTGGTCCATGTGAGCTTGCTGTCTATAGAAAGACCCAACACCTCCATCTGCTCACTAAGGGTGATCTTGGTGGTCCCAAAGTACAGGTCTATGATGGAACTAATTTTCAAAGATTTTATTTTTGGGCTTTTTGGCCTTTATTTGACAGGACAGGACAGTGGATGGAACAGGAAATGAGGAGAGAGCAGGGAGTGACATGCAGGAAAAGTGCCACAGGCTAGAATTGAACCTGGTCACTTCGACTGCCAGGCCAGAGATGCTCAGGCTGAGACTTTTATGTAAGATTCAGAAAAGGTGTACCTCAGCACACCAATATCCCTTTTTCGGATAATAAAACCATTGAATATCACACCACTACTCTCTCCATTTTCATAATCTGGATAGAAGGAGCAGTTTTGTTACTGTTTCATGAATCCATCAAGCAGGATTCTGGCCCAACATGTGCAGAGCCACTTAGATGTGCAACACTGGCGTAAACCTAAAGGGGAGCATGTAATGGGAGGAGAAAATCATTCGAAGGTACGACTGTACGGATGTGTTGTTGCTGTCACATTGATATAGCAGCAAAAGCCGTTGTAAAGCTCACACCTCTGTTTCCATCCCCTATCTTTTATTGCAATCACTGACCAGCACACAGTGTTGAATTACCATACAGACGTATGCTGAGGGTTAAGAGGGGAATGAAAATAAAGAAAATGAAAATAAAAGTGAAAAATAAAACACACAGAAAGTAAAGAAGTATAGATAGATAGATTTGTTTTTTGAATCCTATACCCTAAACTTGGAAGTTTAGCTGCTGTTCTGCTCATTTTTTTCTTTAAGCTTTGAAATACTGAGTGGCGAGAGCACACTTCAAGGCAGAGTAACTATGAGTGGGCACAGCAATTTCCTCTCTCTCTGCAGTCAGACACGGTATCGGCTCATGTAGGTGTTTGTATATATCCGTACCGTGCGTCATACTTCTGAGCTCACATGCTTTATGTGAGATTACCTCTTTGAATGACTTGTGTTTTGAACAGCAGCTGTGGAAATAGCCATATTTGATGGAATGACGCAGAGGGAACACATTAAAGAGGTTCTGAAGATAAGAAAAGCACCAATAATTTGTTCTTTTCACTGCAAAGGTATGCTTTAAGACTGAAAAGATCAATTTCCAAGGGTGCTTGTTCTAGTTTAAAAGACCCTTATACTGTCTCTTTTTATCTGATGCTCATTTTGTGGTATTTATTAGATAAAGTACACCCCCTTTCAAAGCTCAATCACACATAGGACTTCTGGTAAAAGCCTGAACTTCATTGTGGTACTTAGAAAAAAGTGTCTTATCATGACATTGCCTGGGCCTCTTTTCTTTGCAGGGTTGGTGAAGGTCTTGAACACTTGAAGCAGGATGTTGTACTCTCAGCATCTTTGATTCAAGTAATGTGCACAATATGCAAAGTGGTGAACAACACGGCAAATGTGAGGGATGGAGAAAACAGCTGTGTTGTGGTGGATAAGAAGCTCCTCATGATGAGACATGTGGGTGATTCTGTCTCCATGGTAACCAAAGATTCTACCACAGGAACAGTTTGTGAAAGAGGAGAGGAGGACAGAGGATGTAGAGGCTGAAAACTTGGGATACTCTCATTTTTATTTCTTTTTTTAACATGACTTCAGATGTGACACAACTAACCCCCCATTCCTACGGACACATTCTCACAGTTTCAGAATAACAAAGGAGTGGTGTTGTTCTCTTCCTCCTACACACCAGTTCCCAGATGATTGAAGAAAAGTGAGCTGGTTTTCTAATATGACTTCATTCAGTTGTCAAGGCTTCAGCGATCAGTTTCTTATTGGAGAACATTTTGAGTTTTGACTGAGAGGACAATGTATTGGTTTGATGAACAGACTACACACTAGAACATGGTGTGAATAACATTTGGACTGCTTGTCCTTCCTTGCTGGTCCTCAATTTTACCTTATTTGATAACTGCCTATCAAGCCAAAAATGTCACTGTGTTTGAATTTAAAGTTTTGATTAAGACTAGTCTTTGGATTTAGATGAGAACAAACATCAAATTCAGTTCACTACTTTTAGAGAAATCAGAGCTGTACTCAGAGCCGACCCAAGCCTCAATAGGGCCCTAAGAAAAATTAGATTTTTGGGCCCTCTATTTCTGCCAATAATACTGACTGTTGATCATTCACACACCTTCGCAAATCTTTTTGATTAGACATGCAAACCTAACTTTTTCTTGGTGTTTTTTCTCTTCTTTCTCTTTCTTAATCTCTGTAATCATTATTTAAGTTAATCACAAATGGTGAAATTAATATTTAAGTGGTTGGTGCAGTAAAACTGAAAGTAATGCCCTACTGACTTTTAAAAGCAAACAAGGCCATCAATTACATGGCAGTTGTAATTTCTAATGCCTCGGAGGAAGTAGGTGTCACACTAAATGATCAACAGCAGGCTTGAGAATTGTTTTTCAAATACTTTTTCCGTGGTAAAACTCATTGTGAGTGTTACATAGAATGAGATTTTTGTCTGAAAAGACTACTTTAACTCGTACAAAACAAGAGATAAGAGAAATAACTTTGTCTGCAGACGGCAGGAAACTGCCACAAGCCAAGAGCTTCTGAGCTCTAAAGGGATATTCCAGCGTAAAATTTAGGGTCAAACACATCATAACAGAGTTTGACACCTCTTGAGAGATGAATGTTGGCCACCGCTTTCTTCTCTAGTTATACGAACTTTAGTAACAACCGCAGGATAGCAATACACAGCGGTCTGAGGAGCCATAAACAAACCTCAAACAAAAGGCCACTCTATAGCCACAAATAATGCTCAGAACAGCACCTAACTTCATCAACAGTACATATAGGGTCCTAGCCACAGCACTAGCCACCAAACATCTTTTTAACTTTGCCTGATTTCTTTAGCAAAGGGACTAAACACAACTCACCCACTCTCTTCCAGCAGCTGCTAGTCTGTAGTGAGACCTCAGGCCAGTCCATTACAGACTGCAGTGGGGTGACGCAGCTCAAGGAAGAACATTTATGATCATTTCTTCATGGAAATGCATTCAGACCGAGACACTAAGGCAGAAGAACTATCATGTCTGCAGTGCAAAATGATTAATATGGTGATTATTAAAGGAAATGATAAAGCAAGAAACAGACCGCTGTGTATTGCTTTCGTGTGGTCGTTACTAAAGTTGGTATAACTAGAGAAGCAAGCGGTCGGCGACATTCATCTCTCGAGAGGGTGTCTAACTCGGTGCTACTGTGTGTTTGACCCTGAGTTAATTTTACACCAGAATATCCCAATAATAATTTTTTAAAATACTTTTTCCATGGTAAAACTCATTGTGAGTGTTACATTTCATAGGATGAGGTTTTTGTCTGAAAAGACTACTTTTATTTGTACAAAACAAGTGGTAAGAGGTATAACGTTGTCTGCAGAAGGCAGGAAACTGCCACAAGCCAAGAGCTCCTGACAGCAGCTTCAAGTCTCACTGGCTCAAGAAAGTACAGAGACTGATGAGTGCAATCCCTCTGAAAAAGCCAAATCAGCTTCCATTACAAGAAACAAACAGCAAACCTTGACCCCATGCAATTCAACACTGAACATGGACCACTGCACGTCAGCCACCACAGAGGTTTCATTTTTGGCTGAAGTGCTCGGATAAACCCATTGTCCATTTCCAGTCCACTAGCCAAGTGGCAGCAGACACACAAAGTTAGGAACTGCACAGTGAAGTGTGCTGGAAGATGAAGAGTCGGGGAGTTCCCTGAGGGGAGCAACAGGGGAGAATATGTGATCGACATTGGACACAAACACAGCTCAAATGAAGCCTGGCGGTGTTGCCCTTTGTTCACTGGCAGTGCAAACAACACACTGTTTTCATGCTGGTGGAAAAGCTCTGAATTTGATAGCTAATCACGATCACAGTTCCCCTGATTGTTAATTCGCAGGATGTGATTAAACCTACTTTAAAAATAAATTTTTAACAAGAGCTATACAATTCATAGATTTTGATTAATCCCCTCAAACTTATCTTAATTTTCAGACCTGAGTGATTTACCAGCTGACATCTCTCTTGGACATGTGGTCGAGGAGAAACTGTTGGACTTCTTGTATCTGCATGAAAAAATGCTTCATGAAGTCACAGGGCTTTGGTGGGTAGGAGGCCTGAATTCCCTCAACCTCCCTCTATCTATCCTAACTAATAAAATTTGCATACGCAGTTCAGAAGAAGATTTTGATTGCTACAGACAAGGCTGTTAAATGAGCTGCTAAAACCAACACAATTAGCATTCAGTGCCATCAGATGTTTCAGTCAATGTGTATCCATGCACAGATTGTTGTCATTACAGATTCTGATCCCATCTATTTGGTTCATGCTGTCTCTTTATTTGGGTTGCTCATCAGCAGCATAGACTGAAAAAAGGGAAATGGAAAGTTAAATGAAGCACAATTTAAGTATGTGCGCTCTTGACAGGATAAATTTGTCACAATAACTGTGTGTGATATAAAAATCTTTTCACACAGATACTTTTGCATGCTTAACATAACATTTCAGAAGCAGAAAATCAATACGCTGTGGAGTAAGATAAGAATAAAAATACTGTGAGGCTCCATAATCATGACAAAAACACTATAAAATGGATTTAGGATGGAGCCCACAAGCTGAACAGCAGAAAAGAACATTAGAATCTAATTTTGGTCCAATAATTAGTTCTGGATGACGATGACTTTTGATGTTTGGCCATCTGGCTCCGGTTCTCTGTGCAAGTTAAGTTACGATTAAAGGATGAAAGCCAAGCAGCGAAAGACCTTTCTTTAAAAAACACACCCAGATGACTGTCATTGTAGTTCACTTAAACTAATAATAATGGCTTATATTTCTGGCGGTTAAACTGATATGACTGATTTGTGCTTTTTTTTTATGATGAATTCCACTTTAAAGGAACCAGATTTTATTTCTCCTATCTTCACAATGACACACTCTATTACAGTCCGCATTCAAATCACACTTATCTATGGTGAGGGGGCTGCCTTTCATCA